GCCAGTGTAGCCCGAGTGGCTGTTAGAAGTATTTGCGCACTGCCACTCGGGCTACACTGGCGCCAGTGTAGCCCGAGTGGCAGTGCGCAAATACTTCTAACAGGCTTTCCCGTGGGCAGTCGACGGTACGAGTTTTTGGCATTCTCGACGAGCCAGGTGCGCGAGCAGGCGGTGTGGTTTTATGCACCCGAGGAGGAGGAGACGGCGGATGGCGTGAGAAAGAGACTGGGGCAGTTTGAGGGTATCAACAATGTCGGTGAGTCAGCGAAGGAAAGATTTTGATGCTAAAACTTCTTCTCGCTATCCTTGAATCGACTGCCGTTAAAGTATCTTGAAATTACTGAGAAACTCTGTCAAATCTAGTAAAATGAAAGGATGCACGCAACTGCGCTTCATCGAAATTATCCAGCGTGCCATCCCCCAGAGTCTGCAACTATACTTCATCAAGATACAATCTGACGACCTGATTACGACCATTCCGTAAGACCCTGGTCATGAGCAATTATGAAGGATCCTGTCCGCATTCACACCCATGACAAAAAGAGATATTGAAGCTCTATTCTTTTCGGCATACTGATCATCCAATTCTCGCAGAATTTTTTTTCTTGAGGGGACCGCTGCACTTGATTCCTCCTAATTTACAATCTCTCAACCACGTTTAAACTCGTCTTCCAGCCAAGAATGGGTCAGTGCTTCTCCGACACGCGCGCCACGGTCGACTTCCACCAGGAAGAGCGGATTCCGGACATCCAGCGGAACGGGTGCTGTTTCTCAGACGGGATCGGCCGCGTATCACCGGACCTCGCGGACGACATGGCGCGCGCGCTGGGCCGTCCCACGCCATCCGCATTCCAGATACGCTATGGCGGGTACAAAGGGGTTATTGCTGTATATCCCCCCTGGGCAGGCCAAAAGCGGCTGGGCCTGCGCAAGAGCATGGAGAAATTCAAGAGCGCGGACAAGAACCTGGAAGTCATAACCTGGTCGCGTTTCCTGCCCGCGTTTCTCAACCGCCAGATCATCACCCTGCTCTCGACACTAGGCGTGCCGACCTCTCTCTTCCAGCAGCTGCAAGAAGACATGGTGTCAAAGCTGGGGGCGATGATGGAAAGCCGGGCGGCAGCCCTCCGGTTGCTGTGCGCCACGTGTCCCGGGGACGGCCAGTGGACGGCCAAGATGATGCTGGAGGCGGGCTTCGACCCGCGCGGGGAGCCACACCTGTGCGCGATGCTGCGCGCGATTCAGGCGGACCAGCTGCGCGAGCTGAGGACGCGCGCGCGCATCTTCGTGCCCAGAGGGGCGTGCCTTCTAGGTGAGCCATCTGGCACTGTTTTGGTTGCAATGCATTACAGTCAGTTAACGTCAGTTAACGTCATATAACGTCAGATAACGTCATAAATGCGAAACGCTCTCAAGATGTTCGTCAGACAAGATACAACGGTCTCTCCAAAAGAATAAACTTCTAAGAGAGGGTTTTGAATGCCTTCAAGTTCTCGCTGTGCTCTGGGTGAGAGCAGTACATCAGAGACCGGTTCCCAATCTCTCAGAGGCTTTGAATATCTGCGTCAGAACCCGGGTAGTTTAGAGATGTCGCCCTTAAAATCAAATTTCTCATCTTGGAAAGCTTGCAAAATGGTCCAGAAAGGTCTCGGAATGGCAATGTGTTCTGATAACGGCAGCAAGCCAGATTCAGGGATGTGACCTTTGCGTGTTCTGGCAGGGTGCTTAGACGAAGACGGCGTGTTGGAAGAAGACAAAGTGTTCGTACAGCTCAGATGGCCGGAAGAAGGCGACGGGCTGGCGGGACATGTACCCACGTGGGTCAGAACGTCGAAGGGCTCGATCGCACCAAAGGTATGACGTCAGAAAGCCATAATATAAACGCTCTAATACGATCCTGTGTCTGTTCTAGATAGAAAGGTTTATCGAGGGAGGTTGATTAGTTGCGATTTCTGTAGGGTGTGGATCTGACAGTGATTTATATGCTTAGTCCTAGCGTGTCTTGGCAATCAAGCTTAAAACCCAGACTCTCAAACAATATGTTGTCTGCTAACCGATTCAATATCAACTTGGCCACAATTCTCGGAAAGAAATCGAGGCGGATCAAAGATGGCTTATATTTCTCGTCTTTCTTGACAATTTCAGTTCACGAAGTTGACGCCGCTTACGTGTGTGCAGGTTCTCACAGGCGAGGTCACAGTAGTAAAGAATCCGTGCCTGTGGCCGGGGGACGTGCGCAAGCTGACAGCTGTCGACCGGCCCCAACTGCGCCATCACATGAACACCGTCGTCTTCTCACAGAAGGTGATCTCACGACTTCAGCTGCCTGAGATCAGCTTCTTTCTTTCTTGAGAAGAGAAGATTGGGAGGGGTCAGCACGTTGTAACAGACCTGAAAGAATGTTTATTGGTGTGAATTATTTCTGCTCCCAAGCTGAACCGTGTCCCTTCTTGAAAGTTGTAGCAAAAACATCCGTCATGTTCTTTCTCAAACGTGCACGCCATGATATGGAAACCGCTTCGCACTTACACCACTTCTTCCCGAGAGCGAAGGTAAGTTTCCCGGCAGGGCCCAAAAACGGTGTACGAACACTGTTTTCCAAGAAAAGCTGCGGGCACTTTACTGTGTCCAGTCCTTTGTTGTTCAGAGCTTCCCAGATCCTTCCACCCGCTCCAGAGTTTGAGCTTTTCACGGCAGGGTGCTCGCCCGACCCCCAGCCTGCTGTCGGACGGCGATCTGGACGGCGACAAGTTCTTTGTCTTCTGGGAGCCTGCGCTCGTGTTCCCGGGGGAGAACTGGCAGGCCCTGGACTCGCCCTGGACTACCGACCGCAACCACCCACCGTCAAAGACAAGGTGTCCGTCGAAGTAAGCTTCTGACCCGCCTCTGCAATCAAGCAAATCTCAGACGGGAGCGGCTAAGGAACTGCATATAGTAGAAAAGACTAGTCTATGTAACTTTGTGGACCCCAATGAAAGTATCTGCTTCGTAAGGAGGCTCGGTGTTTCCTGGTCTTACAATCTGCCTGCAAGGAAGAAGCGTCGCAATAAGTCCTCGAGAGCGGGCCAGGCGATTATGAGGATTCTGTGAAGAAGAGACGAGAAGGCTCTCACTTTGGTTTGGCGAGCGCTGCGCAATAGGTGCTGTTTTCAGGCTGTCGAAGCAGTAGCCTCTGCTTGCTTTTTGAAGTCCTTGGATCGATCTGTCGGGGGAGGCGATGAGTTCTTCTGTTGCGACTTCCTCTCTTCAAAGAAAGCTCAAAAAATCTCGGACATCTCTCTTCGATATGTTCGACTACTTCTTCTCTCAAGAGTACCAAGTTACAAAACTCCTGACCAATCATTGTTCCGGCTCGCTTTGACCCCTTTGAAACCGGGTACAAAGCATCTGCTCTTTTTGCCATCCCCCGCAGGACATCCAGCACTTCTTTTTGGAGTACCTAGTCAACGACAGCTTGGGCCTCATCTGCAACGCCCACGTGGTAATCGCCGACCGAGACCCCCGGGGCGCAGCGTCCGACCAGTGCCGCCAGCTGGCAGCCCTGGCGTGTACAGCTGTCGACTACCCCAAGACAGGGCACCCGGCCGTCTTGCCGCGGGAGCTGCGATCGGTACAGTACCCCGTCTTCATGGAGAAGGAAGATAAGCCCGTGTATCAATCGCAGAGCGTCCTGGGTCAGCTGTACCGGGCAGTGAAGGAGAGAACGGCGGGGGGAGGTCTAGAGCTTTCCGGTCCGAGCGCGGGAGAACTGGTGTTGGACGGAGATCTAGAGGTTCCGGGGTTCAAGGAGCACTTGGACGAAGCGTGGATTGCCAAGGGCTTTTACGACCAGGAGCTGACTGAGAGCATGCACAAGTATCGGATCGAAAGCGAGGTCCAGGTGGTGACGGGCTGCATCGGTTCGATGTCGACGTTCCACCGAGTGAAGCCCATCAAGATCAAGGAAAGGATCCGGGAAGCATTTGGTGCCGTCACTAAGAAGGCGCGGGAGGTTTTCGAGTACGGTCTCGGGGTAGTGGACCGAGAGGAGCCCCGCCCGGAAGAGAGAATAAGAGATGAGGAGCGGGTGGCGAAAGCGTATGCGTATTACTACGTGACGTACAGCCGGGATTGGCGGGAGCGGAAGATTGCGGAGGGGGAGGTCGAAGAGTCGGACAGTGTTCTGCTGAGCTTTCCTTGGGTTGTGGCCGATGTGCTGGGAAGCCTGAAAGCTCGAAAGTAGGCAGATCAGCCCCAGATCAGAAGAAAAAGCCGCTTCCGGGTTAACTTGTGGGTAACAGCTTGAAGGGCGAGCCGATTGAGGGGTCGACAGGGTAAGCGGGTTCAGTGGGGTTATCGTGAGCGAAATCTTCTTGGAGTCAAGCGGGCTAGGAAAGACGTCGATCGGCTGCCTAAGCATGACGAGTAACTCAACAATGATACACTGGTCACACCGTAGGAAAGCCTTTTCAGGCCGAGGACTTGAGTCTGGATCAGAACATGTGCACACGGCCATCTTTTTATGATTACCTGCAAGGTAGTCAAGCGCACCTATAAAAGCTGCTCGATCGTTCATCTGACAACATGAATCAGTCAGAGCATAGAAAACGACCTGTTGTAACAAGGAGCATAAAACAGAAGCACAGGCCCAAGTGTACGTGCAGTAGTAAAAAGATATTGCGATATTGCTGTACAGATCTCCCACATTTGTTCAGCAGGCCCCTGACCGGATTAGTAACACATCTACATGGCATGGACAGACGTCGTGCGTACATGATGCATGTCATGCGGACGCTGCATATAGACAGCATGATGCACAGCATAAGTGTGTTGCATACCGTGCTATATCAGCAACAGGCGGAGCTGCCGCAGCGCGGAGGCCCGGGTTGCACGCTCTCATGTCGTCACATGTACACCGGTGGCCGCCCGTTTCTTTACAATAATATGCACGCCGGTTGGAGTCTGCCACCATATGAGAGAGGGAGTCATTGGCATAGCTGATGGATTCTGTGACCCTCTCTAGGTCATGATGCATTCACTCGGGCGCAATCGAACATGTCGCTGTAAGCTAGTACGATTCGTTTGAAAGAAGTGCGTGTATATTTGACTTAAGGTCTGACTCTTGCGGCGGGACCGTTCTTCTGCAATGCAGCTGAGCCTATAATATTTGCAACAAGTCCTGGAAGTCTTGACTTTCGGCACACACTGTACATGCTCAAGCTCACTTGGAACTTGGACGCCAAAACTTGATTCTTGAACTATTTTGGCCTCGCACAGATGTTAATATTTTACAGACTGCTTCACAATCTTCGACTACGAAGCGACATATATGTCATTGCTACAGCCATCATTGTGTGGCAAAACACTCGAGCTGCCCGGCACCTACACATGGTTGTTTCCAAAAAGCAGCGGCAAGCCAAGTAAGAACAGAGCCAAGAGGTCAGTATCGGCATGTCTCCGTCAGCTCTGAACAAAAGTCTGGTCGCTCAGCTAGTGCGAGGATGTGAAGTATCCTGCCATAACGGGCGCCGCAACCGCGCTGGACATGAGGAAGCTGCTCATTTTGAACTGTCTGCGATCGTCGGTGGAGGGGATGTCGAGGACCGCGGTCGGACGCTGACGGAAGAGCACGAAAGCGTAGCGGTGCGGCAGGTCGCCTTTGGGCTGGATGGGCTCATAGGAGGCGACCACTTTGCCAACCTTTGCCGGATCTGAAAGCAAGGTCAGTGAGTAGGCAATTAGTTTGTGATGACTTGGATGAAACATAGCGTGGATGAAACATAGGTGACAATATAATACTGGAATCGGGTACACGCAGGGACAAAAAGAGTACGAAGAAGCTTTGCACATTAGGCGAAGCAACTGATGACGCAACCTCAGACGAGGAGAAGATTTTCCGAGTACTATGCAAGGAACAGATATGCCTTCTCAAAGTATATTTCATGGCAATCCCTATTTCCATCTCAAAGGCCAATCTCGCATGTCTTATGATGATTTCCCTGCTTTCAACGAGCCTGATGGAACGGGCGACTTCTCACCCATCAGAGCTGCGTCGCTGGTCGCTTGGGGCCCCGGGATGTTGGTCACGAGCCAGTGCAGGTATTCGCCGTTCCCCGGGTTGGTCGGGTCGGGGGAGTCCAGGTCGACGAGCACCACAGTGTACAGGTGGGACTGCGCCTCGACGAAGTTCTCGTGGATGCTCAGCATGGGGGAGGACTTGAGATCAGCGGAGGCGTACCTCTCGCCGTTCTCGATCTGTAGAGTGAAACGCAAAGACTCCATCAATGCTTTGGCCATCAATGTATCGACACACTTTTCATGGATGCTCGTGAATATAACACAACGACTCCATCCGTTGTTTGATCACCATACAAAATTTTGTAGTATTCTATATATGAGAGGAAGAATTTCTATTTCCTTTCGAAGCTCAATCTGCGGTTGAACCATCGAGACATCGGTTCCCTCTTTGCTTTCCGTTCGTTTGTGGGGTTTGAAAGTCACCAACGAACGGAACTCTGTTTGTTTTCTGTTTCTCGGCGGATGTTTGCATTTCTGTGGTTTGTCATCCTCCATCTGTTGATAAACTGTGACAAACTGACGTCCTCTTTTCGGTCTGCGGACTGGTCAGCATCCCAAGATTGAACCTCCTCGGCACAGGAAAAAATCAGCTAGGGTCTTCAGCGACGAGGCTTTCAGAGAATATCTGACAGAACGACCATTTCACAGGACTCAACTTTCTTGCATGCTCCTCGACGCTAGTCAATCAAGAACTCAGAAGCTCACTTTATTCTTCGTCAGCATCTCACAGGTGCTCTCAAGCGCCGACAAGATCTTGATTGCAGGATATCATCCCATATGCAAACCAAATGGGAAGTTCCTGCTGGCCACTTTTACCTGCAAGGTTCCCTTGTCTGTTCCAAAGACCAGATTCAGTTGTGCGCTCGGGTTGAACGTGTCCAAGACGTCTGGAACGATTCCTGCCGCTTCCAGTTCGCTCATCAACGTTGGAGAGGCAGTTGTGCTGGCGAACGGTGTTGACGGAGCTGCCGGAACGACGGAAGCAACTTGAGTTGCGATCGGTGGCAACATGGTTTGGCAAAACCTCTCAGCATAGAGAAACAACTTTTTCAGGTAATAGTGAAGAGCACACGCACACCTTTTAAATGCTTGGGCAAAGAATGTTTCCCTGACTTAACTGGATAGAGTGTGGGCAGCATTTGAGTACAGACGCCTCCAACCAAATTTGCTGCTGAGGCGATTATCAGAGGACTGGTGCCAGTTGAGAATGGAGCATGTACCAGACCTAAGGGCAAATAGAAAGGCTCTGTGAAGCACACGAACTAGTCTTCATGTTGCTTCATGTGGCGGGACAACTTTTTAGTCCAGATATTTGCACAGCCAAATAAGAAGATCTTTTCCTGGATCATTCCTAAACAGCCGAGAGAGAAATACCCCAACCTCATCAACTGAGCCTTAATGTGATGCTGGCCGTCACTTCAACGAAGATCCACATAAGTTTGTAATGCACATATTGACGCTCTCAGGTTGTTGGTGTTTCCAATTGAGCAACCATGCCAAAAGTTAAGTGCACAGACCTGGTTGGTCAGTCTGACTGGATTCCTCTACTTGAGTCCGCGGACCAGCGCTTGTTGCAGTTCCTCCTGCGAGAATCATCTTGCACATTATGATGAAGTCCAATTCACACAGAATTGATGGAAACTCCACCTATGTCAGCTTCTGATTACACGAGTAGCTGCAGGCTGCGCTGAATATCCAGCATCTATGAAGGCCAGCGACCGCCTGCAAAACCGAAGCCACCGTCCGTAGCCAAATGGAACTGGAATTCAGACCATTGCTCCTGTCCAAAAGTTCTATATTACGATTTTGCACATGAATCTACTTCTTGCACGACCTCCTCTTCTATCAGAAAGTTCAAGCTAACTCATGCCAAATAGCGAGCAAAGCTAGATCAGGAAATGTAGAATCCAAAGTGGTCAACATTTGCAACTCACCCTGCGTTGATGCAGCCGTCTGTTCTTCAATTCTCCCCTGTGTGGAAGCTTCTTCCCCTGCCATCTCTGACTTTTCTCCTCCCGGGTGAGCCATTGGCACAGTTTGCAGCTGCAAATGATGATTTTTTCAAGTTGCTCCTTCTCAGATGACTTGCGCTCTTCTAGATTGCAGCTCACGTTCGGAGGTGATGGTCACAATGTGTCAACACAAAGCAGGGCGCTGCAGCATCTGTGCCTTCGCTTCCAAAGCAACTTCCTTCTTCTGAAGTCTGCTCAGACTGCTGCATTGGACACCAGTTCTGCGCTCCAAGCAAGCGGCGCCAGGGTTTCCCACAGCCGGCAGCTACACTTGGACCTGGCCGGCCGAGAAGAGACCCCGGCCGGTGCCGAAGGCACCCTGCCGGCTGGTCAGCCGGCAGAAAATGCAGGCAAAAAGTGGGCTCAGCCGGCCGGTAAACCAAATGCTGGCTACCGAGCCGGCAGAACCGGGGGCGCGCCGGCAGCTGGCCGGCCGGGACAAAAGTCCGTGGGAAACCCTGAGCGGCGCCCATCATCATGGTTGCATGCGCGGTGCGGGCGCCATGCCAAGTCATCAACCGTGCGTCACCTTGCTGGCGTCATCCGCCGACCAGTCCAAAACCCCGAACCTTCTGAGTCAAGTTTCGGACGGCGCACGACCGCCCGCGGCCCGCGACCATTTATAGCGCTTGACTCGATCTGAGGTGACTCGGATGCGACCGGCCGTCCATGGCATCGTGTCAAAACATATGTGCAGTGGCGTCCGGACCTCCGCGCTTTTCTGAATTTCCTTGGTGGGGCCAGTGGCCGGTTCTCGGAGCTCCGTGGCGAAGAGTCGAGGGGGCTGGTGGCCGGTGCCCGGTTGACGGACCACTTTCACAGCATTTTATAAGTCACATTTCTGAAATAGTCCGCCTATATAGATAATGGACTTCGTATACATGTACCTACCCTCGCCTGCCCCCTGCAAGAAGCCAGGCCACACCAACCGACCGGTCGAGTCGAAGACAATGGTCAAACGGGTTTTGTCAAAAATGACAATGGCCCAGACGCATATAGCAGGATTATCGCCTTATACAGCTTCAAATTGGCTCCTATGGGCCTCGGGCCTGTTCCTATTGAAATGCATCTAACCTAGTTATGCTTTAAACATATTTTGCAGACCACATCCTCCTATCTGAATCTGATTTCGACTTATGTTCTGTCGGGGCCCATGGGCACCCCTGGTGGCCGGTGTTTTTTGAGTCAATTTCTGGCCGTACCCCCCTGGTGGCCGGTTCTTTTTTCGGAGGTCCGGACGCACTTGCACAAGTGTTTTGACACGATGCCCATACATCCGAACGTATCACTGGCACATGAGGCGGTCAGCATACCTCTATAGAAATCTTTCGTCCGACAGCTGCTGCAAATCACCCGTCCTTGAGCGGGCGCCGCGTAAGGTGGGCCATAGAAAATGCAGCCCCTCCCGTTGCGCAACAGCGAGCGCCTTCATGCTCATGATTGTGAAACAGCGATGTTCCGTGCTCGTGGTCACACCGGCCCGCAGGCTGGTATGCAGCACACGAAGATGCATGAAGAGAGCTGCCTCTTGGTCTGAGAGCTTGCACTTGAGATCCGTTAATTCATTGACCCGAGCTGGCTATACTTATGCAGAACAGTGTCTACAATCTACCATGTGATGATGAATGCTGGAGACCTTGGACCTTGGAGACCGTCTATCTTCATATGATAGACGCACTACAAGCGGCAACCGTCACGCACATATGACAGAATCACATAAAGAGACCAAGATTGTAGGATAGAAACAGTATGTGCGCAATCCCCGCCTAAGGACAATACTGTGGAGATCGCATTCAATGATTGCAATCACTCGACACATTTCACTTCATAGTCGCTATTGGATCTTAGCCTCGGGCTTGGGGTATGAATGATGAAAGGTTACCATCAGCAATTGGATCCAGAGCAGCCAACCTTTGAAGGCGTGGTTTGGTTGCAGAGCTACCAGATGAAGTGCTGACAACTGCCTTTCGTGTCAATGGGTTTGCTCGAGGAGACGCAAGCTGCAACATATGAAGAGCCCCCCATTCCAGTTTATGATAAACGTCATCGCGGACTAGACGAGGTCAGCCCGTGGGTTTCTTTCTGGCTGCAGATAGCTTCTTATCTCGTTCTACCTCGTACTCTCGCAACTCCGCTCGTTGCAAGAATGCAACTTTGTCGAGGTACTTGTCGTTGCTCTTTTTGTACTCTTCTAGTTGGTCGGTTACCCCTTGCTCGTCCTTGTACTCGCCCCAGTCCTTGCGGCTCTTGTCGAGAACGTTCATCTTCTTCTGCACTCAGAGAAAAAGGACGCAGTCAAAAGGTGCGAGGATAACGAGCAGGCACTTACACGCTCCAACCGGAGAATGACAAGCGAGGAAAAGAACCATAAAATGAACAAGCCGGTTGCAGTGACACACAATTGCTGTCTCTTGATCACGTCTGTGTTCGAAGGACACCAGCGTCATTCGTTTATTTTTGCGCTTCAACCACCTCGGTTCGAACAAAGTTGCTCCGTTTACCAGCGTGATTAGCTGATTTAGCAGCGAATACAAATTGCACAAGGGAATGCGATGACCAGGAGGACATTTTTACCAAGTATATTGTTGAGACTGGCACTGCACCTGAGCGTGGTCTAACCCTTCAGAAGTGGGACTAGTCCAGAGATGCCCCTTACCTTTTTCTCTATTTGTTGTATGAGCGCATCTAAGCCGCTCACTGCTTTTTCCCTGCAAACAAGAAACCGCAAACAATTCTTAGCAGTGAACGCCCGTCTAAACATTGAAAGTTAAGCACGAACCCTGTCGTGGATGATGAACAATGCGCGAGCGAGATCCCTCCAGCAAAAGAGACAAACGCGAGGACAAGGCACGTAAGAAGGAGGATGGTCTCAAGCGCTGCTGCTTATCAACACCCGGCGGCAGTTTACACAATCAGCGAGACTACTTTACAATCTACCCGCAAACTCTAATGACCATTTGGCCTGTTACGAAAAGTCGCCCGAAGCTCTCTAGGCTGCACAACTTACTTCCGTTTGGCAGCTGCGTTTGGGTCTACAGTCCGAGTTACTCTGCAAAGGGTATAGACAATCTTTCTGAGCAACTTCGTTAGGAAAATCTGCCATGACATCCATTTACATTGTGATCTCAAGGGTGTCAACAGAAAAACAATTGGACAGTCGGAGTTCATACTTCTAGGACATTCAAGACGGCAAGAATGAAACCCATTCCTACAGAGTATGGGAACTAGGACCCATTCAAGAGCAGTTATGCTCTTAACGACTTAGAAGCAGGCTTGTCGATGGAGCTCAGAAACGCTTTGAACGTGATAGATTCTGTCTCTCTCTCTGTCTCTCTCTCTTGCAACGTGCTGTCAGCTTTTCCACACCATTGAAAAGAGGAACCCGACTCATGGAAAAAGCATGAAGACTCACTCTACTTTTTCTCCTGCAAAGTCACGCACTTCCGTTACTTGTGGACGGCCCTCGAGGTCTGTCCCCACCTGAGCCGCTCGGGCAGCCGCAATCGCTGCCGCAGCGATGGCCCGCGCCTCTTCCCGGGCTCTCAAATCTTCACCATCCTGTCAAAACGGTAAGATTGCATGAGGGGCACAGTCTGGCAAGTGCTGAATTTCTGCGCAGTCTCTGCCGCGTGCAACTGAGCACTTCCGCTTGAGGACGTTTATTCTGCATATAGCAAATCTTGGTTACGTATATAAGCTTGTTATGCATCCCCTCAAACGAATCCAACCATTAAGCCTGGAAGTCACACCTCAGGGACAAACAGGCCAGCTCTGCCGTTTGCCCGACATCTCCAAACAAGCGCCAAAATTAATCATGAGCGTTATCTTTTTTCACAAATGGAGGCAGAAGAAAACGAGACCCTGTCGACTTGGTGACGGCAGATCACCATATACTGCAACATTTCGTGCATACGACTCATGCTGGCTGACATCAGTGACCCCCTGGTCCTCCTTAGCATCATGCACTTAAAAAGGTCGAACCTCCGGAAGTACTCAACCTAAACTTCACAAGCAGCCCGAAGCCAGTTGCCAATAATTGTCACAAAGGAGATGAGTTGCTGATGGAATGTCTAGCCTAAGACGTAACGCAGGAAAAGCTAGCACGCTGTTCAGAAATCTTCATGACATGGGCTTTGCGCGCTATATCACGGAACAATGGACACTGGGGGTCAATGAGCACCGAGAACAAGGACCCTGTGGGTTTTCATACTTGCTAAGCATACACAACAACAACCCAAAACCTTCAACAAGCAGACATCTAGACAGCTGCTGTTCTGGCAATCTGGATTTGACGACTTCTGTGAAAAGACTTGATTGGCCTGATCGCTTGACATTCTTTCTGACTGACGAACGCCCAAAAGGTTCCTCAAACCGAGGTTGGTTTTTCAAGCATAGAGTGAGATGCCACTTATTATGTTTTGCAAGGCCCAGTGCGCAAGGTCACGCCATGAGTAGGAGATATCATTACTTGATATCAAAAACTATAAAACACGAGCGAAGACTTCTCAAACTCTGCCCTGAAATTCATAGGTGCTCAGCAAGAGGTTTTGTAAACACCCAATCATATCCCCAGCTCGTCAATCCCCAACTTGTCAGCTCACCTTAGATTCAGCCTTCTCTTCTTGGCCCCCAGTGACCTGCCCTGCGGCCCCATCTGCAACCCTCGTAGCCAGCCCTGTTCTTCCATTCTTTGCACCTGGTTTTGCTAACCCTAAACTGATCATCCACTCTGGGATGCTCTTGGCGCCACCTTGCTGCTCCTTCTTAACCACCCCCGGTAACCCATTTGACGTGCTCTTGACCACTGCCTTTGGAGCATTCAACAGCGCCCACGCCGCTTCTACTTTTGCTTTTTTGGACCGCTCTTTCAACTCCGCCAGGGGGTCTGCTTCTCCTGCATTTTGGCCCCCGTTTCGTCCCCCTGGTGCACCAGGGAGCTCTGCTTGCTCGACCACAGACTCCTTCGATTTCCTCTTCTGACCCTTCTTTCGGCTGCCAGCTTCTGGGTCATAGTCTTCGTCCTCCTCTGATAGATACTCATCATCCGCCTCCATTGCGCGAGCTGAGCAAAGAGCAGAGCGCTCGTCCCCGCTCAAATCTAAGGGACACCTGTATGTGAGATAAACAGAATGGACAAGGAGGGAACAGGGCGGAGCGTGAAACTACTGCACCTGAAGGCTGATGCACAAAAGAGAGAAATTGAAGTGGAGGTGAGAGGAGCTAGAGGAATTTCAATGCGAGCTTTCAACCTTGGAGCTATCTAGAGAAGCCTTGGATTTCGCAGACGAACGCGATCGGGAGCAGAGGCTGCATGTCATTGTGAGCCCTTTCTCCAACGGTGACAGAAATTGGGCCGTGCAACAGGCACAAGTTTAGAACTCGGCGTTTGCTTCTTCCGAAGCTGGCCTTGGGCTGCTCGCGCTCACCAGCTGTATTGAGGGGCTGCCGGCGGAACAGGCAATGGTTGGTCCTTGGATCGGCTAGTGATACTGCACTGTGCAGCCTCAGGGCTAGGTCACTCCCTCCATGATCCATTATCCATCCCAGGCTCGGGGCCGGGCCCGGCTTTCAATATGGGCGTCACGTTGCGTTCACGTGGCCGTTTGGGGGAAGGCATGCCGCCTGTTTGCCGATGCTAGACATCGCAGCGCTCCAATCACCAATGATGTTTTTAGAGAGCTGGCAGTCCGACACCCCTCATGGTTGCTTCAAGAGTTGTCCGCAGGACCAGTGCCCTTCACAATGACTTCCTAGCTCACTTTCCCAGCGTTCCAGGGTTGAGTACGTGACGTCTTGCAAGGTCCGCTTGCAAAGGCCCTACATTCGACCTCTGTGCGCAGCTGATTGCTCTCCGCGCCGTCAATCTTTCTTTCCTCTCCACCATCTTCCCGTGGCAGGCTTGAATGCAGACTAGCTGACCTCCAATCTTGGGTCTTCCAGTGAAAATGCCGCCATCCGACGGGCCCCCGCTCGTTCCCTCCCTCAATCTACACAGCTCTAGTCTCAGAAAGTCCAGCCTGTCTAGTGGCAGCAGCAGCGAGCGCCGGCGCACGTCGACCTTCCGCGTACGCTACTCTGAGGACAACTCCAATGCTATTCCCCCAGCTAGTTCTAGCTCCGAAGATGGCGACTCTCCACCCCAATCCGCCAGGAGACAATCCCTGTCCTTGGGCCAGCTCCGCTCGTCAGCTGAGGGCGTTTTGCTCAACTCAAATGCTGGTAGCAGGCTCAATAGCTCGGAGGCTCCCCATTCACTCCGCTCGAGCCTTGAAGCGTCAAGGCAGGCGCTGCGAGACTCGGCGCAGTCTGCGGGTAATGAGACGGCTCCAGAGCGGTTAGCGAGGATTACGCAAGAAAGTAGCCGGCACAGCACGCCGCTTGCGGGCCCTAATGAGGTCAAAGAAGAGAAGAAAGTTGAAGCAGAGGGGGAGAGCTCGGACTCAGACTTGATTGAAGAGCGGCGAAACTCACAGTAAGCAAGGCAGAATGTGGTCGAAATCTGGACAAGGGCGGTGGTACAGGTGGTGTTATAGGAGAGTGGCAAATCTGCTCTTTGCATCCGCATGGCAATGCCGCCAAGATATGCGAATTCAGCAATAAAGACAAGGAAAGAAGATCTAAGGGGGAAGATTTTGGAGGGAGATTTAAAGGGGTTTCTGCCAGGTGCGAAAACCTTGTGCTATATAACACAAGGCTTGATTGCCTGGGGAATTGGGCTGCGGTGCAAAAATGATCCATGCTTGTACTGTATGCGGAGGGCAAACTTCAGTCCCTGGTCCTTGAACCTGGGGAGTCAACTTTACAACCACCCTGTTCAACAAACTGGCCATCTATATACCACGCCCCCCGAGCAAGCGACGTTATTTTCGTATTAAGACATTGGCGGCGCGCCCAGTAGGAACTTGATGGACAGCTTTCAGAAGGTTGCACAAATCTGGAAACACGTTAGGAGCTCTGTCTCTGGGCAAATGAGATTTCGTGACTGTCGTTTTTCAACACACACCGTTCTCACAGCCTGCGTTTCGGTGCTGAGCTCTTCACAAATCGAGATGGGCAGACTAGACATTGTCCAACTTCCTGAACGGGATCTGCAGGTATTTTGCAACGGTGGCCAAAGTCGCTTTCAACTCGGAGGAACACAACATCCCCAGCCTAGGCATCGGGCCATCTGTCGACTTCTTCAAACTGATGGTAAGACCATTCTCAAGTCATGTATCAGCTCAGCAAGCTCTTGAGCCATATTCAGCCCCGTGGGTGGTAGTTTTGCCCGAACGCATCGGCATCGATGGCCGTGCAGTGCAATCCCTTTTTTGTTTGCTGATGCACGTCGACTGCATCTGCTGAGAACGTGGGACACGGTGTGACCTGAAGCGTTTTCTGTCAGGCCCCCAGCCCTGATGCAAAATGGAAAGCTCACCCAGACGCGGCCACTGGCCGGGGGGAGGACCCCAACGTGGGCCGGCTGCAGCTGCTCATACCCCCCACCGTAATCTACAGTGCTTACGAGGTGGGTGCTTTTAGGGTATTGCTTGCGCCCAGGAAATGTGGAACAGATGCAAAGAGCTTGGCATGGGAGTCACGGTTTGTGGGGGTTGGGTAGTCAACTCTATGACGGGCAAGGAGGGTTTCAGCAAGGATATAAGTGGCAGTTTCCGCCCACGGGTTGACACGTGGTGGATAGAGCAAAGCCGTTGCTTCGTCCGTTCCAGAGGCTAAATTTGAGAATGATGAGATATTGTGTACTGATTAAGCTTCGTGTGTCAGTCCATGTTCTCTTTTTCGTACGAACCCAAACCACAGTCCCATCACAACTTCCCTCCTTTCGGATCTCCCTTCGAGAAGCTATCAGTGAGTGTCAGAATGTTTAACCAGTCTCCCTGCCCTCAAAGAGTTCTCGCACACTACAGGTGATGGGCTTCTTTACATCAGAAGACGGATATGTCACCCGAAAAGACGACCTCCACCGGTCCGATATCTTCCAAATGCTTCTACCTAGGTAAATCTCCTTCGCATCAATCCTTCTGCTTTTCTAAATATCAATCGCCAAGCCGCACAAGCTCTTAAATGAGGAGCGTCAGGAGTGCAGGTGACTGGCCCGTAAGTAGGAACGACTTTTCCTCAGAGTATCTTACTAGTTGCTCCGTCGAACTCTCGTCAAGATCGAGCATAACTATTATCGTATCTAATGATCATGAGAATTGACGAAAGACCCATTCACCTGACCCAGTTTGTGAGAATCCAACTCTGCAAAGCAAGCACAGGCTTCGCGATGTGACTTATCGGTGTTTCCTCGGATGGAATGCACAGACAACATTCTCTACGTTTTGCAGCTACTCGGAAGGGCGCGCGACCCCTGTATCACTCACCGCCGTGAACCTTCCCGTGGCGGTACAGAAATCGAGAAAGGTGAGCGACCTTCGGATGCAACCGGGTTGCGAATTTGGAGAGACGGGCGACTCGAACGTGCTGCGACTTGCTGCTTCGAGTCCGCCACTCCCAAGCCTCCCTTCTTTTCTTCATCCCTGTTTGCACCGAGCAAAACCATTGTCAGCAGAGCCTCGGACGCTTATATATTACATACGATTCAGAGACCACCAAGCCGGCTGGTAAGCTGACGTCAAATATGACACGCGGCACCCGCAGGGGCGGTGGCGGACGGAGGCGCAGCTGGTGCTGATGAACGAGCTGAACGCGTACCTGGACAGCAGCAAGCTCAGCGGCAACTGCGCGCTGCAGCAGTACGTCAAGTGCGCGGGGCCCAAGGTCAGCGCGCGCGCGCTCTTTCAGTCTACCCATGCTGCACTCGATGGGGGGATGTGCGGGGCCCAAGGGCGGTACACCGCGCGCTCCGAGATGTTGCGCTTCAGCGTGCTTTACACGGTGGATGCAAGGCCGGGTCAGGTCCTATTCAAGGTCGCTCTGGACTTGGAACGTTTAAGACCGTGTTCGTCTTGTAGCGAATTTGAGGGCACTCACATCAAACATCATTGTGTTGTTTCTGACGATTTCAAGGTTGACCTTGTATTTGATTTGAGAGCCGCTTTCGATGTGAAAGTGTGCCTCGCGCGCTGCGTCGATGAAATCGAAGATTAGGACGTGGGCAGTCTTGGTTGTCGGGAGAAAGGAATGTCTAGGTTGCTTCAAATGGACTTCGCTTGAGACAGGGTTCGAGATGTAAACGCGTCTGAGAAAGGCGTTTCTGGACAAGTTGGTAATAGATGCGGATGAGCGACTGAAGGAAAGTTACTGTGCTTGGAGACGTGCGCATAGGTTCGCCCAACGTGAACATTCATTAAGTCGTGAAGTACATGATCCACTGGAGGACGAGAAGTGTCTTTGTGTTTCCTTCGAGTGCGCGAGCAGAGGGACGGTGGTCCTACCAAAGAACCGTAAGTGCACCTTCTTGGTACACCATTTCGACGTATCCTCTTAACAACTTGATTGAGCTGATCAAAGCACCTCCAACCGCAAGCATTATGCGTCCCTCCGCCGGACCTTTCTCCCCGCAGGTCTCGCATCAAGAAACGTATGCGGCGCCAGTCACATTCGACTAACAACCCAATGCCCCTCCGATTTGGTCTCACACATTTTGAAGTTCCAGAGGGTCAGCTTAGAAAGTAGACAATCTCCCCGAAGCTGATTTCTCCCCTCCAGGTGTCTCTCGTGCGGTGCGTCTGGCGGTCCGGCGGGCTGCGCCCCTCGCAGGTGTTCATCATCGGGAGCCGGCGGCGCAAGGGCACGCGGCCGCCCAACGACCTTCCCACGCGCGCGCAGTCCGCGGGCATGGACCTGGACGTCGTTGTCAAAGCGCTCCGCCACGCGGTCATTGTCCAGGGGTATCTTAACACCGTCGAGGTGCGCGTCAGGCCTTGCCTTTCTGTAAGAATCGAGTGTTAAGTCTGGGGCGGGTTTTGATTCTGGAGCACAGTGGCGGCGGTTTGCATCGAGAAAGGTGGGTCGCGACTAGTATTCTTCCCTCTCTGTGCTTGTAATTCCCAGAGATTGTTACTGATGAGCCACTACAGTGCACACTGCACATCAGTGCAGCTTCTCATCTCCCTTCAAGCCACTCCGATTCTGACTCCAACCTGAGCACCCAAATAACGGTTGCCATTGATCAGAAAGGTGCAGATCGTGTTATCCCTGTCGACTCGCGCAGTTTCCGCGCGCGTGCACTGTGCAGCCGGTGTCGGGCCACGGGTGGGCGGAGCCGCTGGCCCTGACCGCGCGGATCGCGCGCCACGTGGAGCGCGCGCGCAAGCTGCCCGGGCGCTTCCAGGAGCTGGTCGCCGACTTCATCCACGGGGAGGACGGCCGCTGGTGGTTCCTGCAGGTGAGCGCCCGGGGAGACTTAAAAAGTGACCGGGACGAGGAAAGCAGGAAAAGATGGGACTGGGCTCCCATTTGAGCTGTCATGAATTTTTCGGCGTCGCTTCTGCTTGCGGTGATTTTAAGGTGTCCGTTGAGAAGTTGCGAGCGAGGATTAAACGCTGCTCATATATCTATATAAGCTACAGCCGACATTGCCAAGCGGAAACCAACGGGGCAAGAATGGGGCGCGAGGTCCCTTTGGATTTCAAGAAGTTTCAATCCTGAAAACGCACCTGCTCTGCCCGTCAGGTGAAAGCCTTCAAGATCGCACCCTTCGAGGCCACCGTCTTGAAGCCGCTGCGCGCGCAAACGGAACGGCGCGCGCAGGAATGCCGAGGGGACTACTGCCGGACGCTGGGCATGGACGACAGCATCGATGCGATGAACGAGGTAAGCGGACGGTCCAAATGACTTAATATATATGATTTCGTGCGAGCCCTCCTTCTGGAAGCGGGTTCTTTTGGCACTTCCTAGTTGGCGACGATCGGGTGCTTCAAAGTGCCACATTTGGACCGTTCCCGTGTAAGTTCCTAAGAGTTCGATTAAAAGACATACGTGGTCTTCACAGCGGCCGTAGACAAAGAGGCTGTGCCTTGAACGGCTTCAGGTTCCCAATTGTTCTTGAGGGTATGCTGCCTCTTCTCCGGATTTTGAAACCCAAAGCTTCACCACAATTCCTTTTGCAAAGCTCGTGGATCCGCAAGACCATGCTTGGGCTCGACGTCCCGTTCAATCACACATTGTGGATTTTAAAATTCCTGACCTTTCGCTCTTACCTTTGATCGACTGATGGGACTTCTGTTCGTTTCCCCTTTTGGAAAAGCCGACTCGTTCCTCAAATCTTCAGAGCGCCCGCTCACCGTTCAGAAAACGTGCAGGACGGGCGTGGCGCCGACCGGCGGCGGCCAAAGGGTTTCGACAGTCTCTCCCGAGAGGAGAAGCGCAAGTACTATCTGGACCAACTGAACGCCGCCAACCGGGACCGGCCAGTCTCCGGCAGGCCCGGGGCAAGGGACCGGGCGGGCCCGGGGAAGGTCTCCCGGGCACTGAGGATGATTCTGCACAAGAGCATTATTCTGGATCGGACGGAGATGCAAAAGGAGGGCAACAAGTCAGGGTGAGGGCATTCTGCAAAAGCTGTGAATCACGAGTTCTATGCCGAGATGATGGAAGAAACTTAGGAGCCTCCAAATCGGCAGTGCGTTTGCAGATTTAAACGCCGAGGGCTGGTCAGTTTTGTCCGGCGCTTCGACCTTGGACCTCCTTTAATCTTCATTCTACTGACCCTTGTCCGCCATGACCGACGCTTTGACACCTACTTTCGCTGCAGGCCGCATGAGGACAAGCAGGAGGACATGCCTTCCCCTAGTGGAGGAAGCACAGCGCGATCAAACAAGGTGGGGTTCAATCACGAGCTCATCATACTGTCCCCTTCAGAATCGTGCCTCCAATCCCTTGATATATAAGGACGTAGAGACAATCGAAAAAGAAGAAAGGTATTCGTGGCTCACGTGAGTGGCGCGTAGCGTTACGCGCTCTGGTGCTCTGGACCACCCACTTAAACCTCACTGGGCGACTTCACAAAGCTTAGCTGGGAACTATACTATCTTGGCCCGGCCGCTCAAGCCCTCTAGTCCCTAGCAACTCTGTACGAGCTCCCTTGAACGGCGGGCAGTCCGCGAGCAGCGTTTTCAACGCCTATTACGAACGGCTGAAAGCCTGTCTCAGGTACGTGAGGCTCTCAATGTCTGAAATTGTACACCAATCCCGCCCTTCGAAGTATTCATAAGTTCGACCTAATCGATAGGTGACCGCTGGCCCATCGTGCCCATCAACCGCTGTGCAGACGCCACGTCGCTTCTCCGACTTTCTGCGCGAGCTCGAGCAGCGGCGCGAGCAGGCCAAGGCGGAGCGGCAGGCGCTGTACAAAGGGAATGCAGAGGAGGACGACCTCGAGCCGGACCCGCTGCCGAAGCCCCAGCGAACGGTGAGACACGCAGTGAAGGTAGTCTTTTTGCTGGAGTAGAGAACCTTCATTGTCTCTATGGCCCACCATAGGGGTGATCTGGTGATCGGGTTTGACCACGCGCTTCGTGGGGCACACGCATCTGTTGAGGGTGGAGGCATCTATTGCTGTGTCCTTGCTCTGCTTGTAACTTGGAGGTTCGCCTTGTCAAAGTCGTTGACTCAATTCTGTTGCAACGCCCGTTTGAGGGCTGGCTTAGGAAGGCTGCTTCCGAGGTGGATCTGCGTCGGTGAGCTTCCACGAGCCGCCCCGGCTAACCTGTCCATATGATATCCCCCTGGCAGGTGCCCATTCTCCAACACGACAAGCTGCCAGCCTTCTACTACGAACTGGTGCGTCCCTGCTCTCTGGTTGCTCAAAGCTTGGACCCCAACTCTGCGATGACCTATCGCTGCTCCTTTCGAACAGCATGACACTTCTCGTTTCGAGTCTCTGTGCTTAGCCCACTGTGAAAACAAAGGTCTTGGAAGCTGTACGATACCAGTGATTGGTCGGGCCCGGAAACTAGATACAATCTGACGTAGTTCCTAGATATTGTTCCCAATCTTTGAGCTGACCATGATTCGCGCAGTCCTCACCTGAGCGCTGTCTAAAATGCGTGACCCATCTGAACTTTCATTTTCCGCTCGCGCAGGTGCCTGTTTGCAGCGACTGCTTCCGCGTGTACCTGGCCAAGGACCACCAGCGGGCGCTCAAAGAAGACGCCGCGCGCCATGCGAGCCCTCTGAAAGACAAGAAACGCAAAGGAACACGCGACGCGCCCGACACCGCGCGATTCTAACCGACTATGGATGGACTTCGCGTGCACAATTCTGTGTCAAACACCCTTTGCCTCGACCCCTTTTATGTTCAAAAGGGTCAAGCAACGAAGCAAGTCAGGTCAAAAGTTTGCTTTTCGGAAAACTGTGTCGCCCGAGCCTGGATACAAGCCAATGGTTGGAGGAGTAACAAAAGGGGTTTGCTTAAGAGTGCAGGTGTCTCTTCGCTGCCTGTTGTTAGCGTAGTCGAACGTCAGCGTAAGCAAACGTCGCGAGGGTCCAAACGCCTATTCATGAAGTCTAAGAGTCTGATCCATCATCAGTACGATTGCTAGGTAGCTGAGTTCGTAGAATGCTATATTCAACGTTAAGCTCGTCAAAGTCACCTCTAGAAACCTATCGCAACCCATACAAATAAAGAACGGTTTTGTCATGGCTACTAGATCCAGATACTACAACGGGAAATGCTTCATATGACCAGAACGATCGCTCTCAACGTCAATGCCGAATCTGCACTTGATCCATGGCCTGCCTGCGGCTTCATAATTCCCATGTCAAGGCACTGTCACACTGTTCCTCGCGAGATACAAGCCGTTTGATGATTGGAGCTGCGATAAGACCACCCCAACGTATCCAGCATTTAACAATACATGCTATACCATGACGTATATATAAGACCAATGAGTTAAATCGGTGACGGGTGACCGCTTGAAACAGGCGCGCCATTCCTGAGATCTGCCCGACGGATTCCTTGATCGCGTGTCGGTCATGGCCCTTCGCCGATTGCACTGCGTGTTAGTTTTCCTGCTGTCCAACGATGTGCCGATGATCGATCCCTACTTGCTTTGCTTCCAAGCAGCCCAGGCATGATGAGCGAAGACACACTGACGGCGCGAACGGCCGGGTTGCTGCCGCTGGCCGTCGAGATCGCCCCGCTGCCGCGGCCGCATTTGCTGCCGCGGTCGCAGCCAGCGTTAACTGTGAAACTGTGCCGGCGCGCGCGCGTGCAGCGATCAGATTTCCGCTAGCGGCTGCAGTTCGGCGCCCACGAGTTAAAATCCAGTGAATCTCGAGGTACCTTGGAAGGTGGAGGTTAGGGCGCACAAATGAAAGGAGGTTCGTCCCGCTGATCAACAGTCATTGAGCTTGAAGTGGAGCCTGATTGACGTAGCAATCCCTCTGCCTGGGTGCGCACAGATTATGGGTGTGGTTGATTGATTGCGCTTCGATGCATTCGGTGACATTTGTGGGACGTGGGCGTTTGCTTCTGAAGAGTTGCTTCCTCTCAAAACCGCGTGCCGCTTTTGAGGCCATGGCAGAGGCTTTCCTCATCGTAGGGCATGTCTGCACTCAGACAGGAGTATTTGGGGGACCCCGGCTGAGCTCAGCAGAAGTTTCGCGGAGATTCCATACGCTGCTTTCAGGTTTCCCTGCTGGCACCCCGGGCTCCTTTCTGGGTGGCAGCATTGCACTTCCAGAGCCCCTCCTTGCTCTTCCCGTGGACTCTCAAGGTAGTCCCTTCCCATATCACTCAACGGCGGCCGTCGCCAGGTTGTCAGAGCGCCCTTTCTTTCCTCCTTCACGAACTGACACAAGTAAACCTGGGAATTGCTCAGAACTTTTGGCGCCGCAGCATTGCAAATCATGGCCCCTTCTCCGCCGGAAAGGCATCGCGCCCCTGGCGGCCTTTGGCACTCGCAGCGCATCAACAATGGGGAAGAAGGAGAAGACAATATATGTGTGCAGCGAGTGTGGGGAAGACTTTCTGCAGTGGCAAGGCCAATGCCCTGCCTGCAAGCAATGGAACTGCCTGAAGCGGTTCAAAGTCGAGAATGATGCAAGCGGGGCCGCCGGGAAAAAGGGTGGGGGGGGTGCAGGCGCGAGGGCGGTGGCGGGGATTGGAAGCGATATGGAGCTGAGAAAGCCAGGTGGGGGGATGCTCTTTTGTTAGCTGGACTGGAGAAGAATATATTGTGGGGTTATACTTCGAGTCTGCTAGTGTACACAACAAGTGGGCTTCACTCCTGGGAGCTCATAACCAGCTGCCAGAGAGGACATGAGTTGTCAAGGTGTTCTATCCGATTTAAACTTTCTTCTGATCGGATTCTTAAACCCATTGGATCGTTAAGTTGGCTAGCCGGCCACAAACTAAAAACCCTCATAAACACCGTCAGAAAATGTCTCTCCTGAGAACCAACATTGTTGATGCCAAGGTGGTGTTCTGTTGCAGACGTTACATCTGAAGAGGTGCGGGGGGTAACACGGAGGGGCTCCTGGCTGACTGACACCAAGGGGGGTCCCCAGACGCTGAGAGAGGCGAAGAGCAGCAAGCCCACCGAGTGGAACAGGCTGCCCCTGTAAGCACTAACGCTGACCCCATACTTGAAGGGTTGAAAAACTAGAGGAGGACAAATAAAAAGCTTCGCAGTTCTTAATCCAGATTGCAGAAGATATGTGGGCATGGCCTACGTTTGGCATGGAGATAGCCGCCTCTAGAAGTTGCGCGGATGATCAGGCTAGCGGGGTGTAACTTATGGTGCATTTAAAAGTCAACTAGTGGCTGGTCCTTATGTTAGTGTTTCAAGCCCCAGCATCATTGCAAAGTCGTACTTTTCCTCGACTTTGATACTCCGGTCTTACGGCATTTTCTTTTAGGTTGTGCCAGATGAGTCTCGTCTCTTCAATTCGGCAACACCATACCTCGGCGAATGTCCTTGCGCTGGAGCTTACGTCCCCTTTCTTAAGCCTGATGGGTTTGTGCCTGATTGCAGAATGGGCCCTACTGGTGCTGAGATGTCGCGCGTCCTTGGCGGGGGGGTCAGCAGAGGCTCCCTCATTCTAGTTGGTGGGGACCCTGGAGTGGGCAAATCGACTTTGCTGCTCCAAGTAGCCGGGCTGTTGGCAGACGGGAAAGGGGAGGGGGACGCTGCACCGGTCCTGTATGTTTCTGGGGAAGAAAGCGTACCTCAGATCTGTGGGCGGGCGGAGCGGATGGGGGTCGAGTCTGAAACGCTGTACCTCTTCAGGTGGGTTCGGTGCTCAGCTTCGGGTGGCAAGTTGTTTGCGTCTTTGTGGTACATTTGGCGTGTGATTATGGGCTCCGCTCGGGGTTGCGATGAGCAAACAGAGTTCTTCCCTGGGCTTAGTAGGTTTCATGTCACTCAAGTGGAAGCCCTCAGTTTGAGCATTTTGAAGCATTTTGAAGCGAACGTCCGAGGACCAAGGAGAGATGCAGGGCGTTATGGCCTGTCCTAAGATCCTCTGAAGGCGTAGACATAATCTGCATAGCAAAGTCCTGCATGGAATCGGATGCAAAGCATCCCCTTTTGACAACCCTTCTCGCATTGCCGAGTTCAAAGTGCTCAATTCTTTTTGTCGAAATTAGTGCCAACTCGGTCTCATGATGCTTTCCGTGCTCGGTCCAGTGCCACCAAGCTGGAGGTCATACTCGACTCCATCATGGAGTTGAACCCGCGCGCCGTTATCATCGACTCCATCCAGACGGTCTACTTGAACGACGCAACGGGGAGCGCGGGCAGCGTCATCCAGGTACGGCCTCTGCTGCTGTCATACTCTCTGCGAGATTCTCCTTTTTTGGACGCAACTTTGCAATTACCCGTTCGAGGATGTTTTGGGTCTATCGTTTGACTTGTGGGATCCGCATTCTCAGTCAAGCCAAAGAAGACCCATACAAAGAGGGGTTCCCAGCAAGTAAGTCCACCTCATACGCAACAGAGTTGAACTATAGCTATTCTAAGCTGAACCGCTTCGGAACCAATTTACGAAGGCTTGAAGTTTTGGATCTAGAATGACTTCTGAGCTTCGGAAAAAGGTTGCCTCCGTGCATTATAAGGCTCCCCTGCCCGCAGGTGCGCGAGTGTGCAAACGCGCTTCTCCAGGTGGCCAAGCGCACCGGTATGGCCATTTTCTTGGTGGGGCACGTGACTAAGGCGGGCGACATAGCGGGGCCCCGCGTATTGGAGCACATCGTGGACACCGTGCTGTATATGGAGGGCGAGAGGCTGCAGGCGCTCAGGTGTGAATGCGCACTTTCACCAGCGTTTGGTGTTGATATTCATCTTTCTTGAAGAGTACGTGCAGGCCTTCTGGTTTGAAGCATCGTTCGAACCGTCATTCTAGTCAAACACCGGATTGTTTTTCGCTGGCGAGGATCAGAGTAAAATTTCTCATCGTTCTGAGTGAAGCAAGGATACCCAATGAAAGCTTTGACGCTCGGGACCGTCACGGCTCCTTTGACGGACCTCGCGTGTTTGCAAGTCGCAACGGACTTCGATCGCAGTTGCCGGGGCACAGACTGTCCGTTGGGCCGGTTTCACTGTTGCGAACATCTCAGCGGCTTGCTCCAACGGTATCGTTACTCAGTCATCCAACTGTCTCCAGCCGCCACCTCGGCTTCGATGTCCGAGCAGTTTTTTGGGGATAGAACAAGTTGTTCAAAAATGGCTGCCGCTCGCTCCATTTCTTGCGGGGCCCAAGAACTTCGATATGGCGACATCCTCTAACCAGCGAAAGCCGCCGGCCTCCCTCAGGCCGAGCTGTCGTGGGCGGCAAAAACCGCTAAGAACGACTCTCGCTTCCAAAAAATGGTTGAGTTCCTTCTTCGCGGCATTGATTCTCAGAGGAAGCAACACTCAAAAGCAATAACTCTCAGTAAGTCCCTTCTTCAACCCGAAAACAGATCCGCTCTTCCTCGTGCGGCAGACTTCTACGCGGCACCAAGAACCGGTTTGGCAGCACTGACGAGGTGGGCGTCTTCAAAATGGCACAAGAAGGACTTGTCGCTGTGAGCGACCCCAGCGGCTTTCTTCTCGAGGACCGCGACGGCAACGAGTCGCCCACGCCCGTTGCAGTCGCGGCGCTGCTCGAGGGAACGCGACCCATTCTGGTGGAAATCCAGGTGCGTGGGGGATTGTCACAAGGCGGAATCTAATAGGTTCTTCAAGGCATCCTGAGAAGGAAAGTGTGATTTTGGTGGTGATGTTGGTCGAATAGTGGGGTCAAAGCCTGGTTGTTAAGAAGCATGCTCTGAGGGACGGCAAGGCAGGATTGTTCTGGTTTCGACTCGGCGTCGGAATGCGTGCAGCCAGACACAGACCTTTGGGTGTTGTGCATTCTCGCAAATTTCGCATCGGCAAAGGTGGGTCCGGGTCGTCGAGCTCCTGTCCTGGACTTGCTTTCGATTCATATGAACCCCCAACTTCGCCGAGTGCAGCCTGCCGGGCTTCTAGGGAGGAAAAGCGTGCCAGGCGGGAAGAGAGCAGAAATACACATTCCACATGCATACGTCCAGAGCTCTGCCAGAAGCTTCTGGCTCAGCCGCATCCGCTGAGCAGATACTCCTTTTCTCGACAGGCCTTGTGCTCGCCGGTTCCGCAGAACGCGGGGTCTGGTCGGCGGTCCGCGGTGGGCCTCGACACGGAGCGCTTCAACCTGCTGCTGGCCGTACTACGGAAGCAGGCCGACCTCAAAATCTATAACCAGGTGAGGCGGGGGGACTTGCTATAACAAATGTATTTTTCGCTGCATCAGTAGTGGTACTTAACAACGAAGTACCTGCTCGTTCAGACAGTGTCGTTTCGGGGCTCAGTAACGGCACTCTGCTCTGTAGAGTTGGCACCCGCATGAATCCTCCTGACAACCCTCCTAAAGGTCTGCATCTACTGGTTTTTTGGATCTTTGCACCTCTGTTCACAGCGAAAAAGATAGCTTATTTTAATGCATTTTTCCAGCATACCTCGACTCTCTGCCAAGCGCCCCTCCGACGTTCGGTCGTTCAAGTCCTTAACGGGTTGCTCAAGCTAGCTCCACCTTCTTCTTTAAGAAGCCACCAGATTCGACAGCTGTGCAGGACGGACATCTACCTGAATGTCATTGCTCCTCCTCCTCTACTTTTCTTGAAGTATCCAAGTCCCGTTTTGTGCAGGACATTTACTTGAATGTCATCGGCGGCCTCAAGCTGTCCGAAGTCGCGTCGGACCTGGCTGTCGTCATGGCTGTCGCCAGCAGTTTCCTAGAAAAGCCCATCCCACGGGACATCGCGTTCGTTGGAGAGGTTGGTTTGGGCGGGGAGCTCCGATCGGTGCGACTGATTGAGAGCAGGATAAAGGGCGCCTCTAGTTTAGGATTCAAGCGGATCGTCACACCGAAGTCAGCGGTAGTAGGGTTGAAACTGCCGGAAGGAATGGCCGAGATCATCCCGTGTGCGACCGTCAAGGAAGCAATCTTGCGGACGTTGGATGTCACCGAGAAAGACCTGAAAGTGTCGAAGAGTGCTTGATCGACATACGCGCTTGTGTCCTTAATGCTGGGCACGCATTGTTTGTAGTAAGGGCAGTTTGCCGAAGATCCGACATGTCTTTGTAAGCTGCGCTCTGAGGCGACCGTCTCGTCTTTGTTGTCATGCATGCATCGAGGCGTCGACTCTACACCGTGCGAGGCAGTAAGCTGCATATCCGATTCGCATGCAGCCGAGCTCCCAACATAGGATGCGTTGTGATTTTGAGATGTGCAACAGACAGACAATTACTGACTGAAAGCCATGCATACCAGCAAACTTGCTTGATCACTTGAGAGATACTGCCACGATGTATGGCCATATCCACGACATCTTCTGCGCACCCTTTTGTGACTGTCGCACAGGTCGAAATGGGTGCTCGGTCGTTTTCGGCGACTCAGTGGAACGAGCAACGCTACTGCCAGTCTAGTCAAGTCTATTGCTGGCAGCCGCCGCTAGAGATTCGGCTGGGGCCACTGCGGCGGGGCGGCCGCCGGCGCGCCGCGCTACAGTGCCCCACGCGGGCTTGCCAGGCGTATCATCGCGGGGCCACTTCCCACTACGATAGTGTTGGTTTTGTGACCGGTTCGGAGGCACAAAAACCCGTCGGTGGGAATACTCGCCCTGCCTCGCAACTTGAAATGTGACAAGCTAGCGAGGTAGCGACTGGATTTCAGAAGCTCAGTGTGAACTCAGAAGACTCTGAAGAGAACCGAAGAGGCCCTCAAATCAAGGATTCAAAGGGAGGCTGCGACACCTAGAGACGGATTGGCAGCGTATCAACACTGTGTTCAGCATCAAACTGTTTCTCTAGTTTTGGGGGGGCAGGGCTATAGACAAAATGGCGGCCGATTGTAGAATGTACGAGGCAAAGTTCCCGGAGGTGGACGATGTGGTGATGGTTCAGGTAAGCTTCGTTCGTGACACTTCTTGGGGAGCATGTGGGTTGGAGAGCAGCCTGGTATTTGGTCATCAGAAGTGGTAATGGTGCATAATTGTCGGTGGTTGTGGGGTGCAACATTGTCGGTTACAAAATGATGCAAGCAAGTTTGGAGTAGTCGAACCAATTGACAAGCACAGCTGTATATCAGAAACAGGTGTGCAGCCTGGAACACAACATCTAGTCTCATCTGCTGTCCACTTTGTGAAGCGAGCGGGTCCTAACTGCTGATTCCAACTTCACGGTTACCGCCAATATTGAACTTCTTGGATTAACAGCAGATTTGCTAACAACTCAATCTTTTAGGATATTATGAGGGTTTGAATTCGAATAGTCAGCTCATTGTGTAAATCAGACCAAGATGATGAGTATCTAATGCATAGGGCAGAGATAGAAGGAATGGAAGAGGTTGGCGACGAATAAAGTCGCAAGGGTTTTTGTCTTCAGGCAGAGCAAGGTTTGATTGCTTCTGCTGACAACTTCAGCTCAGCTCAAGTTTGGATTCGATGACCCCAGTCTTTAGCGGTGGCTTAGCAGTATCCAATCAACGCCCGAGGCGGCATGCCCGGTCTAGTAGCACGGCTGATGATCCCTGTCCGTACCACCACTGCAGGTTAAGAACATTGCCGAGATGGGTGCGTACGTCTCGCTCCTGGAGTACAACAACATCGAGGGCATGATCTTGCTGTCTGAGCTGTCGCGGCGGCGTATTCGGTCCATTTCCAGCCTGATCAAAGTGGGAAGGCAGGAGCCAGTCATGGTTCTGCGTGTGGACAAGGAGAAGGGCTACATTGATCTTTCTAAGCGGCGTGTCTCGGAGGAGGACGTGGCAGCGTGCGAGGAAAGGTCAGGCAACCGGAGAAAATTGCAAGGCTGATGTCGCTGAACACGTCAGTAGAGGATGCGGTGCAGCGAGAGCATTGGGGATTAAATGGTCGTTGAGTTGCGCCACTTGCGCACAGACTGGGGCAGCGATGTGACTCGGTTCTCCAATCGTCGGGGGACGGCGTGGGAAGCCACTAGGACAATTGTGGTGTGTTAGGTCCAATGGTTGCTCTTGGAAGGAGCGGTGATCTTTGTGCTGGGTTCCTTCTCGATGAGGCGAGAAGGTTTCTTTTTGTCGGGGGCCAAAGCTGTGTAGTTGGTAGAGGTGTCGTGCTCTTCTAAGAAACATAAATTGCCGTTGATGCAAGAAGTCCCTTGAAAACATAACCCTGCAAACTGCTGCCAGAAGCTGACTCAATCCGACCTTCAATGTGCAGGTACAACAAAAGCAAGATGGTGCACAGCATCATGCGGCATGTGGCTAGCACAACGGACGCTGATCTAGAGGTGAGTGTTGTATGTGGCGAACCAGGTCTTGGCCCCTGGCCCCTGTAATTCAAAGGGTTCCTGAAGGAGGTCGTGAATCCTCATTCAGTCAACGACTTCGCGCCAGAACTTTGCCTCCCAGAGCGTGGGCCGATTCGTGGAATCGACGTGATTTCTTTGGTGATGATGTTGAGGCTGCTTCGAAAGCATCGGCAGAACACGCCACCCTTATCTTCTTCGACGGTCAGTCCAACACGAGCTTAGAGTCAGACCTTTGGATGGAGACATGTTCAAAGAGATTGCTAACTCGTTGAGCCCTTTGCAGGACTTGTATGTGCACGTAGGATGGCCCCTGTACAAACGCTTTGGCCACGCTTTTGAAGGGTTCAAGCAAATGGTTGCAAATGCGGACGAGATCCTGAAGACGCTTACAAAGGAGGTCAAAGAAACGGACCCAGAGACAGGGAAGGAGGTGAGGCCGAGTGTCCTTTCTTCCTCCTACATCCGCTGGGCGGTTTCCACTTCTTGAGGGGTGATCATCTCTTCTACTAGCAGTCTTGGCAGAAGCTGTATCAAGCGCTTGTATTTGCAATACTGCAACTTGAGCTTTCTCGCTCTCTCTTCCCTGGTCTGATCAATATCCATCTTCATATCGAGCACTGTATACGCTATTGAAGCTTGTGTCCCTTGCCAAACGTTCCACCTACGGGTCACCGAAATCAGCACGCCAATTGAGATCGCCCTGCTATGCAATTGGCAATCCCTAGCCGCTCGCACCCGCCTTACATTCGTTCGTTTCAGAAAGGATCTAACATCAGAAAACCCTCTTTGCAGGCGGTGAAGCAAGTCCCCGCTATGACCCCCGACGTGCAGTACGCACTGATCAAGGACATTCGGCGGCGGATGACCCCCCAGCCGCTCAAGATCCGTGCGGACATCGAGCTCAAGTGCTTCCAGTACGACGGTGTGCTGCACATCCAGGACGCGATGCGCAAGGGCGAGAAGGCCGGCTCCGAAGAGTGCCCCGTCAAGATCAAGCTCGTCGCGCCGCCGCTCTACGTGCTCACGACGCAGACGCTAGATAAGGTGAGCACCGCCGATTTGTGTTTTCCACTGGTGGGTTCCCCTCTGCCTGGTTGTTCTCGTGAATGTCTTGTTTTGCTGCGTTGGCTTTCAAATGTGAGGGAGTCGAGCGCTCTCCTTTCTGGGAGGGGAGCTCTCGTTGCGCTTTTAGTCTCCGTTTGCTAAGTGGACTTCGCCCGAATGTGGACCCTGAACGAGCACGACGGTTTCTGTGTAGGATCTTCTCGAGAGTGCTTGATTTTCTGCTGATGCCAGTGAGAAGTGTTTCAACCTGGAAGATTCCGGAGTCAGGAAAATTTGATCACCTGGACCGCCGACTGACTCCCCCCAAGCTGCTGTACACCACTGTCTTGACTGGACAGCCAAAGAAAGGGTTGGTTGGTGTCTGGTAGCTGATGGTCACGTTGTCTTACGTCCGGAAGGAAGTAAAACGATAGGACATCTGCCCGCTTTTGGGTTACTTAAGGTTTTGCTGAGTTCATCGGCTAGCTCCACATGTCCTTCGCTTAGAAGGTTGTGTTGGCCCAAACTTAATTCACTTGAAGAGGGGTTCCCAGAGATTTGATAAGCAGCCAGGCAAACGGGACGGGCGGTGGCGTCCGCGGACCATGGTTCTGTCCTGCCAAATTGTGTGTGTAGAGATCTGCGGTCTGCGAGGCAGCGTGGCCGACGTTTTGTTGGTCTGTCCCACCAATGAATGTGCTTCGAGCTTATTCGGCAAACACTTTCTTACACCTGGCCTGTTTTGCAGGATTTGGGCATCGCAGCCTTGGAAGCTGCCATTCAAGCCGCTTCAGACGAGATCGAGAAGCACAAGGGGAAGCTCTTAGTGAAGGAGGCGCCTCGCGCTGTATCAGAGCGGGACGATCGGTTGTTGGCCGAAAAGTTAGAGAAGCTAGATGCGGCCAACCGTGAAGTCGATGGAGATGAAGACAGTGAAGAGGAGGAGGACGAAGGCATGGGTGACATTGATGTAGAGGCAGGGCCTGCTTTGTCAGAACCATAAAATAGTCGAGACGCATGGTTCAAACTTTTTTGGGGACAATAAACGAAAAGGGAATGGACAATCACACCATTGTAACAAAGCTGATTTCCAGACACGGATTGGAAGGGCTACTAGTACCGCGGCCAACCCGAGCTCGGTCACAGTACAATTGTAAGGTTTCCTTGCAAGGTTGGCTTGTGAAGACCAATCCAACCCGTTGATTTTCTCACATGTGGTGCTCCTTAGATTCTTTGTGCTACATGCTTAGCTGCACGAACTATACGCTTCCAATCCATAGTAGCTTTGGTTTCGGTTGCTCTCTCTCGTTGCGCTAGAGACAATCCCCTCTGCTTAGCTGTTTGAAATGCGTGTGCATGCTGTGACTCGGACGCCCTTTGTAATCGAGTTTTCAACTTCGGCATGCTTGGAAGAGAAAATTGTACTAAGATAGTGGCCGCTGCCCCATTCTCGAGTTTTACGGGCCGTTGGCCATACGGTAGTTTGTATCTTAACAAAGTGGAATTGGCATACGGTACATGAGACTATAGGGCCGCCAAACAGAGCCCAAGAGCCTGGCGGTTCAACATTAACATCCTTCGCGACCTCTGTTAACTTGCATCATAGACAAATTGAAGTCCTGTACCTCAGTGCACAACGGCGAGCCTTTAAGTGGCCAAAAAGTCTTGATGGTGCGAAATTAAGGAGCCAAGAGTGAGGGGACCAGGGCATGCTTGAGCTAGCTCGAACACAAGAAGCAGTTTCGTACCGCCATTGTCAACGTACAGCCATTCTGCACCTTCTTGCTTGGGGTCCCCATGCAGAGCCGTTATTGGCAACAGTGATTGAGCTAAGCGCGCGCGCGTACCACAGACAGCCGGTACAAATGTCAAAATCTGGAAATATCGCAAGACAGAGCACGTGATTGGCTTGGCATTGAATGTCCACGTTACGGGTCTCTGACAGTCTTGAAACTCAAGCGAGCTTCGATTGGTTGTACCAATCACATGGTTCAGTCCCAGTCAGCAACTGACCTCACGCGTGAGTGACTTCCAACAGTCCTTTGGTCGTAAGAGTGAACGGTACGCACCAACAGAGAGACTACCTATGCCCGACTAGGCCACACCCACAGGCTGGGCAGGCCATCGTGCCCGGTAGAAAGTACCGGCCCTCTAGGGGACGGACCGAGCACAGGTACCTGTAGAGCTGTACAGCGCAGGCGACCGGACGCGTGCATTCTGGAGAAGGAAGCTTGAAATGTGGGCAGCAGCTGGCACTGGCAGCAAAAGCAGCAAGCTGGGCAGCCAAGCAAAAGTGCATGCGCACATGGTTGCTGAGCATCCTCCACACTTCAAAAGCTGCAAACGCAAACTCTGCACAGGGCTGGCGCAAGAAGCCACAATTGGGCTGATAGCTTCGCTACAAAACATTCTAGTAGTGGCATGTCTGTTTCCAGCAGAAGGTCTTATGCGCAGGGCCCACAGTTTGGTTAGCATCATCTCAGTCGTGTCAGGTGTTGTCTGAGCGTCCGTGAGCAGGGGGATTACTAACAATTGCTGGCTGTGGCTGTTATTCTCCGCAAGAAGTGTTGACTTGGTTTACTGTGCCCTATTTGTAATCTGTGAATCAGAGCAGCAGACGGGTCCGTATTTGACGCATGCAAGTTTTGGCTTATACCTCAGAGCAAGGAGCACTGTGGTCATGAAAGGCGTCCGTGGCCGGCCGTTGCCCCTATCGTCTCTGAATCACATCAGCAGGAATTGCAGAGACATCCTTGCATCCGTGGCCTTCTATGAGGTGGGTTTGAAATGATGTTGCTGGTTTTGCTATGGCGCATGCGCTGGTTTTGGCTTCCTTGTTCAAAATGTAGGAGCCTTTGCAGCTGGGGGGAGCTGTTACGAACCACTCAATGACCGGTTTGTCAGGGAACAGCAACATCAGATGTCCACCAGCCAGTCGCCAGCCAGTCACCAGCCAATTGCCAGCCAATCAGGTTTTTGACCATATAAAAGCGCATGTGCTGGTTTGCAATGCTGATTGTCATCAGGTATCTCAGTGTTTAAGAGAATGATCAAAGCAAAAAGTTAATAGTAGCTCAGGGAGCAGGCTATCATGCCATGGAATTTCCACATTTTGGTACGCTATGGAGAGTCCTGGATTTTTCAACATTTTCAGGTCATTGATATGTTATGGCCTTCATGCACCTGATGGACTTTACCCTTTTCTTTTGTCCCTTGAATCTACTGCTTGATAGGCCATTGGCACCACTGTTGTCTCAAACATTGTTTTGCTGCACAGCTTGGTAAGTTTTGCATATGGAAGCTCGTTGTGAGTCAATGGCTGGGAATGTGGCCCGTGGGCGCTTTGCCAAGAATGTACAGCAACAGAGGCCCCCTGCTTTGCATTAGCACACGTCAGGTGCCTCTCTCAGCTTTCACTCTCTCGTATACAGGATGTGCTAGGATTCATTCAGATTGTGCGTCCATCCAGATTCGACTTTGACGGTGCCTGGTGAGGAATCCTTCTTCCATCTGATTTTAATGCACAATTTGTGCCAGAAGCCTTCGCCTGTTTCCTAGTGAAGCAGTTTTTCTCACTATTGACGTGATCAGGGTCAGCTGCAATCGCTTTCAGTGAACAGATTTAAGCAAGGGCAGACAAGCGATATTGTGGATAAAGAAGGTTTGACCACGTTGGAACATCTGCATTATGCGGAGAAGGTTGCATTTTCCGTTCGTTGAGCACGTTGATGTGGATGGAATAACCATTGACGCTATCAGGCAATCTGTACTCTGCACTTTCGGGTGCTCTGTACAATTGGACCTAGCAAGGGTTCTCAGAAACCAACCTGGTGATGCCAATCGCGTGCAGGTTATTCCAGTATGGCATAGGCCTTCACCTTCTGAAAGAAGAGACCGACGAGGGTCTGGCACTACTTGAGCGCACTCGGTGCAAGGCCATTGATCCTAGGGCGGATCATATATCATTCCAGGTGTGTGTCGTGCAGTTAGTGAGCAGGACCTTGTCATATGTGATGATGGTTTCTTGGTTTTCTCTTTCGCTCATGCTATCATGAAACACTGGCTCACTAAGTAAGGGCGTCCTATTCTGAATTAAGTGCAACAGAGACTCCGCTTTCATTTTAAAGGTCTCAAATTCTGAATTTGCAGGCGGACAATACTGGAGTGGTTGAGCAGCGCTTGCGAGAATTTGGAGTCGAGTACAAGAAACAGACAGTGATTGAGGGCAACATTCGGGTGCAGCAGGTGAGGATCAAAGCGGTGCCTCGAAGTCAGCGAAATGGGGTCATTTGGGTGTTTGTAAGCTTAACTTGTGTGTTGATGTGTTTGGGGATATTTAGAGTTGTACCGAACACAGTAAAGTTTGTCTTGAAATCTTACTGATGAGGGCATCCAGGCTGGCATGAAAAGAGCTCCAGGACCAGACACTCTTAACTTCCGGACAACGTACTTCGACATGCAAATACCACAGGCATCCTTGAGAATCACGAGGTTTGCTCACCAAGTTCCTCTCCTTCGACTCAGTCTATGTCGCCGCCAGTTGCAGGTAGTTGCAAATCATTTTCGATTCTGACAATAAGGACCTAATAAGAGTTTGGTTGACGATTTCCAATACATTTGACCCCTGCGTCATTCGAGCTGCTTCGTCCCTTGGTTCCGATTTGAAAGGTTTCTTTTTGAGTTTGGCCATCACTTCAGATCTAGGCATCGTCAAGTTGGAATCAATCTACCTAGAGTCACCACGCACCTTAGAAGGCTTTCGTTCCCTCAGTCTATCCATCTTCAGCTTGCGACAAATCTGGCCTGCACCTGGCGCACGTGAGAGATTGTTTGTTCCTTCGAGGCACTTACGAAGTCCCCCGTTTTTTGCTGCAGATTTTCTTCCACGATCCAGACGGCCACATGATCGAGATTTGCGACTGTGAGGCCCTGCCAATCATCCCGCTGTCAGGAGACTGTTTGACCTGCCCAGCCCGCTTCAAGCAACGGAGGCTTGCGCATGCGAAGGAGGAAAAGATGATCGAGAACGCGCAGAACGAGTCGTTGGCCGCTACAATCGAGGAAGATTTGAAATGGGGAGTTCGAGCATCACGTCAGGTCGGACTTCCCAAGACGGCAAGTTGTGGGGATATTGCTGGCAACGATAGCATGTTTCCTGTGTGTGCTTAGGGGACTAGTGCGAAGGGGCTTTGTACATTACGGGGTTATAGAGGTGATAGGTATGGGCCTCGTCGCATGGACGAGGTTGCCCACGAGACCAGAATCGTTCCAGTTTGAAGAGCTCTCTTATGTTTCACACTCTAGTCATTGCAAAGTTACTTAGACTTAGAAGCATAGACCATAACGTCAAAGCCTGGTCGAGCATCCCGAGGCTTTTGGTGTATATTTTAGGTGTTGAAAACAGTTCGATGTTTCTGATGGTACGAAAAATCCGCAGGAGACCATTCTAAGTAGGTACTCTACATCTGTATAGACCGTGTAACATACAAGTAGCAAGAGATTGATCGAACAGTCCAAGTCATGGCCAGTAATCAGGGTGGTGTCCTCCTTAAACTTGAAACACGCATCCGCCTACGTAAGACAGATTTTGAGCTTTTGACTCGCTTTGTCCAAAGGATCAGGATGACATTGTCTCGGAAACTTCTAGAAGTGAAACGCATCAAATTGCAAAGCATGAGCGTACTTACTCAGGTACCAACTATACACCTCGATCAAGCATTTCACGCGATGATGCTCCATTACAGCCCCGAACGCAGAGGCCGTAGCATCCATCATTGCTTGCATTATGCACGTACTTACTTCGGAATCATCTATGATCGACACGAATGCAACGGACATGAGATAGTCATCACAAAGTACTTCTGGAACGCTATGATTTCACGCGACTATGAATCACGGAGTATGCCACACCGTTCGCGGTTTGAGTATACGTGGCTCGAGACATGAATGCGATCGTCATGCAATAACGAGCATTGAAATGGCATATTTATTGAAGTGCAGTGTTCTAAATAGGCGACCCGTGTGTCTGCACTGCTCAGCTAAAGTGGTGAGCTTGTGCGATTGCAATGTAGTTTCAAACCTTTACCAGAGGCCTCAATTAATGTGAGCAAGCAAGCAAGCATGGGCTGTAGAAAGTTTTGCCCGGGATATGAAAGGGCTTGGCTCCGATTCGAACATATGGACATATATGGACATATGGACTGAATCGCGGATTATCTATATTTGCATTTGCGACAGACACGAACGAGGCCAGATCTGCATCATGATTTTCCCAATGGTCATGGTATTACATGAGGAACTATAGAAGATTGGATTACCAGATTTCAACACAAAGCTAATCATTCATCGTAGTTTTAACAACTTAGCCAGCTGGATACTTCGGCATGTGGCTATGCTCGAGGACCGGGCGGCTTCCCCTAATATTTCACACTAGTCTGAAATCACAGCATCTGCTTCTATTTCAATGAGCATACCTAGGTCCACCAATCCAGAGATCCCAAGCATGGAGGAAGCTGGGGGACAATCTTTGAAGAATTCTCCATGAGCGCGTGCAAACTCCTGAAATCGACTCACATCAGTCACAAACATCCGTGTCCTGATGACGTGTTTACGTTCAGCCTGCAGCAACAAGAAAGAGTACGCATTGTTTGCAGCAGGCAGTGCTCATGTATGTAGTTAAAACTCTAGAGCGCTAAAGCTCTTCCCAAAGACTTGGGTCCACACTCACCTTCTCGATTGTTTAGTTGGCACAAAACAAAGCCTAAGAAAGCATCCAACCTCACGAATTCCTGGAGGGACTGAAGGCGGGTTTGAATTCAGACAGAATGGCTACAAGTCCTACCAATATCCATCACTCCCTGAATCGAAAGCAGCCTCGACTTCCATGCTTCTGACCGTTGATGAACTTACCCCTAGCCCCAGAAGGGCCTTCTCGATAATTTGCAGGCATCTCTTAGCCTGCTCATAAGGATCCCCTGGGGCGTACAGCTTGCCCTGGTCATCAAGGGAGGTTGTCCCAGAGACTGCGCACATAAGTCGGGATTGTATGACCATTGAGAAGCAGCATCAAATGATAATGTCTGTTCATCTTGGAGGGCTGCAGCAAAGGGCACTGAAGAGCACCTTGAGCGTCAGGAGCTGTACAGGGAAGCAATCAATCTTCTGCACCTTCGGATAATCTGTCACAAAGCTGGTTGATCAATATCTACCCTGACGCAGACCTGATGTCTGCTTAAGAGGCCCTCGCTTGCAGGCTGATTCGGATTTGACATAATGGCATTCATCAAGTCAGGCCCAAAAAGCTGCGACTCGAGAAGTGACGAGCTTATTGGCACCGCAAAAAAGGCAACAAGCACGTTGCAACTTAAGTCACGCTGTTACAAGATTGCCAGCGCACAGCAGGGGTACCCAGATCAGGTCAATGCTCAAGACATTGAGACTGCATTTCAGTGTTCAGCGGCAGCTTTACCTCACACTGATTCAGAAATCAAAGTAGTTTTGGTGCATTATGTACAAGCACTACAGTGCCGCTGCAAAACTTTGCATGGGGCTTGCCTGACAAGAGGAGGAGGACTTGCCGCTTGGATTAATAAGAACGTGCTAGGCAGAAAGAAGCTCTGGTTGAAGTGAGAAGGACTTGGAGGATGGCGGGCAATTTGTTGCAGCTTCAATCCTGAGGAAGCTTTCTCTTGCAACTTTATGCCTGCTCTTAAGAACATTGTGGAAGGATGCTTTCCAATGAAAAAGACCAGCTGACCTGCAATTGTTTTTCCTGAGCGTATTCCTCGGCAATAGCCCGCAGACGGCTCCCATACAGCGCCAGAGAACACACGTTGTACGCTCCCTTCTGGCTTCTCCATGGCTTGGTCCGAGAATGACTTGAAGGCCAAGCTGTTCAACACGAAAGCTGCACTCTGATGAACTCGAAACTGCGCAAGGCCAGTATCTAAGATTCTCTGCAATCTAGAATTTGCTTTCCACATAGTCCTGTAACACCACGGCCCTGCACGAGCACAAACACACAAAGGCTTGATAGGCGGCCAGAAGTGAGCTGTGCAAATGCAAGCCACCAGCTCTCCCTGAAAAAGGATGCGTTCAATTGACGCGTGCAATGATGCTGTCGCTTTCAGCAGGCAGCGCAGTGCTGGTTTCAGCTGAAGATTTGCGAACGTTGACCCAAAGCAATCCCCCTGCCAGTTGTTCACCTGTGATTGGTCTGAGCGGGGTTCCAGGTTGCGTCACCTCATAGCATTACCGCTCGATAACCGTTACCATGTGCTCGGCTGGGACGGGCCAGCGCGGCTGGCTCCATGGCCCTGCATGGGGCACATCCGCAGCAGCTAGGACTCTGCTGTTGACAAGCATATTATTAACACATTCAGCGGCCTCCCGCTTTTGAATCCTTTTCGAGCGCCCTTCAACGTTGCATGTGATTCCACCATGGCTTCGCAGGCAAGCTCCCTCCGTCTCAAGAACCTGCTTGTGGCTGGGACGCTCTCTGCGTTTGTGGTCGGCGCATATGTCTACTCCATGAAGGCGGTGGGCACCACCGACCTTGACCGCGCTGTCGAAAAGGTGGAGAAGGAGATTGCGGCGGAAAGAGCCGCTGCAAAGCAAAACGGGAAGTCATAGCATTCAAGGTCTAGAAGAGTGCAGAGGAGTGGGTGATGTCTGCGCAGTTATCAAGAGGTGATACTCTAGGTTAAGAGTTGCCCAAATAAAACACCAATTGGTGCAACTAAGTACAGCAGGCACTGGATGTGCAGCTTCTGCATCAGAGCTGAACACAGAGAGCGTGTTTGCAACTTCAATCTGGTGAGCAAATCAAGGTGCGAATGAGGATTCTCAAGCTCATTGAACCTGGTGATGGCACTATCCTCTGTCTGTGATCAGGGCCTGACAAGGCTACTCCCTTGTTCCGCTTACCAGCCAAGTACAGATCACAAGAGAGCAGCTTGTCGAGGTACATTGTCCAACCAACATGCGGATTTCTACCCCCAGCCAGATAAGATCAGTCCACTTTCGACTACCAACAAGCACAGTCTCCTTTTCAAGGCCTCAAGTTGCTCTAGATTGGATTCATCCTTCGCCAGAGGGCCCTTACGCAGCGGCTCGGCACTATCAGACGTGGTCGCAACTAGCAGGGAGACAAATGATGATGGTACAGCTCAAACCAGTGGCTTTGCACGTGTTGGAGGGAAGACGGTGCTCCGGAATCTGTCTCTGAACGAGCTAGAGGTATGTCCTCACATATAAGAGGCTGTTCCTTCTTATCAACAGTCAGCTTTAGGTCGAAATTTGAGAAAAGCCCACTCCCATGGATAAGGCCACTTTACATCTGAATTGAAGAACACTTTCCTGTGGTGCGCGAGGGTTTGACATCAAATGCATTTACCGGACGGATGCCTAGAAATGTTCTGTGTTGTTGACCAGGCACGGTGGCAGGCAGCCGTTGTGAAAGTGCTTTCTCAGTTGCGATTCAACATGCCTGCACATATGTTGCACAGAAGCACCAAAACTTTTGGGAAGGCAATTTCGAGATGCTTGCGATGAACTTCAAAGCACGTGACATTGATGTCAGTGGATTATCGCTGGGAAATGGCTGTTTCCGTAGCCTCCGTCAGCCCAGGTATGTCCAGCTGATAGGATCATTCTGAGTATTATTCCAAAACGTACAGAATTCAGCAATTACACATGCTTAACACTCAGTGTCGTTTCCTGAGTGCAGGGATGGCTGCAGAAGCATGGCCACCCTGCGCGGCAAGCGGAGCACGTGTGGCGGTGGTTATACAGAGACCTGGCCAAAGATGCCTTCGATGTCCCTGGAGCACCAGGTAAGAGCAAATCCCAATCAGCAGCCTTACAGCCTTGCTGCAAACATGGGAATGTTCCTACAGGAGCGGAGGGTCGGCAGTGACAGAACTGATGAGACTACTCCTTCATCTCCTCACCTCCTTCCTAAAATTCCAGGGCAATCGAGAGCGGTCCGTTGACGAATTCCACTAAGAGGTCTGCTGTGACTACCTGACAATTCGTAAGTACACTCAAGGGAGTTTTGGTCGACCAAACACGAAAGTTTTGTTCTGTGCGCAGCTTTGCTATTAGTGTCGAGTGGGCCCGAGTACACCCTAAGCCCATCAAACATGCTTGACTGATCGCCCCTCGACCCTCTCAGTTTTTTACGCCCATTTGCAGGGATGAACAAGGGCTTCCGGCAATTCCTTGCATCGCACGCCGAGTTCGACGTCCTCGTGGTAAAAGAGATCAAGAAAGCCGCCGATGGAACCACGAAGGTGGTTCTTGAGACGAAGGCGGGGGGCAGGGTCGAGACGGTCCTTATCCCGACTCCGGGACGGAACACGGTCTGCGTGTCGAGCCAGGTCGGGTGTGCGATGAACTGTCAGTTTTGTTACACGGGAAGGTGAGGCCGTTTGTGATACCACGTAGAGTTCTCGAATTTGCTGGCCCAATCATCAAACCGTGATTGTCGGTCCCACTCAGTATGCGACATGACATAAGAATTGGCAATTTGATTGGGCCGCGTGTCAAAATCACCACGTGTCGATCATGGACCAGGGTCCGAGCAGCCGGAAATAGATCTGATGCGACGTCATTTGTTCGTCAGTTCGTGACTTGTCTAGGGATCGGACGGTCTCAGTGATTCAATTGCTGTATTGAACGGCCATCTGGGGGCCATTTTCTTTCTTGATTTAATCGTATAAGCGGTCTTTAGTACCCTCTCTTGTATTTCTCTTTTCCGTCTTTTAACTTTCCTCTTTTCTCACCTAACGGTTTTCCGCTGTATCTCTTGGCTGCCAGTGTGAGTGGGACCCCACCCGTGATTGCTTTGAAACAATAACGACAGCAAGGGTGGCGCCAAGCATTGCACCTTTATGAACTCTGTCGACTGTGGTAGGCATGTCATCCTTTTACCTGCATGGCTGCCTATTATGGAGTTTGAACTTCTCACAGATCGCTGTAGTCAAAGGGCGTTATCGCGGGCGAAACTTTGTGGCACAGGTTACCGCAGTCGACATTCGTTCTGGTGCTTCCGTGGCTTTTCGAGAAAACAGGGGACCGCAGGTGTTCGGCGCCTATTCACATATTCGTCCACTTGCAGGATCGGGCTCAAGGCGAATCTGTCGACGGGTGAGATCGTGGAGCAGCTGGTTATCATGCGACGGCTCTTCACCGCCGACGTAGGCCCCATCAACAACGTCGTCTTTATGGTGAGGCGCGAGCTCAAACATCAGCGGTTCATATTGTCTGTCCATTCAGTACTTGCCGCTTTACTTCCGGAGCTTGGCGAAGCTCACGCAAGGTACGGAATATAGGTGTCAGGCGCCTGTTCAATCTTACAGCAGCTAAATTGATTTTACAATTGAAGCTCAACGCCTTACTTCCGGAGCTTGTCGAAGCTTATGCGAGGCACGGAAGATTCGGAAGGATGCCTTAGGACGATTGGAGTCTGCGGACATTTTGGCTGTAGATTTAGAGTTTGTTTCGGCGCTACTTTTCCAGGGTATGGGCGAGCCGATGCACAACCTAGATAACGTGATCCGGGCGGTCGACGTCATGGTGCATCAGCAAGGCCTCCACGTGTCTCACAAGAAGGTAATGCGCCTTCTTACTCTCATGACGCCCAGAATTGAGGAGACTCAGCGAGTGAAGAAAGCGGGCCTCTTGCTCAGGTATCCTGGCGTAGGATAACCTCGTGTCTCACTTACTTTGACATGTGTCCCTTTCTATGTCTATTTTCCCCCCTTTTCGAGGTTTTCCGCCGGCAGTACTCGGGATCCGAATTGGCAAGGCGCTGACCGCTCAGGCCCCTCGAAGGTCGCGAACATCTGTGGGCTGGCAGTGTTGTCGTTGATTCGTGACGCGACCAAGGATAAGGCCGCCTTGCGCTCGTGAGGAAATGTTGCACCATGCAGGAAGCTTTTCTGACAAGTTCGTTTTCTTTCAGCGCATCTCACCTGCTTGTATAGCTGTTGCTGCCCATTTCTTTCTGCCGCGACATCGGGAGCATAAGAAGTGTTCAGAGGCGTTTTCATTACAATGGTTTTGAAGCGCTCAATCTTTTTGCAGGTGTCCGTATCTACGAGCGGCCTCGTGCCCCAGATCCGGCACTTCTGTCGGACGTCTCCCGCCAGCTTAGCCGTCAGCCTTAACGCTACGACGGACGAAGTGAGCTTGCTGCTTCTTCTTGGAATGTTCTGTTCTTCGACGTTTCACATTCAGGTGTTCACTGTCTGCTGCAAGTGTCTCGAGGTTTCTTTTCGGCTTTCTCGTGGTGTCTTGCTAAGTGTGATCAGATGTCCAGAATGCTATTATTATCCAGTATACGTTCCTGCGTTCCTGCAAGTAGGAAATAATGCTTCGGGATCGCGGTCAGACAGCCCACCCACGGAGATAAGTCTTCCTGTCCCTTGTGACTTTTTTAAGCAACAGACTTGCGCCCGAACTCCACAAACGTTGCATTGCAATTGGTTAGATTGTAATCAGTTTGTCATCATTCGTGTGTCAGGCAGACGTTGCTCGGCGATTGCAATCGAGATTGAACCCCAGCGCTACTTCTTTACCAAGTCCAATTCCATTCAATTTTCGTAGTCGCAAAGTTGCTGGAGAAATTGCTTCTAGGGACATGCATCTCTCGACTCCCTCGTCAACCGAAAGCTGTCCGGACCCATCTTTTAAAGTAACTACAAGTCCGACTTCAAGCTCTGCTCGTCCTATTTGGGTTCAACGCTTTGCGTGGCCGGGTGAGCCTGTCATCTGTACAGCCACCTAGCATCACGACAGCTTATCAGATGTCGCGAGAGCCTGGCGCTTCTCCTGGTAAACGCTTCTACCTAGTTGCCAGGCAGGAGTTGTCTGAGTTTGATTCTTGGGTGCAGTCGAGCGACAACGCTGACGTTTGCATGGTGGCCTGCTGCAGGTGCGCGACTGGATCATGCCGATCAACCGGCAGTACAACCTGGAGTCGCTGATTGGCTGTCTGGCGGGCCAGGTGGGCAATGCGTTTGCGTTTTTCGGAAGTCGTTTCAGTAAGCAACAAGCGTTGGTCCAGAGCGCGAGGGCTGGTACTTCGCTTCATTCAACCTCTTGTGGGTGGCCTTTCTCCCAGCCTCGAAACGCTTGGAATGCATTGATCCCGGGTCCTTCTCTTGGTGAACTTCCGAGTTGTTCCTTCAAAAGTTGCAAAAACCCACCACCCTTTCCTGGTTCTTCTGGAAGGTCACTTGCGTTCTTTTCCCCTTTTCCACAACTTTGCAATGTGACCTCACTCTTTACATTTTGGCACTCTGCAAATTCCGAACTCAGGCCTTTCCCGTCAGCCCTTGGTGGTTGATACCGAGAGGTCATACGCTGTTGTTGTTGTTGTTGTTGTGCAGTTCCCGAGGGCTAACGGGGGCCAGGACAAGGTGCTCTTTGAGTACGTCCTGCTCAAGGGGATCAACGACAGGTAGGCCGCACCTTCATCTTGTGCCCTTCTAGTTGTGGAGCTCAGTACAAGGAAACACTGATCATTTTGACGTTGATCGAAATAGGTAAACGCAGTCCAATACCGAAAGGAATGTTTAGACACAGGGCACAAATGTGGATATGCGCGAAGGTGTTGGTGCAATGTCTTTGAACTTCGAACAGTGACAATTGCAGGGATCCCGCGGGTTTAAGCTCTTCCATGGGGGGGGATATGGGGGGGACGCTCTAGTTTCTTTGCTTATCCTGGACTCACAAGATTTCGACTTTTTGTGCCGCTACCTGAAATCAGCAGCGTGTCTCCGGATAAATTCGGCGACCCTTAAAGCAATGTAATCCAGCTGAAAAACATGACGAACCCGTCAATCCCAATATTAAATTTTGTTTTGATTTCTTTTAGTTCCAACGTTGCCAGTGTCCTGCGGTCACGGGTTGTGCGTCGCAAAATCGTTTCCTGTCCGATCGCCCAATATTCTGTTTAAGCGCTAAAAAAACTCGCGACAAGGTCGTAGACTCTGCTCGAGCTATTAGTGCAAAACATTGTCTTATTGTCAGGACGCTCGCTGACGGTCCGTCTTGTGTCCTTGCCAGCCTGGACGACGCCCGGCGGTTGATCGAGCTGGTGAAGCCCGTCCCCTGCCGCGTGAACCTCATTGGGTTCAATCCACATGCTGGATCGGCCTTCCAGCCCGTGTAAGACCCGACATCGAACTGGGAAACTCTCTGCTCATTTGCAGAGCCGCGTTGTCGAATCAAAGTTGGGCACGAATTGTGGAATTGAATATCTTTGATGAGGATTTTGGAATCTGTATGGCATTGATACAGCGGGTCGGCCCTTACGCAGGGCAAGAGGTTGAAAGCGAGTTTTTCTCATTGATGCGCACCCCACCAGAACGATTGCTGCTGTGAAGTTCAGTTCGTCGATGGAGAGTATTGCTTGAAAGATAGCCTCTTAGGAGCCTTCTCGTCGAATGTCCGCCCCTTGCTTAAAGGTTGAGACTAGAGCAAGTGGGGTGCATCCTGCAGGATCAGCTTCAGGAAGAGTACGCGGGACGGTGTGGGGCAGACAATCTGACCGTGACCCGTTCTTTGCTTACTAACTTTGCGATTTTCCTTTTGGGTGGCAGGCCCAAACCGCAGATGCTCGAGTTTTTCAGAGTGCTCGCGGACGCGGGGATGGTTGTCACTTTACGGGAGGTAAGGGCAAATCCTGCATTCTCAAGACTCAGCTCTCTGATCAAGCTACCTATTCATGGTCGCTTTTCGGGGGGCCAAGAAGCGTCCCAATTTGGCATTTAGAAGTCAGGGTTCGCAAGTCGCTATGGCAGGGTGCCCCGAAGGAGCGTCTCCCTTGTTAATGTGGGACGCTGCTCTTCAAACCTTTGACGTTTTAGAGGCCGTCTCTGCTCGGCGTCTTCACCACGATGTGATTAGGTGGCCTACTTTTTGAAAATTGGATGGCTGTAAAAGAGCTCTTCAAGCCGGGACCAAGCGGCCGCGTACAAAATTGTTGTGACCACTTTTAGTTTATGGCAGACTTCAGCACCTGTACGCTCGAGAGGCCGCTCAATCGACCTGCGTGCTTTTAGTTATCACCGGATGTTCAGAGTGATAGGATTTGATTCTCAAATGCTATGGACCCTGAACTGAGATGCCAAACCTCTGGGTCTGAAACTCTCTTGTCTCTGCAACAGAGCCGGGGTGACGACCAGATGGCGGCATGCGGGCAGCTAGGCGAGCTCGGAAGCAACCCCCTCCAGCTTCTTACCCCGCCCGCCAGGTTCCAGCAAGCACTCGCGGGCGTACCCGCGACAATTGGTTGATTGCCGTTGGGGGTCGGTTGCATTCGTCATAGGCGCCACTTGAGGCCGACAATCCGTGACTGGAGCACACACAGCGAATCCCCGCTTACATAGTTATAAAACAACAGAAGTGCCTCAGTGCCTCCCATTGGACAACAATTACGTGGTATGGAGCTGTATATTGACGCACGCCGTTACTTAATCCACACTGTAAGCTCGACGTCCATGCTTCCTATTGTGTTCATTGAATTCGATGGTTGTCCGTTCCAGCTTTGCCAGGCTTTGAGCTTAGGCCGGCCAGCGCTGGTTTTATAACCAGGAATGGGTGCGACTTACGGCTCAGAGGTCATGGGTCATGCGTGCGCCGAAGGGCCACGAACCCAGCATAGTATATTCATCAATCCATGCATTACTAAACTGATCCTGCCACACTTGTGCACCGTTGAGCAGGACCGTCTTTACATATGCGTACCTGTAGACGCAATTGGATTAATGATAATATCCGCATACGTCGTGCAGTCGCGTTGCAAATACTAGATTTCCATATTGCACTAGGATCCGTCGTTTTCTCATTGCCGCCTACCCGTTTAGCGGCATATCCTGTCCGCATCTTGATCTGCAATTTCGACGAGCTCAGTAAACGTAAAAAGTAGTGAAGTCGAAGCTAGTTTCAATGCAGCGATTGGTGCGTACATGAGATCAAACACATGCAATCTAGCGAATTGCTATTTGAAATGCAGAAGCCTGAAGAGCAGCAGATAGTGCTACGTCTTGCATATCTCCATGTACGTACAGCGACGGACGGTGGCTCCAGAGCGAAGGACTTTAAAATAGATATACCTGATCGTATTCTGCGACGTCAACCGTAGCAGAACTGAGAGAGGAATCCGTGACTTGGCGGACTGTGCGCGAACTCGACATTCTATAAGACGTCCGTCCCGTCTTGCAGCGTCCAAATGAATCAAATCTCGAACTTAGGAATCTAGCGTCATGGGTTGTTTGCTGCGTGTCGTCGCCCCCGCGGCTAGATCTCCTGTATTTCCTCGGTGTCCACGCTCTTATGCCTGAGCTGGAACCTCTCCAGCACCTGGTTGTCCGCGAAGCGGTACAGCCGGTCAAAGGTGTCCATGCACGCCTCCTTTTGCCCCTCGTCAGCGTGCTGCACGTGGCAGAACTTGCACCCCGTGAAGTGGGAGATGAACGGCCGCCACGTGGCTGGCATGCTTGCGTCGGCATCCTCGAGCAGCTGGTCTAGCGGCTGAGAGACTAAAACCCACCTGGATAAAGCAGATAGGAAGTATCAGAGTGATATTGAAGATGACAAAATCACAGCTGAATCTGCTGGGACCCTGGACTCGTTCTTGGTTTTGAGGCAGCCGCTGTTCGGATTGCAGTGGACCCACTATAGCCGCAGCTTTGAAGCTTTATTGTAGACGAGCCATCGGATCGAGTAATGATCTGGTATTGATACACTTCCGCACTGTTTCAAAGAAGGAATCATACCGAAAGTGATGTGTTCCCTGGAAGTAGACGCAACGGCAAACAGAATCGTGCACGTACTTAGATCATTCAGTCTTGAGAGCCCAAGTATTGGGGGAGACTGAAAGACAAGAGATATGTATGTCCTTCATGCTCTGCCATACTGATGAGTTTATCCAATTATGAAACACCTTCCGGACTTTATGATGAAGAGAACTCGACTGAGTACTTACTGGGTTCCTCGAGCAGTTTGACTCACCAGTTGTGGTACATGCTTGTTGTGTCTAGTAAAGTCTTCTCCTTCCAGAGATGTGGCTGGGTGGCCATCAGGTAGATAAGGGTCGTCTGATCGTCGGCGGGCCACTCTGGGCACAAAAGAACGCTCTGTCAGCATTGTCAGGATCAAACAACAACATATTCAGACTTTACAGCTGATTTCCACGTTGGATCCCAAAAAAGTCTGTATGGACGGAGATTCGTAAGCGTTCCCTACTCACGGAAAGATGGGCTCAGAGCAACTCGTTGCTCTACAAAAGTTGAAAAGGCACAAACCCAGTCACATTCACGGAGCGCTGCTCACAATCTGCGGTCTCAATAGAAATTGTAAGACAGATACAGAGTGCTCGTGTCCTCCCATTCCCATACTTCTCACGTACAACAGCTCCGCATAACAACAAGCAAATGACCGCACCTTCGTGCTTTCCTTGCGCAAACTTTTCCGTTGACTTACAGTCAGATCATGCACCAATCTCGGCTGTTGATCCTTCCGGCCGGCTTCAAGCCGGGGACACATGGGGCTTTGAATGTCAGCCGTGGAGAGCCCAGCAGCCCAAAGTCGATCCTGAGTCGTTGAAGCCGCGAACTGGCGCCCAGCTAAAGCGGGTCTCACCATGTGAAAAATCGGAATAGAGGTCGACAGATGATAAGGAATCTTCAGGCTTTTAGGCAACCTTTCCCCCCTTGTGAAACCTGTGATAACACAAGATTGACTACCAACCCCCCTCAACGAAGAGCACGCGGTTCATTACCTTTGCCGTGGCTCGCTTCCGCCCTGCCTCGGAGCACCTTGTTGAGCAGCAGCCCGGTGTCCCGCCGCGTGGTGTACCTGTTCCCGAGCGCCATGGTGGCGTCCAGCAGATCCACCGACCACTGACAATTACGAATCAAAAAGGCGCCCGTGTTCAGGCCCAGCCAGTCGGGCTCCTCAAATACCTGCGGCGCAAGTGGGAGGAAGGCGGGCTGTAGCATTCCGTTTCAACCGTCCGGAAGTAGTACACGTTGCGAAAACGGAGAAGCGTCCGCGGAAAAACTCCGCGGAAACACGTCCGCAAAAACTTCTCGTTTGAACCTCGATTTGTTGCTCGAATTTGCGACGAGTGGTCTAGGGCTCATTGGACTGGAGCTTTCCCAGCGACTAGTTCCATGGAGAAGAGTTTCCTCCACGTCCAATCAGACAGACCTTTCTAGTGTGGAACGCGACGGTTGTGGAGCCCTTGTTATAAGCAGGAAGTGGCCATGGGAAGGTGATATGCGAGGAATATGCGGTCTCGATCGCATTTCCCTAAATGCAGATTCGAAGGACGTTAATCTTGAGTTGAGGGGCTAATCTATTGGCAACAAGTTACTTCAATCTCGCTCTAGCAAACAGAATTGTTAAGATCGCTCAGGCCATGATATTCTCTGGAAACTTGTCGCCCTTGCTTAGAACCAACAGCAGACCCGGGACTGAGGCAACTGGTGACAGCAGCATAGGAGCGGCGGAAGGTGATAACCGCAAAGCTTCCAGTGTTTGATTAATGCTTGAGCCTCGCTTCAATCCACGATAAAGTTTCTGTGTCCTGAGCTGGTAACTGGTGTCTTGTGCACCGAGGCAGCTCACGGCTGTGGCGTTCCCCGACAGCACCAGGTTGTAGTCAGTGTACTCGTCCAGAGGGATCCCCCGCGTCATGTCCGTAAAGATGGCGTCGCAGTCCACCCACTGCACCGACCAGCAGAAAGGATTGCACGTGAGCCCACTTTCTTGAGAAGTTGAAACCCACGCTTTGAAAACCGTGCTTTCATGCCAGGAAAGCCGTATCATTCTGGCAACCCATTCCAAGCAAAGAACACCGTTGATATACAGGAATCGTGTACGAACGCGTAAACGGGGTGGCACACCAGCCTTGCGGCTTGTCATTCTCCCAAGACTGGGAAGCTTTTAAGCCGTATCTTAACAATGAAGTCAAACACGTGCCTCTGACGTACTTGTTCAGGCAGCGTGAGGCCAAGCCGACAGAACGCTCCGTTGAGCCTCTGCTAAAACTGTGACAGATGCAAAAGACGTGGCGGATACAAAGGCCACCAGAGAAGGTTGATAAGAGACGGCGCGTCACCATGAACCACTCGATAGTGGGGTGGGTGTGCATCAGTTTCTTGAGCAGCGGCAGCTTGACCCAGTAAATATCGTACGCGTCGTCAAACGTCTCCATGGCGTAGTACAGTGGAATGTCGTGCAGCCTGGACCGGAAGGGAATGGACGAGTGCAGATTGAAAACAAAAATAAAGGGTACTCTCCAATGAAAGGGTTTCTTTGATGTTGACTAGTACCCAGAAAAAGAGATCCGTGATACCGAGAGGACGGAAGGTTGTCCCAGGGATCCTATTCTGGCTCCCCTCGCAGACCAGTGCTTAAGCCGAGTGCTTTACATGCCGCAATGGCGTTCGTTGCGCGCTTAATCGTGCCTTCAATCTTTTGAGCTTCTAGAATCTACGAGCTTCAAAGACCGACAGCGCAAAGTTATGCTCAGCGTCATTCTCTGAAGTGTATGGTAACCCAGATCATGACGGTCATAGACAAAACAAAAAGCAGAGGATTAGACTCCAGATTTTCAAGAAGAGTACTGCCTTGAACCGCTAATTCAGATGGTCAGAATGGCTCGTAAAGGACTTCACACGCTGACCTTGCATAGTCCACCTTGTTCTTGAGCGATCGGATTAGAATCTCCGCGCCCCGAGCGCTGCTGCACGGCCGTCCGTCCGTCCCGGTCACCAGCATCAGCCTCACGCCATCTGCAGCGTTGTCAGTGCCTCCCTGATCGACGGTTCCAATCGCGGGAGGAAGCTTTGCACCGATCAAGGCCGGGAGCTTTGATCGCCTGTAGTTAGCAAGCGTGATTGCCCCCACGCATATAACCAGAAACATACAGAAGTGGAAGAACGGCCGCTGCATCTTCTTTTCCTTTGTGAAGAGTGTTGGCTTGAATGCCATGCTGGAAATAGAGTGGAGGGAGCAGAGCTTCTAATTACAAGGGGAGCTTCTAGAGAATGCTGAGCTTCGCATGGAGAAGCTTTCGCGATTGCCCGATCTTGACGAGAGACAAAACGCGCAGACTCAATCTGAAAAGTGAACCTGAGTCGCTCATGCCAGTCGTTCAGACTCGACGTGAATAACAAACAACTAACCGCCCAGAAGCAGAGAGTGCCCAACGAACTGTTCATCATGTGGTGCGGCGACCTTTTGATCATCTGAAAGTAACCCGCATTATTTAAGTACTGAATCAGGATGCACGCCGTTCGGCTCGTTGCCGTCTTTCTCAAGGAAGTTCTGAGCCGCACCGTTCAGGTCGAGAACTGACGGACCTCGCGGGTGGTCCATCACGGAGGACTCCGAGAATCAAAGGCGCGGGTGGGCGGTAATATCGATGACGGCCGCTCTTTGAAAAGAGCAGCGTATATGCTTGGATTTATAACATAAAGCACCTCGAACGAATCACGGGTGTCACTTTCACGGCGCCCAGCTCAATTGCAGACGTCCCCTTCAATTTATGCTTGAGATTGACGTAAGTCAAATATAACCTCATCAGTTGTACTTCGATCACTGAGATTTGTCCTTGATGGACCCAGAACTGAGATCCTCCTGGTGGTCCGGGAGGAATCGTATTTCACGGCCGAACGGCTCCATTGCGGGAAGAGACGTGGATTGAAGACGAAGAGAGAGTTGGTTTCATCCGAGCTCTAGCAGAAGAATTTGCCGTTCGGGGCCCCCAGTACATGTGTTTTGCAGTCATACAGACAGGATGTACCAAATGCATATCATGAGTGTTTGCAATGTGGGGAGCTGATCTGAGCTGATCCCGTCGAAGAAATGATTGTCTATGTATCTTTTCAGAATAATATATTTTTCAGGGAATCTGGGTGTATCTATCATCCCCGTCATCGAATCAATCCGCCCACCCTTTTTTATACTGGTCTTACTATCTGATTGAGGGGAAAATTATGCACGCGGCTCAATTGCTTCGATTGCTTCGTTGTCCACACTCTTGTGCCTGAGCTCAAAGTTCTCCAGCACTTGGTCGTCGGCAAAACGATACAGCCGATCAAAGGTCGTCAAGCAGTTCTCAACCTGGCCCTCGTGTGCGTCGGCGTCTTGCATGTTGCAAAACTTGCACCCTGTGAAGTGAGAAATGAACGGTCGCCACTTGGACGGCCCGGGCGCGCCGTCCTCGCCCGGGAGGATCTGCGGCAGCCGTTGGGCGACTTCGACCCACCTGGAAGACAAGGGGCAATTCTCTGTCTGCTCTAAGTATGGCAGGGGATAACCGTCCGTTTCCTTGTTCCGTAGAGCTCTTGAAAATTCTAAGTTCTCAACTTCGGAGTCCTTCTTGTCACATTCCGCTCTGCTGCGTTCGCTCTTTGACGGGATGTAGCGAACAGGGGCCGTGGCTTCGGAGCACATGTCTCCGCCAATGAAAATTTTCTCGTGTTTGCAGGGTGTGATCTTAGGCCACGGAAGTCGGGGTTGCGCGTGACCAGACTCAAAACATGCAAGCGCTAAGCGGGAGGGGGGCGAACTAAAGAAAAGAGCAGTCACGACCAAGTTTCACGCTCTGAAACGGACAACTCAAATTTGCCTGGCAAGTTTGCCACGTGGAGCGACGGAAGAGAAGCTTCGATCCACTATGAAGCTCCGATTGCATAACGAAGCGCAGACTTTCAGATTGTAAAGATTCTGCAGTTCGGGGATGCCGTTTCCTAGAAAACTTGGCTCACCAGTTGTGGTACATTTTCGTGGTGTCCAAGTACGTCTTTTCTTTCCACAGATGCGGCTGTGTGGCCAAGAGGTAGATAAGCGTCGTCTGATCGTCAGCGGGCCACTCTGCGAAACGACACAAAGGAACAGCGGTATCAGCGCTTCAGCACACCAAGGAGTGGGTCAGCACCGTACTGTAAAGCTCCGCTAAAACACTTCGTCGGGCAGCCATTACCAGTTTACATACATACTCGACGCTGAGACCTGGGGGCCGCTCGTATCTGTCTAGTTAAGCACAAATCGCTTGAAGAGAGCCGCTCGAAGCTAATACATCCGAATCTCATCAGTAGCAAATGGGTCCTTGATTCGGAGGACTCATATTTGGCAAGAAGTCTCCACTCCCGCAGGCAAGTGCGCGGCCTTTCAGCTTCCTGCGCGCTTGCGCGTTTCGACTTCCTCACGACCGTGAAATAGGCCAATCTCGGGTCTGATGAGCACTTCCTATGGGCATTCTTTCTCTTTCTTATGGGCATTTTCTTTTATAGCGAACCAAATCATATAGACAACATGAAGACGCGAACTGCTAACCGTGGTCCCCGCTCGCTTCCGCCCTGCCTCGGAGCACCCTGTTGAGCAGCAGTCCGGTGTCCCGCCGCGTGGTGTACCTGTTCCCGAGCGCCATGGTGGCGTCCAGCAGATCCACCGACCACGCACAGTTGCGGAGCAAAAAGCCGCCCGTGTTCAGGCCCAGCCAGTCGGGCTCCTCAAACACCTGCCGAGTGACGGACGAGGATCTGGTTCTTTGTATGCAATCTTTTGCAAAGAATCCTGGGAAGAAAGCCCGAGAGCCATGTCCGTCTTTTCAGGAAGATGATTACAGGGAGATAATCACGTTGAGCTCGACCCTTGACAAGCTCGTAATGCAGGTACGTACCAACGTCCCGCTCCTCCGTTTCTAGTACGAGACTGAAGATATGGCGCCCCAGACAGCGGAAATTGATCGAAATTGTGCAGTTGGGAAGCGCTTTTAAAGGGCGCTGATCAGCTGAGTCCGCCCCGCCGTAGCGATCTGAGCATCAGACTCGTCCTTACGCTGGTCGAAACAAACAGATGCAGTTACTTACGGCTGTGGCGTTCCCGGAAAGCACCAGGTTGTAGTCGCCATACTCATCCAGTGGAACGACCCGCGCCATGTCTGTGAAGATGGCATCGCAGTCCACCCACTGCACAAAATCGGAGTGACTGTCAATACTTCAGACTTAGTCGGGTCTCTTCTAGATGTTGTCTGCAAGCAATATGACATCTTGAGATTTCCTGAACGGAGAAAGCTTCTAACACGACTATTAGAGGTTTGGATGTCAGCGATCGTGCTCCACAACTTGAAGGAAGTCCTGTGCATACGGTCTACCGGGCCCATTGCTCACTGACAGCACAGCTGCAACCGACGAAGATTGCTCTTCTCGAAACGAACAAGAAACAGCATTGGAAGAGGGAGCCGCCAGAGGGCTCAAACAGGAAATCTTTTGCCGAAAAAGAACAATAAAGGAGCCGGGAGTCACCATAAACCATTCAATAGTGGGGTGGGTTTGCATCAGTTTCTTGAGCAGCGGCAGCTTGACCCAGTAGATGTCGAAAGCGTCGTCGAAAGCCTCCATGGCGTAGTACAGCGGAATGCCGTGCAGCCTGCGGGGAGCTTAGAGCCAGATGTGATTACCAGGCTCGGCACTGAGGCGTTCAAAGCAGTCGCGAGCTCGTTCCCAACCCGAACGGTTGCAGTACGTGGCATGCTTTGAGACCAACTCCGGGCCATTTTGAAGTTTCAAGAAGCGCCGAGGATACACGTTTCTTTGGACCTGCTCAAAAAGCCTAACAACTCCCTACAAATCAGCCTTCTGCTGCCATCATTTCTCACGCCTCTACCGCCGATGTTGCAACCATCCGCATCTGGTACAGGAGAGCAACGTACAACGTGACTTTCCCGTCAAAGACTGCGTTACTCGGGCAGAACTAGCCAGGGTTATTGTAGCGGCCAGCCCAGCTCACCTAGCATAGTCCACCTTGTTCTTGAGCGACCGTGTCAGAACCTCGGCGCCCCGGGTCGTGCTGCACGCCCGGCCGTCCGTCCCGGTCACCAGCATCAGCCTGGTCCTTCCCCCGCCCCGTTCTCCACCGTCGATGCTGCCCTCACCCACGGCATCAACGGTCCCAGTCGTTGGAGACCCTTCCCCATCGGTGAGGTCAGGGAAGTGGGCCAACCGCTTATCCATAGCGAGCGTGATCACAAACGCAACGAGGAGCAGAATGCCAGCAATCTGTAAGAAAGATTGCCTCCTTTTGATCTTTTTGATGTCGTCAGTCACGAACGTCATTCTAGGTGACATGATGGAGAACAGAACGGACGCCCATTTGAGGTGGGTGCCACTCCGCAGCGGTTTCCGGTCATCTTGTGACGGGGCCATCTTGATCAGAGGGGGGGCCGGTCTTGCGTGCAGAGACTCACCCAATGGAAAGCGCGTAATGAATCCCTGATTAGTGAGTGCGGACCCACTGCAAGGATAAGTTGCGGCGGCTGATTATGGAGCGAGATTGAATGACGAGAGAAAGAGCTGCGAGCGATTGATGGGAAAGGCATACAAATTAGAAAAGACCGGCTCGCCAAACTGGGAGCGAAAGATGGCTCGACAGAGATCAACGAATGCCTCGCTCAATACATGATCCACATGAAGTGTGCCAGGCTGCCCGTCACTTTCAATGTCGCCCCCGATATGGAAAGGCCGAGTCGAATGTTTGTCTCCAGAAACGACGCGACTGGAGCCTCGCTCGAGGTCCAGAATCCCGCACAAGAAAGCGCGCACTGCACTTTTGGGCACAGTGCCTTGAAAGTATAAGCAGGATACATACGTTCAGGGAATCAGTATCTGGCTTTTTCAAGGCTTGCTGATTGGCCTCGAAAGGTACGTAAATCAGGGTAGAACGACAACTATGCTTATGGTACCTTCTGGATGCTGCTACGAATGAAGTCAAAGTCTTAGCTGGGCCGTCCGTAAGCAATAGCTTGCTGCGCACGACAAACAGCCGGCCTGGCAGAAGTAGCAAGCCTGATGCGAGGTTGGCAGATCTCGAAAGCCACATCCAGCAGGTCTTGTGCCAGCCCTCCAATGATTCTTCTTCAAACGTATAGAAGGTGTGATCAGTCGGCGGGCAGTCGGCCTGGAATTACGCCTCCACGAGGCCGCGCCCGCGCCCGCGTTGGAAGTCCGCGCGGCCGCCGGGGGTTCCGGCCTAACGCCGACGGGGTGTCCCACCGTACGATTGGCGTAGCTCTAATCTACGGCTTCAGGTTGCTTCTTGTTGGTCTTCGGCACAGACGATCAGCCGTTGGATTCAGAGTGGTGCGCCAATCGTAGGGCTCCAAGGCGCGCATGGTGAGGCATGGCGACGTGGTCAACCAACGAAGCAGGATTGCAGGGTTGCGCGCAAACATGGCCGGGGGCTCCGGCTCAAAGCCAACTGCTAAGCCAACGAGAGCCGTGTAGCCTGTAAGATTGCCGCTGTGCGCAGGAAAGCGTTCTCCTAGGTACCTCCCAACTTAGGTCGTAGACGTCTGTTTGAGTTCATCAACTCAGTCTGCAGGTTCCTCCTGGCAGTGTCACGATGGCCGCAGCGGCGTCCCTGAGGGGGCTTCAAAGCAGCCCACACTTTTTCAATGGCACGCCAAGGAGGCGGCCCCTGCCTGCGCATGCAGCGCTTGAGCAGGCCTTGCGAAGGACGCCACTTTGCGGCGTCTCCAGAAACTTTACTAGCACACACGAAACGGTGTTCCGGAGATCCCCCCTTGTAGAAAAAGCACCACCACTTATTTTGAAAGAGCCCAATGCTGTGTCTCAGTTCACACGAGAAAGCTTGAATCACACCCATCGTCGCTCCCGGAAAGTGCAGACGTGCGTCGCTTCGGCTTCAGCAGGGGCCGCGGTCGCAAACGATTTTCAGTATCCAGGGTCCCAACCTGCAATCACACACGCTCTGTCAGACGAGCTTCCCGTCCGCCTGCCCCCGCCCCCGTCAGACTCCTCTATCCTGAGCATCTTCCCTTATCTGTGGAGACTAGCTACGGCGGACAAATCGCTGCGGTGGAGAGTTGCGTTGTCCCTGATTCTCCTTGTGGGGGGCAAGGTGCGTCAGTTAACTTCGCGTGTTGTGGTCAACTTTCAGTGGGTGGTTGTGTTGTTGCTCCCGAGTTTGACAGGCCCTGATTAGTTCTCTTTAAAAAAATCCATTGGCTTAAAGGCCCTCTTGGGTGTGAATAAGAGCGGTCACCCTGGTCGTTATGTATCTTCTGGAAATGTTTCAACAGGCTTTACGTTCCCTCATGCCTTCAACTAGTCACCACCTTTTGAGAGCCATGACAAAAAGGGATTGGGGGTGGGGCCCATTTTTAAATTGTCGTTCAATGTTTTCTGGCAATGAGAAGCAACACTTTTTGGGGATAAGCTTTTTGATATGTCGTGTCGGGCTAGAAGTCCTTGCAATGATTCAATACTTCTAAAGAATCCTCTGAGATTTTCGAGTCAACTTTTGAAGAACCAGAAATCTGGACAGTACTTTGGAAATGACCAGCCGCCCACTTGTTGAGAATGATGCTTGAATCTGACCAGCCATTTGTCATACCTTGAGATGGGAAGGTCATGGGGCTTGAAATTGTATATCAGCAAATGCCTCCAAGGAACGTAGGGCCTTCCAATTTTCATACCGACAATACTCCAGGCCCCCGCCGAGCAGCCAAGCGAGCATCACCACAAGACTTTGCAATACGTGTATTGTTGACCTGATGCAGGCGGCCGGTCTGGCGGGCCCAGTGCTGTTCAAGCGGGGTATGGATGTTTTGTCAGAGTCTAGCAAGGCGCAAGGGTACTCTCAGGCTACCATGTATGCGGCGGTCTCGGCGCTAGTCCTCTCTGGAGTGTCCAAGGTGAGAGATTCCTTAGAATTCTTCTGAAGCGAAAGTTCGAGGTTGCGCCCGACTGACGGAGAGAGTCGCACGACCACTTCTTAACAGGTCAATTGAGTCCAGGTAATTCGAGGCTGGTTGTTACTGAGAAGGAGACCGGCCTCGATAACACGGTTGTAGAACGATAATCATCTCATTTGCAAGCATTAACGTCCACTTTTCACCCGCTCTGCCCCACTTACTTGTACGGGAACCAAAATCCGCTGTGGATTGAAGCAGGACGGATATGCTGTCTCCTTTTAACATTTTCAGGGCCAAGAATCAACAAGCCCGGGGAAGCACGGTTCGTGATCTGTTCTGTCAAGTACAATCAGGTCTGAGTTGAGATTGGGATCCGACAGAGTAAAACAAAAAAGTCGTTATATAACACATCAGGTTGACCGAGAGAGAGGATTTGACTTGTCTTCAGCGCAGGTTCTGCACCCGGCGGTTAACTTACAGTAGCGCAGCGTGGCCAGCAATGAGATGACGAAGCTACTGTTGCTATCTCAGGGCATCAGCGGCATTTGTAACGAGGCGCGGTACACTGTGTTCAGCCCCGTGGGGCAGGCAACTGGTCGGCGTGTCGCGATGCACTTCTTCGACCACATTCTGCATCTAGATATGGCGTTTCATCTGGAGCGCAAGACGGGGGCGCTTTCCACGATCATGGAGCGCGGCAAGCGCAGCGTCACCATGATCTTCCGGGCGATCGGTGAGCCATGCCTGGTTGACGTTTGTCGTCCTTTTCTGGATTTGAAGCTAACTCGAAGGAGACGAATGCTTGACATGGTAGTTTGAACCCGATGCTGTTGCTGTTTCCGGTTGGGTTCGCAACGTTGTTGTGAGTTTGAATGGTCAACTTTGCGATTCGAGTATTGGTCTAGCTTGAACACGAGGAAATGTGTGAAGTTTAGAAAAGAAGCAGCGGGAGCTTTGTTGTCCTACGTCGACTTCAAATCTTTTGCTAGCTCCCTTGACGAGCAAATAGCAATCCATTAATCGAAATGTATATGAACTGACGTCTTCCTGTCATGCATCCGCTCGCTTTGAGGTTAACTCACCCTTGCTCGCTTTAACCTTCTCTTTCTCTGAAAGCAATAGCTGCCTTCGTTTCTGGCCCCAACGAGTCTCATGGCGCAGGGTCTCAGTGGGAACACCGTGGTCGTATGCAAGTGCAACGCAAGTAAAGCCCACGCCTCGAATCGGTCTCGTGCAGTGTTTACGCTGGTGCCGACCGTGGTGGAGCTAGTCCTGGTGTGCGGTCTGCTGGCTAAGCAAGTCAGCACCGCGTTTGCGGGGGTCGTCCTGCTGACGTTTGCTGCTTACGTCGCGTGGACGGTGGCGCTGACGAAAGCGTCCATGGCCAGCAGGAAAGAGGTGGGTTTTGACTAGCCGGGTTACGCTTCGATACCTCGAGATAACCCAGTTTTTAATCACTGATTCTGTTCGTTGTAATTACTCGAGCAAGCGTCTTGGAAAGGATCGCCACTGACGTCTGTTTGCCAAAATCACGGGGTTAAATACGTGGGACCGACCCAACTGCGCCGAAAATCTTTAAAGCCACGTTGTAGACCGTTCAAAGCTGCTTTCCATGCTGAAAGAATGTCGACTACTGTAGTGGGATCATCGTGGATCTTTGACCTTATTTATTTGATTTGTGTTCTCAGGCGGATAACCTCCGAAGCACGAGTGATTGGAATGTCGCGCAGTCCAGACCGGAAAAATGTTATTTATGTTGCCCAGGTGAAAAATCGCCAAAGCATATTAAGTCATGGATAGTCGTGAAGGCCAGACCTGAGAAGTGGAAGTTGTGATGCTCAGGTGAACAATCTGAACAACCTGACGTCGGGCAAGGTGGTGGATGCGCTGCTCAACTACGAGACGGTGGCGCAGTTCAACAACCAGGCGCTCGAGGAGAAGCAGTACGACAGCCTGCTCAAAGACTACCAGGACGCGTCGGTGAGCTCATCATTGCAGAAACGATCTCTATCGCATCTCGCAGTTGGTTGCATAAACTTTGTCAGCGCAAGCATTCTCTAGAAACTCGGAGGAAAGTTCAAAATTTCACTGCACACGCCTCGGTTAAGATCCTGCGCCCCCCTTGGAGAAGTCTACTTTCTGGCTTTAGCGATTGCTTTCAATTTTCTTTTACACATGATGTTATCTGCTGTTTCATAGAAACAATGATGAGCAATCTTGAAGGAGGTGCCCCGAGGATTTGTTACTTGAAAAGCCCGTCACGGCACGTTTGCTGTAGCTGTACCTCCGTGCTTGCCGCCAGATCAATAGAACAGGAACTGATCCTCTTCCACCTTCCGGCGCTCGCATCTCTCAGAAGTGTGACTCTTTTCTCTCGCTCTGCAGATCAATCTGGAGTATCTCTCAGCGTCTCTCAACAGCGGTCAGGCGCTCATCCTCGCAACCGGGGTGTCGGCCATCATGGCCATGGCGGGGACAGGTGTCATCCAGGGGCGCATGACAGTTGGCGACCTCGTACTGGCCAATGGCCTCATCTTGCAGCTGTCGGTGCCGCTCCAGGTGCTGTTACGGTCATGCTTGGAGTTCGGAGACGCGTTCGTGACTTCTTTCACGAGAAGCTTGAATTCTCTCACTGTTTTGTCCGTTTGTTCTTTCATTAACCTAGTTGCCGGTATCCCCTGTCCCTGCATTCGGAAGGTTGTTATCGAAAACCTGCCGGCGGGGCGCAGATCGTCGAGCTTCGTATTTTTACTGACCGCCCTTATTGCATGGAGCTACTGCTCGGCTTCACCGTCACGTCCTGCCGACTTTTCCTTTCGCCCACTTGGGTATTTTCTGCCCACGTTACGTACTTTTTCAATCCCGTCTGTGGTCCTGTCTTGCGTGCAGTTCCTCGGCTTCTTGTACCGCGAGCTGCGCACGTCCCTGGTAGACATGGAATCCATGTTCAACACACTTAGGTCAGTCCCTTAACCCACCCTGGTTAGCCCACTTATGCTCGCTTCTCTGCCCCTCTCTCTGCATGTGCCCAGAAAACCCTGAGCTATCTAAACAAAGACCTCGTCCCGGCGATGGCCGACCTCGAAGAGATCTTCAAGCACCTCGCGTACGTGCGCCGCCTCCTTATGGATCGGGGTTGCCATTCGCGAGGGTTTTTTGTCTCTTTTGGCGGAATTGTTGCACTGTTGTTTCAGTCGTTATTGCATGTTCACAAACACTTTGAGCTCGATGTGAGATCGGGTCAGCAAAGCTCAACGGTCGGAGTATACACGAACCCGGTCTCAAATCTAGGAGCCTCCTATCTTGGTTTGTTCTGCAACTGGCATGAGCAATCAAGAGACCGCGTCACCAGCATAGTATCTTCAAAGCTTTGCCGCATTTCCTGTGTGCAGTCGGAAGTCTGCCCTTCCCGATGGCAGTCGCGAGCTGAAAAGGAGTCAAGAGGGCGCCTCCGTCACTGCAAAGGATCTCAAGTTTGGATACAGCGATGCACGCCAGGTGGGCCGTTTCGTTTCCTCTCTTGCCGCTCTTCTTGTTTAGTCCATAGTGTGGTTGAAAATCGTCCAGCCGAGCAAAGAATGTTACTCACAAGTGGTTGCTTGTCACGTATTTCTGACAGGCTTTGGGTTCCGTTAACCGCCACTCCGATTCCGTAATACTTTTGCCGTTGCTTTTGGAACAAGACTGCTGCTTTCGCCACCCACCTTTGACACAAAATCTTCATCAATATTGACAAGTTTTCCCCGGTCTTCGCAGGTGCTGAAAGGCGTCTCGTTCAGCATAAAGCCGGGCCAGAGTGTGGCCATTGTGGGCCCGTCGGGGAGTGGCAAGTCGACGATTGTGCGGCTGCTGCTGCGGATGTACGACCCGCAGCACGGCAGCATGGCCATCGACGGCGTCGACGTGCGGGACCTCACGCAGGAGTCGCTGCGCAGCGCCGTCGCGGTCGTGCCGCAAGACACGGTGAGCTTTTAAGAAATGATTGCGGAAGGTTCGTCAGTGTGTTTTGTGAGATCAGACGTGCGTGAAGAAGCGGGAGATGGAGAAGGCGGGGGGGTTTGCGGTGGGCGGAACACAGTCCACTAGAAGGGTCCTCGAGAAGTCGGAGCGGGTCTCCAAAGGTCCTTTGAAAAACTGGCAGCTATGGTCGGACACAAGTTCAACAGTCTACTACAAATTGGCTGAAGCACAATCTTCCTTTCATACTCCTGAAGCTTCGATCCAAAAGGATCCGAAGCGTAGAAAAAACTTGGTGTCGTGGCTCAATCCTGATTCAAGAAGACCGCGCTTCGCACCCGAACCACCCAGATGGCCAGGCCAACGTCACCCGCCCTCCGAGCATGGCCTCAGAAAGTGATATCTCAACATAAAACCCAAGCTCCCCCCGAGAATCATCACGTGTTCTGAAACCCAGCATGCTCGATGTGCCGCAGGTGCTGTTCAACGACACCATCTTCTACAATATCGCGTACGGTCGACCTACTGCCAGCAAGGATGACATCATCACGGCCGCGAAGATGGCCAAGCTGCACGACGCGATCATGCGCATGCCGGACGGCTACGAGACGCTTGTCGGCGAGCGCGGTCTCAAGGTAAGGCCTCGCTGGGTTCTTTGGCCTGCAGAACAAATTTCTGGTATACGTGGTTTCCTGATCCTTGTAAGATGGTTTCATTTCACAACCGACCGTTTTACCGGTACGGGTAAACAAATTCTCGGTAATGAGAGTTTTGCGAGTCCTGGAAGCAGCCCTATGAAACATTCATGCAAAGCATTTACTGACGACACAACCTAAGCTTTTTCGAGGTAGGCTTGTGATGTTCCACACAACAAGTCCTCACTTAGGCTAGTATCCTACCCAAGATCCTACATCAAGGCTAGTCTAAGCTAGTCTAGACTAGAAAGCTCAAGGCGCTGAGTCACAAATCGAGCGGGTTCGATCACTCATCTGGGTGAGGTTGGACTAGCGGAGTATCTGAAGATTATAGTTGAAGTCGAGTTGCGTCAAGCCGTTGACCGAATGGAATTGTAGCGGGCGGTGCTGACGTGATTCAGTGGAGGCCTGGTCTGGGGTCCGATTTGCTCGGTCGCTGGCGACTCTGGTTGATTAATCCGGAAGCAATGAAGTCGCCGATTGCCAGGAGCGAAGCCTCGCTAAGGGTCCGTGAGGCACGAAAGCTTCCAGGAACGAAAGCACGCGCTCTGATCCTAGATGCTGGCGGCTCGCGATTCGCCCAAAAGCATTTGTTGACGAAACTTCCGCTTTCTGCAGTTGAGCGGCGGCGAGAAGCAGCGCGTAGCCATTGCGAGGGCATTCCTGAAGTCGCCCCGCATGCTGTGCTGCGACGAGGCCACGTCAGCCCTTGACTCAGGGACGGAGGTGAGGGCACTTATCAAAGATGGAGGCCCTTGGTTCAGTTTGTTCGATGCAGCTTTTCTGAACGGCGCATGTTGGTGTTTATGCAGGTTTTAGATAGATGTATTACTTGCAAGGGGGAGGAAAGTTCGCAGCAGCTGACCGGTAAGAGTTTGACAAGTAGCCGGTTCTACATGGGTTTTGGCCCCCCCAATCTTGGTGCAGGGCTGGTTTGATTGGCATCTTTCTTGCAGATACGACTCCTCTCAGGAGCTTATGGTTTTGCCTTGCAGGCCGCAATTTTGGACTCTTTGAAAGAGCTGGCCGCCGGTCGCACGTGCCTCTTCGTGGCCCATCGGTTATCGACGGTGGCCCACTGTGACCACATCCTAGTCATGGACGCGGGGTTGATAGTTGAGGAGGGCACGCATGAAGAACTGGTACAAAAGGGCGGGGCATATAGCAAGATGTGGTCGTTACAGCAGGCGGAAAAGAAAGAGGATGCCCCCGAGAATGGGCATAACGGTGCTAACGGTGCGGCGAGTGTTAGTGGGAGAGGACTGGAGTCGGAAGGACTGGCGTCGTCATCTAGGGAAGACAGCGCCCATGTAAATAACGGGACCAACGGTGCGAATGGCGTTGAGAGGAGCTTGGCCAGCCGAGAACTGAAAGAGGAGATGCAGCGGAGCGAAGAAGTGGGTGTCGTAGTGGAAGAAAGTGCCAAGACTGGAACTGCTGGCTTCAGAGTAGACGATCTTTTGCCTGCCACGAGAAGCGAGTCCGAGTAGCTAATCTGCACGCTTTGATTGGATATTTTTCTTGGCTCGTTTCGGCTCTTTTCTGTTCATGCACGCAAGTACGTTCCTGCACATAGAGTCGGATTTGTTGTCCTCAGCCCCATCCTGCTAAAAAGCAACAAGACGGTCTGCTCTAATTCTTACTTCCACACGCGTTGTATAGCACAATTTCCGCTCTGATGCATGCAATTTGTGGTCACATTTTGGAAGCAACCCTTTAAGTTTCATGAGCACGTATATAGCACGGTTGCCGATGGCCACCGGAGTTGGCGCACGCGTGACTGCATAAATGTGTTGTAATTCTTATGTTGATCATGTTAAGAACACGGCCCAAAGCAAGCCCAGGGACTATGCATCTCACTGACGGTTTCGTGGAATTCGAGTGAGGAGGGATTGATCCACGCAATGATTTTCTGTACGCAAATGAACGATGGCGTTAGTTCACACATTAAGCAAATCTGCCCGTCTGGGGCACTCTGGCGGTCAAAGATTTGATGCACAATCATGCACAAGCCCCATGCTTCGGTACGGGCTTTATAATGTGATGTATGTATGTATGCACACAAGGTACTCAATGAAGGAAAGCATGATGCATCTAACATTCGGTAGGCTTGTAGCAAACAAGTAATCCAGCACAGAAACGACCCGCGTGTCTGATCAACTGAAGAAACGAACCCCGACTGGATACTCCTTTGAGATATAGGGTATCCACATTGTTCACTCTAACCTAGGTCACCTTCCTGATTAGGGATACTCGCGTTTTCAGCGGATCTCGCAGGCTTCCCTTCTCTCACGTGTTTGATAAGGGAAGAAACCTCAAACTCAATAACTAACCTAACGACCAGGCTCCTTTCCAATGAGCCTGGCCGATCCCGTCGAACCGCGACCCACTATGACAAACGCAAAAGTCCCCGTCTACCGCTTTACTTCAAAGCACTGCGAGCGATTGATCATGAACTCCATTGTTGACGTGCTATAGCCCGCTGACCCTGTCCTAGACCCCCTCCTAAAGGTGGACGTGCTCGCCCTTTGCATTGTGTGCGACAAGCCCTGTGACATACTAAACGCGCGGCCCCGTTCCTCGTACTCATCCATAGACGCAAACCCTACCGCGCACTCTCTGAGGTCGTTATCTAGCTGCAACGTCAGCGGATCGCCTCCCGCAAACGCGGCGGACTGCCCAATCTGCGCTATTGCATTTTCCAGCATCTTCTGTGCCGCTCCTAGTTGCCCGAGCTCCGCCCACTCCCGAGCGGTGCTCATCGCCCGGGTTGCAATCAACCGGTTCCTCTGCCTGTCTACGTCGATGTCAACGAGGTCCTCCCCGGGCGGGATTTGGAGTGGCCGGGACACCACAAGCTCCGCTGGGGTTACCGCTTTGATGAGTTGAGTGCGCGCTTGGACATAGTTCCCTGAAGCCGCAAGCACGAGCTGGCGTTCGTCCGCACCCCTCGAACCCGCGAACTTGGGAAGGTTCAGCTCCACCAGGATATCGCGGGCCTCCTCGGCGTACATGTCGCCCAGCACGATCTCGGCCCGGGTGCCCGCCTCGTCGACCGTCCGCTCGAACATCCCCGCGTGCAGATGCTGGATCCGACAACCGTTACCATCAACATTAAGTCCGCCCACCTGGAGCGACACCGTCACGTCCTGGGCCACGACCGTGAGCAGCCCACCGATGCACCGCGCGAAAGCGTCCTGCACGCCCTCCGTTTTCTTGATGAAGCTGTACGTGCCTTTGGCCTCGCTTGCAACCGAGAACATGGCCTCCGCGTCGTGGTCGCCCCCAAACCCGAACGTGTGCACCGCAACCCCAGCCCAGTCGGTGACGCCCCACTCGGGCAGCAGCAGCGACATCTCGCGCCGGCCCCACGAGTCCTGCCCGTCCGACAGCAACACCACCGCGCGCACCGGGTTTCGCGTGCGCGCATCTTTCAACACCTTCAGCCCCAGCCGCAGCCCCGCGCCGATGTTCGTCCCGGACGAGACCTCGATCCGCTTGACAGCGGAGACGATCCGCTCGCGCCCGGCGTCCGTGACGCGCAGCAGGGGCGTCACGCGGTACGCGCGCTTCGAGAACGCGACCACCGAGAGCCGGTCGTTCGGGCCCAGGTTCTGGGTCACGAACTCGATCGTCTTCTGCACCAGCCGCAATTTGCGCCCCATCATGCTCTTGCTGACGTCAAGGACCGCGACCAAGTCCAGCGGGGCGCGCGCCTCCTCGAGCGAATGCGGGTCCGGCCCGGGGAGTGCCTCCGGGGCCGGGCACACGCTCTCCGACAACCGCAGCCGCTCCGTCATCTGCTCCGTCAGCCAGCCGTCGAGATCCGCCGAGTCGCGCCTCTCCAACGGTTGCAGGAGCGCCACGTCTGCAGACCCGGCTCTTTGGAGGCGGTCACCCGCATTCCGTGGCCACTCCAAGCTGTCCAGCTCGGCGGAGCCACGAGAACCGGTCCGCTTGCGGCTGGGGACGCCCGACGTGCCCACGTCAGATTCGAAGGAGCGGCCACTGCCCGACGCTTTTCGGCTGTGGTGTGAAGTGGCGCCGGGCGGAGACTGGTTGCTGCTGCTCGGGTTAGAAGCGGGGGGTTTGGCCAGTGGCGCCGCTTTGACGGTGACTAGGCAAAGGAACTTGTCGCGGGAGTCGGCGGCGGCAACCGCGGGGTGCTCGCTTCGAACGGAGATCTGCGACCGGAGTTAAAAACATGGGTTATGCATTGAACTAAGCCAACAAGGTGGGCTGGACTAGGATTGCAGTTAGACTTCATCTGGCAGGGCGCGTGCCAGAAGCGGAAGGTCAGGCGGTGATAAAGTAAGTCAACTATGAAAAGCACGTCTTCTGAACAAAGAAGTGTTACCGAAAAGTGAAGGTTACAGTCAAGTTGCACAGAAAAAGACCGACCAAAAGCCGTCTGTTTGTCAAAGTCTGGCATGTGAACCTCGTACTCCAACTTCCGCTCAAAAAGGTGGTGAATGAACCCCTTGCCCGCAGACGTCGGCCACTTTACAATTAGCCGTCTGCACGCGGAGGAAAACTTGTACCAAGCAATTCTCATGTCGTTCTCCACACTCGAAGCAGCGGCCGAGACCAAGACCCACCTCCAGATCCGGCGCACTCCCCGGGATTGGCTGCAGCGGCATCACCGGGTCGTCATCATCGAACATCTCCGGTCCAATCGCCGCCTCAAAGCGCGCCATGTCGAACCCGCCATCCGCCTGCAGGCTCCCCCCGAACTGATGCCCGCTCGCCTGATTCCAGGCCTCCGGCTGGTTGGCCCCGCGCTGCTCCTGCACCCCCCGCAGCACCTCCGAGATGCCGTCCGACCCAAAGTCACTGTTGTAAAACCAGCCGCGGCTGTCTGCGATCGGGTTTGGACGCTCATCGGCAGTGTTCGGACGCTCCCCAGCTGCATGCGGACGGTCCGTCGAGCGGCTGTACACGATGTTGCTGTTGGTGTCGACTCGAATGTCCCGCTCGTTCTCGTCCATGGACGACCAAGTTCCGTCGGCGGGGGGCACGGACGTGCGGAAGCTTTCCAGGTGCTCGGGGAACTCTCTAGAGGGGCTGCTCTCCTTGACGGGGCTGGGGGAGCCTCTTCCCGGTTCTGGGGAGAGCGAGCCGGGGCGGCTGGTCACAGGCGATTTGTAGACGCCCACTTCTACAGGAGGGTTCCTGTCAAGGACCTTGAATGCTTTGGAGTAGCTCGCAAACAGGGGGTGATCCGGAGGCAGCGCATGCCCGCTGGTAAGAATCTCTGCACTCTGGTTCCACATCTCGTCCCCCGTAACGGGCTCGACATCCGGGGCTTTCCTGCCCCGCCCCCTGGCTGGAGGCGACTCCTCATCAGAGCCACTACTTTCTACCAAAGCACCGGTGGGTTTGAACTCTCTGCTGGGAGCGAAAAAGTGTGCCCAATCCTGATCGTCCAGCTTACTCGCAGCCGGCCGGGCCCCCCTCCCTGGCGGGGGGGTTAGACTGCCCCTTCCGGGGGGCGGCGTCAAGCTCCCCACTCCTCTCAAACCCTCCCCCGCCGCCCTGTTCTCGCCGTCAAAGGATTGCGACCGTCGTTTTCCTTCCAGGGGGTTCGCCACGAGCTTGGGAGCCGGCCCTGTGTCCTCTGTATTTGCGGCCTGCCGCCTCTCGTAGCGCCGCCGCGGGCTGATTGGAGGGGTCTTCCGCCCGGGGGGTGGCTTCAGGTGGGTGCTTTTCTTGTCGGGCGACGCGGCTTCGATGATGCTGGGCAGCGGGGCGCTGTCCTTTGAGGTCCTCCGGCGACGCGCAAAGATGGGGGGTGCCTGTGGCCCAGGAACGGGGGCCGAACCGGGCTTATTCACCTTAAGCGCCGGCGGCTGAACGGGTATGTTCACACCACCTGTATCTTGAGCTGGTGCCGGTTCAGGAGGACTCTGGCTGCGCTCTTGTGCGTCGCTCTTCGCATGCACGCCGAAGCAAAACTCGGGCGCCGGGGCTCCCCCCCCCTCCTTTCTCTTGGCAAAGTCGCCCCCCCGCTGCAGAGCCACCGGGCTTGGCAGGTCGTCAAGCACGCCCGGGGACGCTTCCGAGAAGCGCTCCGAGTGGTGGAAGTGGAACGGGTCCCCGGGCGACTGCTCGGCTTCGTATTCGTCGGCATCGAGCTGCAGGGTTCTCTTTGCCCAGGAGCCCTTGAATGCTGACGCCGGAGGGCCCTCCGAAGGCCCCGTTCCGGCTTCCGTCATGTCGCGGAAGGTGGGCGGACGTTCCAGGGCTAAAGGCCCGGAGCCTGGGGCCTGGTTAGGTTTGGAGGGGTGCTGAATCACGGGTGCCACAGGGATGTCGTCCAAGTCTACATCGTCGTCAGCAGGGGGAAGCGGAGGGGTTGTCGAGGGCCGGCTGCTGCGGGGTGGTCGGGCACCTGCTTCGCAAAGGGCAGGCCTCAGAGAGGATACTTATATGAGCGAATGCTTTCACAGATTAGATTGCCGTAAAGAGCAATGGTATACCCGTACCAACTTCGATGTAGCGGCAAGCATCTTTCGCGCCCCAAGTTCTCACTGTGAAAACTTCCCTCCGGCCTTTCCTCAAGTTCAAGTCAAGCAGGCAAGCATCCTTTCGTTCGAACGGAACCTACAACTGCTCTCAAGTCAAAAAGCTTCGGACTTATTGCCCCCAGCCCCCACACAAACACGCAAACTGACTTCCATGAGTCACAAAGGAAGCAATGTTTTTAGCCCTCAGCGGTTGGATGACAAACCTCAACCCACAGGCGACCTGGTTAAAGTGGCGACCGCTCACCTGCGCCCTTGCGGTTCAGCGGCTGTCCCTGGTAGGAGTAGCCCAGCGCGCCGTTGGCCCAGGCCCCCGTGTCCGGGAGGCGGCGCCACGTCTTGCGGCAGAGCGGACACCGCAGCTGACCGAGGTCGAGGCCCAGAGCGATGCACTCGAAGTGGAATGTGTGGCCACACTCAGCAGTGAACAAAGAGCCAGGGTGTCGCGGGTCTGCCTCCCTCCGACAAGATGCACACGCCTGGAGAAGGAGAGTCCATGGTGAAGACATCAAGGACGGTCTTGTACAAACGTCTTGGAAGACCTCAAACCTCAACAGGTCGTTCTAATAATGAGAACGTCTTAGCCAGCTTCAGAATTTGCCCTACGTACGACAGAAGCATTCAGTAATTGCATGCATCAGTCCCAAAACCTTCCTCATCAGTATAATTCCTTCCACCATGTACGAGTTTGTTCGGCATTGAATAGTGATTGACTCATGAATGAGTTTGCCCACCTTTGAGTCGCCTGCCGCACTCTTTGGCCTCTGGAACACCATGCTCTGGAATGTCGGCCGCGTGACCACCAAGCCGTCCAGCTCCCCGCTGTACGTGTGCGGGGCCTCCCGCTTGAACTCCGTGCTGACATCAGACCCGAAAGCGGCGACATCATGCGCCCCTTCCCCTCTCTCTGACTCTTCGGAAAGCTCTGGCCCCAGTGCATGCCGCCCGTTTCTCTCCACATATGGTCCCCCGCTGCCCTCAGCCTTTTGCTGCTCCCGACGAGGTGGGGTGCTCTCCCGGCCGTCCGGCTGGTCAGGGACCGCGCCTCTGTCTTTCCCACGGGCAGAGAACCTCCCAACTAGTGTGGTAAGTTTGCCCATCGGGTGACCGACTAAGGCTTCTCTGAGTATTGGAGTTGAGGCGAATCAACCTGCTTTACCTGTTCCAATTGCTAGGACAAGTGCACTAGCACTTCTCCATCTACTGTAATACCAGCTTGCACTTGAGAGTGCACATTGCCGTCCTCTGTGCAGATACCGTGCTTGTACCTGAACAAGAAGACCTGATGAGAGTACAGACCGAAACTTCATTACTTGGTGAAGTGGTTCTCAAAGGTGAAGGTATGTTGGTTATGTTGCGTCCTTGCTTACAAGCACAGTCTGAAACAGAAATAGTCCTGCTTCATCTTGAAACTCATTTTAGACCTTTATGGTAGGGCAATGATGCAGTCGCATCGGTTGTAGCTCCACCTGAAGGGGAGATTCTAGTGTTAAAGCACAGCACTTCGCCACAATATAGAGGCACCCGCAAGCAAAAAGTTGATTACACAGTGGTTCTTTGAAAGCCTGCTTTACCAAGCTCCCTCATGGTCTTCTATCTTTGATATCAAGCTCAGTTGCTCATAAAACCAAGTTGAAAAGCAAGCAGCGGGATGTATGTATACCTCTTACTGTCAATCAACCAGACTTAGAACACTTGAAACCAACCCCACCCTTTCACAAAATTCTCTTTGAGGTTTGAGGAACCAGGATTCTCATAATACATGGCAAAGCTAGTGGCAGAAGAGAAAAAATGTAACCCTTCCAGCTATATCATAAGGAAACGACAACATACCCAAGTTGTCAACATTCACCTGGGAAGAGCAAGGACGTCCACCCCTCAGATTCAGCTGGCAACGTTATCATCAACCGCTGACTTGTACCTGCAAAGCCGCGGGCTTTATACCTTCTTTGAGGCTCCTTTGACAAGGACGGAAATGCAGCTCCTGAACTTAGCATACATACCTCGGATACCGGAGTTCCTTGGAAGAGGAATGAAAAGACTGCTTCAATGTTCACAAAGCTTCCAAGTAAGCGCCAAAATCCTCTCTGCCTAGTACCTACCCTACCTTACTTATCTCTGCAGTCCATCATGTATGACGCCAAATTGCAAGGGCGCTCGCCGCTCGCCGCTCTGTGCCTGCATGCGGCACGTTCTTGCCTGGTCAACGGTTGACCGCATTTACGCACGGGGGAGGAGACGAAGCTTCGAAACTCGGCCACATCCTTTCAGTTCTCCGTTTTACTTTGAATAAACATCTGCCGTCGTATTTGCAGCTGCGGCGCCCGTTTGAACGAACAAATGCAAGGTTTCTCGTATCTACCTACACCTAGGTGATCGTTTGTGACCTGCTAGACTTCAACCTGCGATGAGCTGTTTTTAAAAGGATATGTTAGCACATTACCATTTAGTTGTGTCCAGGGTTTGGTTTCGTCCCCGGCTAACCGAAGCCGAAGTGATCCTGCGGGGCCCGTTTCGGGAGGAATCCCCTCCCGGAGAACGCTGAAGCCGTGAGATGACATCGAGTTTCTTCAGCGGACGGTGAACAATTGATCCGCTGCAATCGCTCCATTAGCTGAATTCATAGACTCTTTCAGCAATCCGGACCGTCAATTTGAAGCGCTTTTGCATCGGACGGCGCTTGTCTTACTTAAGAAGTAGAGTGAAACGTTCGCTGCTGGCCGGAGATCTGGATTCTTGGTTTGTGGCTCACATTGACAAGAGAAGACTGACCGTGAGTCAAAAGGGACAATCTACACTATTATATTAGTGTCTCCGGTCGATCTGTCAGAGTACTCTCACAGGGCGTCAATCTGTGCAGGCATTGGTTAATGGTCTGACATGTGTCAGAGTGATCTGTTTGCTTGGATGCGGGACTCCGGTCCTCTTTGACCGCGCACCGGCATGGTACCGAGCTACTTCCCGGGGACCTCCTGGGGACCTCTCAGTTTCCCGGTGACACTGCACAGTGCACAGTCACTGCCTTTTCAGTCACAGTTGTCAGTCACAGTCACAGTCTAGGTACCTCTAATAGTGTCCATGGTGTCAAGACCCACAGTATGAGTCACAATTGGTTTCCCGGCAGGTTAAAAAGCGCCACAGTTTACGGTCACAATCAAGGTTTAATCGTGTCTCAGTCTCAGTCACAGTCACAGTCTCAACCACAGTCACAGTGTCAATCATAAAATCAAACTTACAGTCACAGTCAACGGATAACCGTATAATAGGTAGCTTAAAAAGATTCAAACCTGATTGACACAGTAAGATTTGGCGGTCGTCCAGCTTACCCGGCCGGCGATAGCAAGTGCCCGGATGACCGCTGTGCAGGTGTGGTACCTACCGGCCAGCTTCATAGATTTGATCATTTATGGTCGCGGCACGGGAGGGTGTTAACACAGAAGAATTTCCGGAGACACTAATATTATAGTGTACTTTGTCCTACTTGCGACAGTGAGAGCAGGAGGAGGCTTGTGCTTCAGAAGGGGATTGGTTGTCAGGTTTTATAAAAGGGAAGGGGTCACCACCTCAATGTCTGGGCCGGAACGCAGCTGCATGCACTGACAGAAGAGGTTCACGAGCCTGCCAGGCGCAAGAGCGCTTGCCTCTTGAGCTCATCCATCGATATCAAGTTTAGTCAACAGAATAGAGCGAGTTTCTTTCAAAAGAATTCTTTCCTCTCTCATGATGGCATTTGCAGCCGGACCGCTCCAGCGTCCTATCAGCTTCCTTGACCTCTGCATTGCTCGCAGACTGACTCATCATTTTGCCACGACATCGCTGGAATCACGCCCCGCCCCTGCGGCCCTCGCTTCCACCTCCGAGAGTGCTTCTTCAAAACCAGTAAAATCCACAAGCGCGGAGTCAGAAGGAGCCCCTATCCTTTCAGATGGCAAAGCACAGGTAGAAGCAGCAGCATCGAGTAACATGCCTTCAACAAGTGCGGAGACTTTTCTTCCAAAGCTTGAAGGATCATATTTTGCAGCACAAATGAATTCCAATCCTGCAGCAGATGCCACTGTTGGACAAATTCCTACTGTTCTACATTCGCTGGCCCGTTCCCTTTTTCCAAGCACGAAGTTTTTAGCGCAGCGTCATAGCCAGGGAGCCAGCATCCTTCAGCACAGGTCATTCTCCGCTCATGCGCATCTTCCGAGGACTGCAGCGGTGGCGCCTGCCGTGCTAGGCTGGCGACCAAGCTTGGAAGAACTAGAGAGGGAGGAAAGGAAGAGGAGGGCCTGCCAGGCAGGGCCCTCTCACAGAGCTCTTCTGGTGGACGCGGCGGGGACACTACTTGCTCCCTCAGAGCCAGCTGCGCAGGTAAATGAGATTTTCGTCTAAACAGAACGGTTGTGAAACCGGGAAATGCGTGCCGAGTATCTTCTGGTTGGATATCTGTTGAAAGTTTGAAAGATATCTGCTTGTTACAGGTCCTGGAGAGACTAGTCGCGCCTGATCTAATGCAGCAGTCCCAAGATTGCTTGAGGTATCTAAGTGTTCACCGCATGGTTTGGCAGCGTTTGATTAAGATAGTTCTTGCTGGACATTATGGTCGTAAAACAAGCGAAGAAAGTGATTCAAAAAGCATATTCTGTGTTCCCCAGTCAAACGCCTGAAATGATTGTGGAAGCTCAGTGTACATGATTGGCATTCCTTCCGAATGAGCCATCTAAACTAGGTAGATACGAGTGGTGGCTTGAAATATTGCGTAGTGAACCTGACGTGGCCAACTGTAATTTTACCCCTGCTTTCTCTCCTCCCTCACTAACTTATTTCAATCCAGGTCTACAAGACCATCGGAAGAAAGTATGGCGTGACCATCTCAGAGGGCGACATTCTGCGTCGGTATCGCTGGGCCTATTCGCAGCCATGGAGCGAGTCTCACCTCAGGTGACCTCAAGCGTCGCCCTTTTCGTCTTTTATCTTTGCTTCCTTTTGTTCGCGTTTCTGTGTATCTAGTGATTAGGGACTGGAAGATTCAAACGGGTTGCCATCAACATACTGCCTTGTTGACGTGCCAATGAACCAAGAAAGAAGCAGCAGTGACATCATGCACAATAGTCAAGAGTTGTTCAGACAAACTCAGATTGATCTGAAAAGACAAGACCGCGCCACTCCCTGGGCATGAGCAATAGGCCCGTGCAAGAGTTGTGACAATTAACCAGAGTCAGAAAAAATCGCCTCAATCCCGTACTTGGGTTCTGGCAAGTAATCTTTGAAAGTGTTAGAGCGGACCACCATCAGCCACTCTAATGCATCGGGTGCTCCAGAACAGCACGTGATGAACATTGTCTCCAACAGCTCATTGTCTGGGTCTTTTCGATTGTCGTTTTGAGCGCAGACCTTCTGTAAGTCGATGGAGTCCGGCATGGTTATACGTTGCAGATTGTCTCTACCGTTTTAAGACAAGTGCGGCAGCGTTTTGAACAAGATTCCTGACCCCAATTCCCCTCAGGTATGTGGACGACGCCCGCTTCTTTTGGGCTTCCGTGATCGAGGCGTCCACTGGCTGTTCAGACCCTCAATACTTCGAGGATCTGTACCAATACTATGCCAGCGCAAGGGTGAGGTTTTTGCTCAAAAATGATCTTATGTTGATTAGTTGATATCGTAGACAGCTGGAAGGTCTCGGCTCATCATCCAGCTGTTGGTCAGGGTTTAGATCAGCCACTTGGTACTTGTCCATTGACAAGGTTCGTGAATGTAAGGGGTGCACTGATTGCTTACCACTTCTTGAGGACCAATCCCGTCAATCCCATGAACCACTTTCTCTTCCTCCCATGAGACTTGTGGAAGCTGGCTAGCTGGTCGTCGTAGTGGGTGGCTTTCTACATGGATTCGGCAATTGTTTGTGATACCTTCTTTGAGCTATGTGGGGAGCAGTCAACATTCAGATGGAGCTAGACCCTCTGACTAGTGGAAGTGGCTTCAAAACACTCACCCTGACAGTCTTAGGATTTGCGCTGCCTTTCGAAAAGCCTAGCGAATGAAGACCCAGTTAGGCGTGCCTACCGTTGCGCCTTTCGGGCGACCAAATTTTGCAAAGTGATCTTCCAAAAATCTCAATCAAGCGGCAGTCCATAAGCATCCGAAATTTCAACTCGAGCGGCCTGCTGACGATTTTTCATAATGTTCCCCAGGCGTGGAGGCTGATTGATCCGCATGCGGGGGAGGCTTTTTCAGCACTGCGAGAGGCGGGCGTGAAAATAGCGGTCGTGTCCAACTTTGACACGCGGCTGCGGCCGATCCTGGAGCAGCTGGGCTGCAGCGACTGGTTCGACGCGCTGGCCATCTCGGCGGAGGTGGGAGCACGAGCCCTCAACTATTTTGAATCTTACGCACTTGGATACTCTTGACTTTGTTCGATTCACAGTCCTTGCATAGCAGTCCGTTGATCTCAAGAGCACCGGGCGTGAGGGCATCTCGATGTCAAAATGCGCACAACTGTTTTTACCCTTTACCCCCCAATACCTAACCACTGAGCTTCCAAGAACGGTCTACAAGTCTTGAACATTTTCCGGATTAAGAATATTGGTGAAGTCCTCCAATGCAAAGCCAAGTGGAACGGTAACAGATTGTACAGTCCCCTGCTATTCATTTTAAAGATAACTTTCCAGGATGAGATATCTGGAGGGCTGTGACGTACTTGGAAAGCTTCTGGCAAACTGATTATCTGCAGTGCAGTCGATCCCAACTGCGTTCATTTCGAAACTGCACAAGTCACCGACCAGATCGTCTGCCTTCTTCTTCATCAGCAAAGTTTGCAAGTTCAAGTGAAGCAGTCATAACCGTCTGTGATGGCTGTGCGAAGGTAGAGCTGTACCTCTGATGTCATCTCTTCCTGGTTGCCGTTGTCAATCCTTACAGGCGAGAAGAAGTCACGAATTCACGCAATCAGCCTTGAACCTTTTTGCATTCCAGCTGTGGTCCGCTTCCGCTGGATACGTGGTAAACCCGACACCCGTCCAACCGAGCAGGTGGAGGCCGAAAAGCCGAACCCAACCATCTTTCTGCGGGCTTGCGAGCTGCTGGGGGTGCCTCCCGAGGAGGCGGTCCACGTCGGGGACGACCGCAGAAACGACGTGTGGGGGGCGCGGGACGCCGGGTGCGGTGATGCATGGTTGTGGGGAGATGACGTCACCTCGTTTGCTGAGGTGGCCACGAGGATGGGCGTTGCGGTCGCGGAAGCGGAGGAGCCGCTTGTTGCCTAGGCGGCGTTAAGACGAAAGGTGGAGGGGGGGCCAAAGAGCGGTGGCTGTCGGAATGGCTTGATGCTCTGCATGTCATGTTTGTATGCGGATCCAACGAGTAATGGGTACTTGTTGGTTTTGCTTGCGGTGGAGACTGAGGAACGTCCAAGGTGGGTGGTTGTACGTACTGGTAGGGAAGCTGGATCGATTAGGGGGCCGGTTGCAAGCTGCTTCAGGTTGGTGGGGGTATCACCAACAGTTTTGTTACGGTGCAGTCAACCAGCTCGTGGGTGTGAGTGGAAGTGGGGAGATTTGAACACGAGAAAGAGGCAGGCTCGTCTAGGCGGAGCTTTCAACAAGTTGTGCATGCAGGTATTGGTTACGCTTGCAAGCGTAACGGATTGGCCAGGACGATCGAGGGGGAGTGATTGTGATAGGCTGCTTACGGATCGAGCAGCCAATTGATCCTCTTGACGCATTCAAATAGGGGCAGTATACAAATCTTCTCGAAAAATAAGGTAGACAAATGTCCATATTTCAGGCTGCATAAGAGAAGGAGAGCTACAAGTATAGACACAACTAGCTGTTAGCTGCGCGCAAGAATAAGGCTGCAGCAGTTAACCGGGACTAGATGTAATGTCTCGACATAGACAAAGGGCTCCTGTGATAAGTAAGGACCAGCTGCTAACGCGCACATTCAAAAGCTGGTCGCACAATTACACTTCCATTAACGAGCCAAAAACTCTTGCCAATCCAGCCGGCCTGGATAAGTGATCCGAGTACAATCAGTCAGTTTTTCATTTCGCGGCAATCGCACTTGACATGGCGCTATAGCTGGAGCTATGACGTGTATTCTCTAGAAGGTCGCCGAATGATGACCCGGTGGATTACGGCGTCTCTAGGGGGCGCGCCATTTACATAGAGCTCTCGCGCGCGCCAAAATAATAGTCAGATTTCAATATGTCCAATCATCTATATACAGATTTTTCTCTCACAACTCAGTGTACACGTCGACATGGTCATACGTCGACTATTTCGATGTTCTGAACTTACATGCATGCTTTTGACACCGAGCTCTAGCCGCCCGTTCATGAGCCACTCAACAACTTCCCAGTCGATCAGTTTCGTTCAAAGATTATTCTTAAGCTGTGTGGTCGAACAGGAAATAAGTAGTGGAAACACGAACCACCGCTTTACGAGAGCAGTTGCTTTGCTTTTTGTAAGGATCTGTCTATGTACAGATAGTAGAGTTACTACAGTGAGCAGGATCGTAGCCACAGAGCTCCCTGACAACCACGGCAAGCAGCGTTTATTGTTTCGACGAATTGAAGCTCATAGACCTGTTCATCTTACCAAGTGGACGATGAAGTAACAGTCCAATGTTGTCCAAAAGGTTCGAAGCGAGCTGCTGAACCAATCTTAAGCCCCACGCGTGCACAACCAACAGAATGGCGAGCCAATCAAAGAATGATCCAAAACGGCCCCGCAACCAACGCTGACGTCAAACCATCGCTAAGTGCGTCAGAGGGGCGGCCACGAACGACTTCTTCGTCTGGTCCAGCGGCGGCGTTCCATACGGAGTAGTCCGCTGCTCGGGCCGCCTCCCAAGTGACGTGATCAAGGCTTCCATCGCAGACGGCGCGAGCTCCTGCCCGTGCTCTGCGCCCGCTGCCCGCGTGATGCTCTCGTTCATAAGGGATCCCCCCATATCGTTGCACCCAACCGCAAGCAGCGACTGGGCGCCGCCAGGGCCCATCTTCACCCACGAGGCTGCATGAGTAGGGGCCAGATCATAGGATTCAGGCTTTCCTTGGGAGTACCCCGTCGGTTGAAACATTTCTGAATGAATCTCTTAACTCTTGGAAGCCGGTACGACCTGGACATAACTTTGCTTTGATTGTAAGGGCAGACTTGAGCGGCATGTCGCACAGCACTTGTTGGTTGTCCTTGTCACCAGTCAAACAAGAAGAAGCATGATTAAAGCCTACAAACAAATCCAGGCGGTAAACGGCACAAGCTAGAGAAATGAGCCAGCACTTATGACCTCGGATGCTCAACGCAAAGTCTTTGACGAACCCGAACTAACAGAGTTTCTCACGCTGAAGCTAGAAAACTTGCTGGTCCGCACCTTGGATGTTGGCGATGTGCGGATGCAGTGCGAGCCGCGCTACGGCGTGCATGAGCGTGCACTCGCGCATGGTGGGCCCACGGCGCGCGCGGCCCTTGAGGAACACGGGCGCCTCCATGTGGACGAACGGCAGCGGGACGAACTCCGTGATGCCACGTGTCCGCTTCTGGAGGTCCCGCAGGTGGAGCAGGTGACGGGCCCTGGCGAGACCGGGTTCGAATCATGAGAAGCGTGCAGGTTGAACTTGGCAGATTTCAGGACGATACTCACGATGCCACGTGTCAGCTCTGGTAATCCCACGGTTGAGGCAACAACGGACCCCAGAAGGTTGCAAACTACGAGGAGAAACGAAGACACCGTGATTGATAGAATTATAAATATAATCATATTAAACAGCCAAGATAGGAGCGCTAAAGCGAGACTACGACCGCGACTTCCACGAAAGCAAACCAATCCGTAGCTCCATACCAGTTGCGCGGACGGTCCAGGTGTCCGAACATGATGGTGGACGTGGTCCGCAGGCCCGTCCGGTGCGCGGCCTCCACGACGCCCAGCCACTCGGCCGTCGTCAGCTTGTCCGGGCACAGCACGGTCCGTACCTCGTCGTCCAGTACCTCGGCCGCGGTCCCCGGTAGCGACCCTAGCCCCGCGGCCTGAAGGCGACCAAGAAAGGCGTCCACGCTGTGGCAATGGTAGGCAAGTGAGTTAAGAGATTAATCTCCGAAAAAAAATGAGCGGAGATAATAATAAGGTCACCACACTCGGACGGGTAAGGTTAGATTTGGTGGTGAAGGTTGGTATGGTTGCAGAGCACGAAACTTTTTGGAGTGGGATTTTCGCTGTTAGACGGAGCTTACTTGTTAACCTGGTTCACCGTCATCTTACTTGACTGTATTTTTAAAGGCGAATCCAGTTTGATGATAGCGGTATCAGAATCAGGCTATTCCTTCTATAAGGTGGCTTAAGTGAGTGCATGAGAGGTTGCTGTGGAACCCATATGTACTTTGTCAAGGATGGTCTGAGGTTCCATATGAGCACCGACTTGTGGAATGCAAATTTTGGAATCGCGGTAATTCATAATAGTTGCTAGTTGCGCCAGAAGTAAAGTCCGTAATAAGGCTCCGGAAGAAAATTCATGCGCCGATAGTCGAACGGCATCGCAGTGGTAGTCACAACCAATCCGCGGTCCAGAAGATTCTTGGACTACGAATGATATCAGTTCCACGATGGGAGTCCACGAAATTGAATTTCAGGACCTGCTTTAGTAGCCTGGAGTCAGGAACACCTTCAGAAGGCAGGAAACGACTAGGATGCAGACGGCACATTTGAATCGCTCCGTCCAGAACACAGAAAGCTTTGTAAAAGACCGGATGAGAGAATCATTCCCGGCACCAGGAAATGTGTTTTGCTCATGCTCGAAGGCTTTCTATATGCTTTGCAAGGTCGCAGCGCTGCAAACTGCCATGCAACATCAAACTGCCGTCCGTTCCCCAAACAATCAGCTCTCCCATCATAACCAGCAATTCAGGATCGTCGAGTCTCGAAAGTCCCTTTCCACCCTGCCATTGAACAATGCGCACGTTCCCCACCTGATTCCCAGCGTCGCCGCTCCTTGAAACACCTCCAGCGGCGAGAACGCGTGCACGTGGATGTCCGGCGCAGCGGCTTTTACCACCGCCAGAATGTCAAGGTACGTCTGCCCCGTGAAGTCAGGGTGAATGCCCCCCTGCATGCACACCTCGGTGGCCCCCCGGGCCCAGGCTTCCGTGGCGCGGCGACCGATCTCTTCCAGAGCTAACACGTACGGTTTGCCGCGCAGGTTTTCGCTGAACCGGCCCTTGCTGAAGGCGCAGAACTGGCAGCGGTACGTGCACACGTTGGTGTAGTTGATGTTGCGGTTCACCACGTATGTTACCTGCCAGAAGTAGATGCCGCGGATTGACGACAGCAAAAGTTTCAAGCGGATTCCTTCAAGGGGAATCGGAGGATAAACCACTCTACCATGCAACTGCAGTAAGGACCTCCCAAGCGCAACGATTGCGAGGATTGCGAGGACCCTGCGGCTGGCCATTGATGAGGCTATCCATCCTATCATCGTTCTGAAACCTAGTAGACTTACATGTTCTGCCACTGTGTAAACAATATTTCGCTACTGCTCACTCCGCTTTCTGTAACTTCCATTTCCACTACGAGTATAGAGCTTTGGACTCGCTCTTCTTTAAACCTCCAAGAAATGAGCACCCGGAGCCTCACCTTATCGCCGTTCACCTGCCTCCGCAGCTCATCCGCAGCCTGGCAGATCGCCACGAAGTCATCCCCTCGGGCCCGGAACAGCCCCTCGATCTCGGCTTCCGTCAAATCCTGGCCGTCCATCGCTCTGCTCAGCACGTCCCTGACTCCAGGAGATACTCCCAAGCCTGCTGACGTCAACCCGTCGTCCGCTGACGGCCGGCCGCGTCCATAGAGCGTCCCGTCGGCGCTCACTTGGATCTTGCTGTCTCTGCTCGCACTTGTGCGACTTGAAAGATGGGCTTCTTTCACAAAAGCTTCGAATCTATCACCACCTCTATCCGTGGGCTCGCTCGTAAACCTACCCGAGGTCGAAGGTTCCGACTTGACGGTCTGTTCCGTACCTCGCCCGTTCGTCTCGTCACTCGCTTCCTCGTCCGTTGCCGGCTGGCACGTCTCTGCGTGCTCCTCTGACGTCACCCCTCCGTCATTCCGCCCTCCGCTCAGAGCCTCCAGCAAAGGAGGCGGCTGCAGAGCCAACCCCGGGGACCAGTCCTCTGCCCTCGCGTATCCTAGGGCGTCGGAGGACGCCAGCACGACACGTGTCACCTCGGGATCCAGCCACGTCGCAGCGTCAGCAAGATACTCGGGGTAGACCGCCAGCCGGGGGACCAGGACTTTGCCGGCTGCACGAGTGGCGTCTGCCAGCACGGAGATGTGCGGCCAGGGTGCCTGGAGGAATTCGATGAGAGTGTGGTCTCGGAGAATGTCATTATAGGACGCTTTGGAAACTGTGCTCGCTCTAGATGTTCTTAAAGTGGGTCGGGCAAAGCCGCAGATTCATTTGTTTAAACAGGAGGAAAGATCTGGGCGTCGTATCATGGGCGTATTAGAGCCTGTTGGGTGGTTCAAAAGCGGAACATCATTGCAGGAATGGGCTCTCTAAGATCAAGCTGCACGCTCTGAGCTGATGACAGGCACTGGACCTAGAAAACGACGACCAGTGTGTGCATCGCATAACGAAAAGGCCACTTGATCGGCGGCCAAATCCGAGGATGCAATGCTGACGTGACTGGGCTGGGTAGTTCTATTAGCTCCAACCAGCGGCAGCCTTTCGCAAACGCGGCCCACTCACCTCGGGGTTAACCCAGTCCTTGGTTACCGGCGAGATGCCTCCCCAGTCGTTGATCCCCGCGCCAATCAGCGCCTGCCATTCCAGGGCCGCCGTGCTCTGCTCGGGCCCTGCGGGGGTCAGGTTCGGGGGGGCCTGGATGCTCATGGCCGGTCCGAAAGCCAGACGCGCCATCGCCACCGTCCAAAGCAGCTCCTCAATCGACGGCTCGGGCGCGTCCGACATTGCCGTCCCTTCCTTTCGTCTGCGGGGTGAAAGCAAAGATGCTCTTCGATCAAAATTGCTTGGATATGATACGTATAGCATAAACCTAAAGAGTCCCTGGCCGAAGCTCGGCAGAAGCTTCGAGTATGGTGAGCATGATTCACGGTCGGCTCCAAAGAAAGCAAACGTTTTCTTCTCTTCCTATCGCTTTGCAGGTTCGAAAAAAAATGATCAATCAATCAAGGGCAACAGCGTCAGCCGTCAGGCCTCCAAGTCCTGATTTTTTGAAGAGGCCCGTTTCCAGGGACCCCTTTTCGGAAGCGTGGATTAGGAGTGGACATCCTAATCTGCAACCTTGAACATCGTGTCATCGTACGGATGGTCAAATGAAAGTAGGAAAGCCAGCTGCAAGAAGCAAGATCAAGTGGGATTAAGCAGTACAAGACAAAAGTTGAAAAGTCCCCAAAGCAACCGTCTACCACGTGGAATGAGATGCATTAGCGCGCACCTGAAGTTTTGGATGATGAGCTCCTGCACGTGTCCGTACTTCTCGTGCAGCTGCCGGATCGCGAGCAGCGCCTCCAACCGCTCCTCGCGCGTCTCCCCGATGCCAATCAGCAGGCCCGTCGTGAACGGCACACGCTCCTCGCCTGCACCACGGGTTGACGTCACAGACGACTTCAGCTCCGGAACGAAGACGTCAGCGTCCTTCTACCCGTTTCGCCCGCCTCCCGCATGCCGCATCCACTTTCGAGGTAAATTGTCGAGGAAACAACTGAAATGCAATTCGACTGCGCTTGCAACAAAGCCAGCTGAAGTTGAAAGGGGAAGAGCGAAACGAGCCTGCACGACCGTAAGCATATTCACTGTGTCGAGACGAGCGTGGATCGCTCCCGACTGCGCACACATGCTTCAACGCAACATACGAGATCCCCACCTGCAGCGGCGATGGTGGCCAGCCTTGCAGCCGGCCGCTTATCGGGGCAGCCAAAGTGCGGCCCTCCCGGCTCAAAGAGCCGCTCTGAAAGCGATTCCAGCATCAGGCCTTGGCTGGCGGACACCTTCTTGAGGGCTGCCACGTGGCGCCTCCCCATGACGCCAGCATTGATATGAGGGAGAAGACCCGTCTCACGGAGGACCAGTGCGGCTGCAGCTTGGACGTAAGCTAGGGTGGAGTCGAAGCCGAGGCTGGCGAGCTGCAAGAAAGAAAGATCATTTTCTATTGTCTCGCGAACAACTTCGAACGCTGCCTTTCGTGAACCCAACCGAGGGGTTCGCAGCAGGATTGAGTCTTGATTGACGACCGATGACTAGCAAAGGGCGAGATCGAGCAGAGTGCAAGTTTAGGGCGAAGTTGGAATCCAGCTGATGCATGAGAGGCTATGTGGACAGGTGCCTGAGTGTAACGCAGACCCATCTCGACGAACAGCCGCTCTTGCATCGGTTTTTTGGGGTTAAAAGCTGGTACCTCGTCTTTCGCCTCGGTGTAAAGCAGCTCCGGCTTGTCCCCCAGTGTGAACAGGGCCTCGGTGCACCCGGCCTCCTTTCCTGCCTGTGCAACCGCCAGTACCTCGTCCAGGGTCATGTACGCACGCTCGCCCGCCTGAACAGGGGGCCAAACGATTGATCCTCATACCAATATAAGCTCCGAAATCAGTGCGTGCGTGAATTTTTTCCCTACCGTTCTGACACTAAGGAGAACAAAGTCATAAGAATCGCTGCCTCTCACCTTTAAGCAACTTGTCCCAGTGGTTCAAAATCGTGACGATGAAGAACGATGTCGAGTAGAAAATGACAAAAGAAGCAGCGCACTTTGACCAGAAGTTTACCCCCGAGTGAAATAATCACGTGGACGACACCGCTTCTGTAGCCTGCAACTTCGACTCCCCTTCTTGCTGAGCTTGGGCAAAGCGTAGTCGTCAAAAAAGGGGGACAACAGTTGAGGGGAAAGAAACTACGCATGTGAATTGCCACAGGACGACTCCTTGCAAAAAGAGACTCATATCAGAGAAAGCACACCCAGAAGTGATCAGTGCCGCACCTTTGGGCCCATGGCAAACGTACAGTACCCGCAGGCATCACGGCAGAGCCTAGTCAGCGGGATGAACACCTTTGGAGAAAAGGTGACGACTTGCGAGTCTTCCCGTTGGTTCCTGACCCTGGCAGCGGCAGAAACCAAGTTCTGCAATGGCAACTGGGCCAGCCTTTGCAGATCCTGCAAGGTCAGAGGGTTTGAGTTCAGTTGTTCAGCGGGAAAAGAATGAAAGGAATCGCAAGGGGAAGGGCCTGCTGTGAGTTTGACGTTGCTTCTCCCCTTTATTTTTTACCTACAATCACAACTGGAAAAGATAATCGAGTATGAACTAATTACAGATTGCAATTGCGCACGTCAAGCAATGCTTTCTTCATTTGTAACAAGCGTAAGCAGTGACTTCTGCCAGCAGTTCCCTCATACCGCATCATGGTTGCTCAACATGGGCTTTTCAGCTGGAGCTTATATTTGTAATCATTGGGAACTGCAATGGTCCAGGATCAATACCATCCTATGCAATGGCACGCTCTTCAAAATGTACGTGGTCGGGCTCCGCTCACTCCTCAAAGCAGAGTCCACTTTACCAGGGCGAACGTAATTAGGCTCGAATGAATCAAAGCTCGAAGTGAAAAACATGCCCTGTAAACTCGACTGGGGCGCAGGCCCAATTGAGAAACAGACTGGAATGATGAAGATGAAAGACAAATTGGAACGACTTCTGGCTTCCTTAGCAATCTGAGTAGCTTAGCCTCATTGAAACGAAAGGCCAGACGTTGGATATGGAGCTCGCTCAGTCCAAGGGAGTCGAGAAGAAAGTAGCAAAAGCTGTAAGGAGGATAAACAAGAAGTCAGAGAGAAAGTTAGAATGGTATCCAGATGTTTGTTGTAACCTGGTTTAACCCAAGAACAAAGTTTTTGGCTATATTCAGATCTCGTTGAGCTTATCATCATTCCCTTCTGCAGACATGTGCGGAAGGAATGGTTTGTCACCAGAACATTAATTCACAGCATGTCTGCCCCTTTGGGACGGTTCAAAGTGCCACAGCTCGCACCTGTCACTGTTTGCACCCCCATGGAACATTAAACACCAGTCCTTTTTGGGCCAGGACACTTTCCATTCAAAGCCATTGTCAACGACGTATGCAGGCTCAGAAGCCTCAAAGGAGCGCCTCAGTAGTCGGAACCAAACAAGGGCCAGATCTTCACAGCAGCTTCAGAGGGGTCAACTAAAAAACGCCTCGCACCTCCCTGCTCGGAGATTGATAGCCCCCTTGTTCCAAAGCTCCATCATGAGTCCGACCACCCAGCGCCGATAGCTCCGCGGCTTGGGCCACTCCTCGCACTGGCCGATGGCAGGCTGGAAATTTGCTGAGTCGTCCAGACCAGGACAAGCTTTGCATGTCATGTGCCAGCTCCGCCCTCAGCTGTCTTCCCAGGAACAGAGAGGGTTGGGGGCCAAAGCTGCTGCAGCTAGGACGAAAAGGTCGCCTGGAAAGTTTAGCTAGGTTGGCATCAAATGTCGGCTTTGGGGGGCTAATGAGTGGGCGTGGTGCAACAAGGCAACCAAACGATGGAGCGCATACACAGCTGCAGGCACCGATTGCCATGGCTGACCGTCCGGTAGATGCCTCTGCCAATCAGATTACTCAATCGAGGTCCTTCTCTTACGAACTTAGCACACGGCGCCTCAGCAATCAACAGTGTGGCGGTTGCAGCCGCCCCGAAGGCAGGCTATCCGTCCGGCTTGTTCTGCCAGGTGCTTGCCTGATGGCAACAGCATCTGTGTCTTTCTAGCATTCGTTGACCTTTGAGAAGTTTCAAGGAAAAATTTGGATCATTCTACAATCTGGGGGGCCAAAGGTTTCAAGTTGCAACTTGCGCACTTCTTGCGTTCGGAAGAGCTCAATGATGTGTACATGGCTCTTCTCCAGCACCTATGCTGATTGAACCTGCGTCCTCATCCGCGAGCTTTTCGAGGCCGCCCCTGGCCCTGGCCCCTCTTCAACTTGTCGGCGTTGATGCAATGCTGCACCGCGTTCAAGTTTTGATTCCGAGTCTCAAAAGCGAGTGTGAAATGCTTTCCGGCCTTCCGTCCGATCCGAGGAGGTCCGCCGGACTGCTCCGTTCATAGTGCCAGATAACTTGGAAGCTCTAGAGACTAGAGCAAGCCAGCTGAAAATGGCTTGTCCTGAGCTACCTACTGTACATGTAGACGCAACTGAATGAGCTGAAGACGATCTGTTCGTATGCTACAGCTTGCATCGCATGAAGGGCGTCTTCTTCGGCGCTTTTTCCCTTGGCCTGAACGGTTCTTCTTGTTTGGTGGCAATGAAAGCAAGCATCCATTGCGGCGGCCCTCTTCAAGTTTTTGAATCTTGAGCAAGCCGATTTTGGATCCAGCCAGTTTGCGAGTGGCAAATCCTGGTTGCAGTCGGAACAGTTGAATATAGAGCTTCGAGTGGTGGGCTCATACTGTTTGTCACCGGAATCTCCTTGGAGGAGTTTTCGCCAATATGCCGGGGACAAAGAAAACGGACCCCCCAGCTGGGGGAGCTGAGGACATGGAGGGCATCATGGAGGCAGTGGCCCAGTATCGCCAAGCGAAGCTGCGGGGGCAGGTGGAGGCGGACCCCCAGATTGATGTGAGCTGGGACCAGGTTTCGTGCTGAGTCCATCGCATGCTGTCAGGCAGATGCGCTTTGCTGACCACTTGTAGGAGGGTGGACTTGGTGGTTTAAAAAGGGAAGAGCAGCGGGGTGTATGCACTGATTTTTGCAGTGAATAGCTGTTATTTCCTCAATTGTTCCAAAAGCTCAAGATTAAGTTTCCAGGAGGGAAAGGTAACAAGTAATCCCAAATTTGAATGGTAGTTGGGCGGGGTACATCTGATCTGCTGGGATTATACCTGTAGGTTGCCAATCAGCCCAAAACCTCCGCTTTTGCCCCTGCATTGTAGGTCACTTATGGCAGCATGCTCATTACTGAGACGGCACGTTGAGAACTTTTCAGAAGTTTCTAGTGGCAAGTTGGAAAACTTCAATGGTGCCAAATTTCATCATCAATGACGGACGTCTTCGATGCTTACTGAACAGAATATTTACAAGAGGTCCCATACTCTCTGCTTCGTTGACAAGGGAGCTTTGTGATGTCAGTCTCGTATTGATCAACAACGTCATTCTGGACAAACACTTCACTTCTCACCTGCAGGCAATCTGGGAGCTGATGCAGAAGGCCCAGGCAGAGGGCGTTCTGGGACAGGACTTCAAGCTGCCGAGCAGCGCCAGGGAGCCTGCCCCTCAGGCGGAGGCAGAAGAGATTACGCCGGAGCCAGGATTTGTGGTCAAGACTGCAGACGAGGAGAGGGGCGCCAAGGTCTTCATCAACGTCTGTGGCTCAGACAAGGTGAGGTTGCAATCTCTGGGGCAGTGCTTAGATCAAGCTTCAAGGCAGTCATCAGAAGACACCTCTGAAAATTGTTCCTTTGAGATGCAGAATCAAAGTTAAGACTTCGTCGGAACACAAAACAAGCACCTCATGTGACACCGGTGTATCAGGTGCTTTTCAACTTAGAACTTCGCGTCTGTCAAAGTGTGAAAGCATCGATCAGTTCCTTGCAACATGAGAGGGCCGCCTTCTTTCACACGCTTCTTACATCCGTCGAAATCGGCTACCATGCTTGTTTCATCTCAGACCATGGCCTTCCGGGTTGCAGGTAGCCGCGCCTGGTGATTGGAAAAATGGTGTCCCCAAGGAAGTCGAAGAAGCGATGGGGGAGCTTGATGGGGATCCAAACATGCCAACGTCCACGAGCATTGACGAGACGCTGCGCTTCCCACTCAGCCTCTCCGATCCATTCACATCAACCGACAAGGGTGAGCCTTCATTCACACACGATTTCAACTTCATCCTTTCCACCGAATCATCCCTCTCCAAGAGAGCATTTGGCCCAGATTTTGGGTTGCCATGGCAAACAAGGACCACATGCCGACTGTAAGGTCTCTTCACCGATCAACAGCCGGAGTCTTAGTATCAGGGCATGTCTTATGACGCCCACTTGTCGCGTTGTAACGTGTCATTTTTAATGACCGTTTCACTCCTTTCTCGTCGGGCCAATATCAGAAAATCAGTATGCCTCCGTGTAGCGTTTCGTGGCGTCTAAGTGTGACTTGAAATATAGACGTGCTCAAGGCGTAAGATCGGGAAACTTCCGGTGAACCAGTTTGAGGGGGCTTGTAAATTATGCATTTTACTATATTGCCTGGCCGAACCTAGTCATTATTTAGACTCTCAATCGGCAACACGAGAATTCCCATTTGGAAAGGGTCCCACTGACGGGTTCTGCTTAATCTAGCCCTTGCTTGTAGCACAATCTCGTCAGCATGTTGAGCTGTTCTGCCGACTCATTTTCGAGCATGCAATGCATAGTCGCCCAAAGGAGACTCTCACCTTGCTCTCAAAGTTTTTTGAGCCTACTCCAAACATCAGTGCTCGGCGCTTCCGCAGGCGGCGCTGAGTGCACCGTATACGACATCGTTCTCAACTCCGAGGTGGTGAAGAACGCCAAGTTGCCGGGCCCTCTTGCGCGCCGCTTGAAAACGTTTCTGGTGGAGCTGTGCATGGGCTGGGTGGCGCACAAGCACGGCGTGCGGCTGGACCCCAAGTACAAGCTGCCCCGCTCTAGTTACAAGGGCGACGGGCGGGCCAAGCACCGGATACGCGCTGAGACCAAGCCGCTTATCCAGGAAGTGGCGGGTAAGGCGGGGAGTCTTCCGTTATATTTTAGAATCGTAAGGCAGTGAACCATGAAGGGCTCATTTGCTCTATGTGGGAGCTCGTAAAGGAACGGGTACCTTGAGGACGGGCGGCATCTCTCCTTACAGTTGCGCCGCCTAGGATGAGTAATGCTCAGAGAGGAAAAGCACCTGTCTCCATTTTGACTGACGTGGACTTTGCAGGCGTCTCTCTGTTTGCCTTTGACTTGAGACTCTGATCGTGTCTCCTGACGAGCGTGCCGATTTTCTGTGCGCAGGCTCCGACGACGATCGGCCTAGCTTTGGTTTGGGGTTCGACCAGAAGGCGCGGGCCAAACCCGTAGCACCCCGCACAGACGCAGCCTCCGAACCCTCGAGACCCGGCTCAACGGCTCAGGCGGAAGCATCGCTACCAACTCCAGACTTCTCTGTCGAGTATGAAGGCCGACCCGTCGAAGCGACAACAGTGACGGTCAACTTGCCCGCTATTGTGAGTGGGCCTGGGGACGGGCTCTACTTTTTCGCTAAGTTCTTGAATTGGTCATCGATTTCAAAATCGGTCATTGCTCGCACATCGACCTCAGAATGGGGACCGACTCGACATCTTATTCCAGCCTGATGGCTTCCTTCAAGTAGCTCTCGATTACCAAGATTACTTGGCTGTGCGCTCTTGTTAAACAATGGTACCCATGGGATGGCGACTCTACAAAACTTCTTCGAGAGTACTTGGAACCGCCACATTTTGCGCGGTTTCGAACAACCGCTTCTTACCTCTTACGCTTTCAATCGTTCATGAAAAGTTTTCTCTGGATTCTCATCTTTCTGGCTGAACGTGTGCAGAGTACAGCAGATGGCTTGAGGGTGGAGCTTGCCGCTGGCGAGCTTCGAGTACATGTGCCGTCCATATACGCTCCTGCCACAGTAAGTTCAACGACAGCTGAGCAGAAGTTGGAAAGAGGATGTCACCACTTTAGCTCCTCAGTGGACGACGTGGTAAGAGTTCATAAATTGTGGCACAATTTGTGGCAGAACGGCAGACGATCTCGAGGGCACGCCAAGTTTTGCCCGTGACTCTTCGGCTTGTTTTCTGCAATGTTCTCCGGCACTTTGACAGGCCAAAAGCAGTCCTTCATCGGGAACTTACTACGCACGATGATGGATTTGGTTATCTGCGTTGGGGTGACAATTCCAATATACCAGCACCGAGTGTCGCTTGTACCTCGTGAAATGAAACCTGGCTATGTCGATTCAGAGGAGTTAGGATGAATCCGGTTTAAGTTGTGTTCAATTGCGTTTGCTGAAGATTTCTTACTTCTTTGCAGATCCCCCTCCACTTTCCGACGGATCCAAAGCGCGTCGAGGTCACCTTTGACGAATCCAAGCGGCAACTGCGGATACGGCTGCCTTTTGGGCCGTACCGAGACTTGTTCAAGGTAAGACCGCCATGCTCGTCCCCTCAGAGACGGCTGAATTCTGGATTCGTGTCGTGATTTGTGGTGCCTCATCTCGTCGATGCTGCGAATGCTCCTTATCTTCGCAAGGACGAGATTTCGTCTGGGTACGGTCGACATTATACTGCGATTTAGACGTGTCCGCATATTGTAGTCGACAGAACTTGGTCCGTCTACAAGTTCCACAGCACTTTACCGTGCTGCTACAAGACAGAAACGCATGCTTTACAAAGTCACCCCTTAGGACTGGGCCGATCCAGCTGCTGGTTTGTTTGAATGTTTGGCAGCGCTGAGCAACCTTTTTGCACGATAAGGCCACATTCAGCAAGAGGCCGTTGTGTTCGCACAGGATTATGTATGCTGCTGATTACTAATTCTCTTGCCTCTCGTCATCTGCAGGAGCTCAAAAGGGCGGCGCCTCATTCCTTAGCCTCCTTGGATTTCCGGACCAAGAAGTCCGTGTTAGATATCGACATTTAATATCACCGCCTAAACATACGCAATTCAGGCCAGCTCATTGTGCCAACGTCATCGGAAATTATACGTACGGTCTTTGAAGTTCAGGTGAAGGCTCCTGGTGAATTGAATTCATGGACTGGTGTGTGTTTGCATGCAAGTCGTACTCTTCTCCCAGCAATCGATCGAAGCATGTGGCAGTCGGAACCATCACCGCAATAATAATATATGGCAATGGATGATTTTCGAGGTTATATGCATATAACTTGGTATCTGCTGCATATGCGCTTTCCGGTCACCGCAGCTGGGATGACCCTCGAATTGACCATGGCAATGTTACATGATAGGTACATGCGCGCCTGTGCGGAGCGCTTTGTCATGAGTTAACAAGCTCGCAGTGACTCCAGCCTATAGAGTGAACACTGGTAATACGACATGGGCTGAGCGCATATACGCAGTTGAACTGCTATGCTTGACCAACCGCAGAACATGATTGCAATTAATCAATCTGCATGCATGCAGGCCGGGCCCATGCTTTGCATGAAAATTGTGCATATTCTGATCGATACCTAGATAATTCGCTGCAGTGGCGCAGCGTGGCTAGCTGTCGAAACCTTCTAGCTAGAATATGCATCATACTGTAGCTATACGAGCCTCACATGGCATGGATGTATGTCACCAATTGCGCAACTCAATTGTTGATCGGGCCGCGGGCTAGCACCGCAAATACAGAACATCTTAAGTGTTGGAGTTGGCCCAGGGATTAAGTTACACGGAAGCCAGCCAGACAATACTTGTACCCATGCAAAGACATGTAGGTAGCTTTACATCGATCAACCCGCCAAATCAACCATTGAAGTGTTTGACTACGACTTGATTAAGCGACTTGCATTGCAACTTTCTCGGAAAGTGCTCGTGGCAATGGGCCAATTGTCGAAACACCAAAAGAACCTTCAACCCACACCTTCCATACCAGTTTAAAAATATAAGGCTGCTATGCGATGCACTTAGGAGCTAGGCTAATCTTGTGACCACTTTCAATCTAACTTTGACCTTCTGATAGGATTTGATAAAAGCAATTCGCGCGCGCATTGGAACGTTAAGATACAGATCTCATCAGGAGATATCACGATCAGCCTGTTGAATGGCTGGAGTCGGCTCAAGCCGCTTCTCAGACGCCCTTTCAGACGCCCTTTCCGCTAAGAGCATTCCCTCATACCGTCTCAGTTGTTCGATGAACCCGGGATTGGGACTCATGATGGGCCGTTTCTCTCGAAGTCTTGCCAGTGCTTCGTCCATAGAAATGGAGTGCTGCTTCATGAGGACAGCTGTGGCAACACTGATACTGCGGACAGAAGCACTTTAGAGTCAAACTTCTGCATTTGGAACCTTCCTGACGAAGTTTTGTTAGGTCTGGAAACAAGCAGCTTTCTCAAGGCCAGATGAAATCCATTCTCCACATCGATGATCCGCCAGAACATTGGCAAAACACATGCCGTCATCATTGTTGATGTCAGCTTTTCAAGATAAACATCCATCTCCAAATGCGAGTTTACAGCAGACGTCAGGATGAAGGAGGAATCCACCTTCTGCAGAGGCGAATATGGATCCGGTTGAGTCTTGACTAAGATTGGGCATACACCGTTGCTTGTTTGATCACACGTTGATCAGCAACGGTCCTAAACGGAAGTTTGGCCAATCAGTGTTTTCTGATCATAGCAAACAACAGAGTTTGGCAATGCAGATTCATTGAACGAAAAAGTATTGAATTCGGCTCGTCTTGAGTGGGATGCAAACAGAAAGAACCCGCTCAGAGAGGAAACTGGATTGACTGGTTGAGTGCAAGGGACAGCTTACCTCCTGGATCTACCAGCAAAACAGTGGACTAACACCCTGCCCCCCTCTTCTCGGGCTTTGGTTACAAACTCTATGGCTGGGTCCAGGTGAACCAGGAGGCTCGCTTGGGTGGTGTCCATGACTGCACAAAGAGAGTGTTCTTTCCCCCCATCAGGAAAAAGAGCGCAAGCAATGTTGTCAAATTGCTGCTCCAAAAGACCTTTTTATTTAGCCCTTCTTTCGGCTTCTCAAAACACTCTGGGCACCATACCTTCAAACCTGACAGCTGATACAAAGACGGAAACTTGATGGTGATGGAAGTTATGTTTTAAAGCGGAAGGGGTTTGCCTTACTTCGAATTTGGTGGTGCGTGTACTCCGTTGGGAAAGGGCTCTCCCACTGGGCCATCACGCAGACGATGTGGGTAATCCCCAGCCTATCCAGCGCCTCCTTGTTGCAAGCTGCTCCCACGGACCCAACATAGAGGCCCTGTACAAAGCAAAACTTAAAGGGTGACCTGGATTGATATAGCAGGGAAGGCATGGAGAGGGAGCCACTCTTTATCTATAGATACTGCCTGTTTCGACCTCACTGCAGATTTCTTGAGATCTTTATTGTCTTGGGTCAGAACGTGAGTCTTTCTTTCAGGTTGACGCAACGCAGTGACACTTCAAGTAGTCTAGTGCTCAGAAAGCTGTTAACTAGGATAGACACCTGCACCTGCCCTGACTTGGGAAGGAACGTCGTCAGTTGCGCAGACGGTGTAAGTGATTTCATGCAGGCGGTGGCACACGCTTGGTCTACATTTCAAGGGATCAGAAGACAGTCACAAGTCACGATCAGGCAGAATACAATTCTGTCAGGCATATAGCTGATTCTGCAACTTCAATCTTGTACAATTTCAACTCATATAGCTGATGGTTTCATACCGTACAATCCTGAATGTACCTAACGCTGTACATTATTTAAGTCCGATTGTTTGCCCGTTCACCTCTTCGATCAAAATTGGCTCGCTGTCCAGCTTCATGGCCGCTACAGTGGCGACAGCCGAGCTCAGCTTCTCGGCGCGCTGCTCATCTTTGCTGTCATTTTGACGGGCAGGCTGGGGTGCCAGAGTTGGCAGAGAGTCTGCGCTGAAGGCGGTGTCCGTTCTCTCCACATAAGTAGACAGTACCATCTTCTGACATCAGCAGCAGTTGGAGGTGCTACGCTACCAAAGTACCTAGCTGTTCTCTGAGCTTCCCTTGCGCAATGCCAATGCTGCCTGTCGCCCTGCAAGTTGGACACCAGAAATGCCATTCCTAGCGTCCCCTCGGGCTCTGGCATTTAAATTAGGTTTAAGATGTGGGCCCAAGGTCAGACTGGGTCAGACCAGTCTTTTGATGAAAACGCCAGAGTGTCACCAGCCTCGATGAGCTTGCAGGGGCAGCACAACGCCGTTCGATGCCTGAAGCCGTCTCCTTGAACGGCTCACCTTTTGGCAGTCTATTGGCTTGACGGTGTTCATATCGAGATCATTTCTAACACTGCCCCGAGGTTCAGCAAACTGAGGATAACCTAGTCCGACCCTAATAATAGTCGTCTACCCCCAATGGCAATGGGCCCAAATGTGAAATTTGCAATTTGCAAGAACTTGAAGTTGAAGGGGCGCAGCTCGTCTAAGGCAGCTCACATCCATGGACAGTTCGTCCTCAGATAGTGAACTTGAGGGGTTTACTGTTGCTCTGATCAAAGGTCTGATGATAGAACGAGCGGCTGAGCTGAGAGGTGCAGCATCAGATGCACAAGCAATGGAGGGGGTGAACGAAATCAACGCAGCTGAAAATGTGACAGAGGACGAGGAAGATTTCGAGGATTCTGAGGGTGAAGACGAGTATGAAGAAGATCAGGAAGATGAAGAGGAGTGGGTCGAAGTTGAATCAGGATCAGAGTAAGGAATGCAATGAACATTTAACAATTTGCAGTAACATTGACACCACCCAATTGTATACATACTGATATAAAGGCTGCTTGTAATTTCTGCCTTGCATACTTTCTCTGATGGACTTTCTAGCTCATGTGACAATGCTGCCCAATGACTTCGCAAACTTCTCAATCTAGTTTGAGACCACACCACCAGTTGCATCATGAAGGTTGCTGTAGTTTCACCCCCTTTGAAATTTGTCTTTTGCTGGTGGTATGTTGGGATTGCTCGATGAGGCCCCTCCTTGCTCTCGGAGCAGTTTCTGGGGATAAGATGCGGTCTCCTGCATTACAGATGGTGTGTATTTAGATCTGGCCTTCAGTGGCTCACTCCTGTTTATGGAGCCTTTGTTGGAGAGAAAAGACAAGTGATGGGCTTTTTTTTGACAAAAGCCCATCACTCCCCAGTACAGGTTGCCAAAAGCATAAAAGGACCTCAAATCTGGTTCAAAAAGTAGACACCAGAGATCAAATTGTAGAATACCAGTCAGAGTGGAAGTGGTACATAAGTTCTCGTCAAAACAATCCTGGCAGGGTGAATTTTCAAGCAGAGGTGCAGACCATGAAGTGTCTGACCTCCAGCAATAGATTGGTCCAGATTCAAAGTGACGCAGGATATGAACTTCGAATCACAAGCAGAAAAGGGCTCCGGAAACGCTTTGAAATGTTTCTGGTACTTTGTTGGACAAACAGGCATGGCAATTGTAGGACAACACGTGCATAACAGTTGGACCAAAATCCCTGATTCCCAGAATTTGCTGCCCTCAGGGGACCCTGCACAGAGGAGGAGTACCGGGAGGAGCTTCTCTTTGCGCTTACAAATGCTGAGAGGTCCGGCAGCTTCTGTGCTGAAGGAACACTGAAGATGTTCAACCCTCCAGGGCTTGAGGTTGCCAGGCTGGGCCCCATTGGCCTCCCCCTCACTGCCACACAAGCCAAGGAGCTAGCCAAAGTTTGTTCTCAGGCCCCGTTCGGACGCAGGTGAGTAAGACCCTGATCTGTGTCCTGCAGATCAGAATTGAGTGATATTTCCTTCAGGCATTAGATTGCTTGAACGAATCGTCCATGATTGGACAAAGGTGTCTTACCTGGCAGTCGGAAGTCATTAGGTATTCCGATTTTGAACTGCCAATCAGGCAAGAATGGATGGAGTGATCTCGAGACGAAGCATCAGAAGTACAAATCACTCTCAACATTACGAATTGCAGCGCTTCTCAGAAGATGTGTTCTTCTGACATAGCCCACAGATCCAACGGATAGAACAGAATTTTGAATGTCATGTGGTTGCTCTTGAATTGCCCTTTTTACTCGTTCCAGGGGACTACATTGGAAACACCATGACTGGTTGACAAATGCAGTGACAATGAGGAACTGACCCAAAACGTGCTGAGGCAGATATACAACTGATGCAGCCAGCCTTGAAGCAGGGAGCAATGGATGTGTGTGACAGAACAGACCCACTTTCCTTTTCTCTCTGCAACTGTTGAGCACAAAAGACGGAACCTTTACAACTCTAGGAAGATCGTTTTGCGAAGATCTCAACCTCGAAGTCTTGGGCCGTTTAACCTTGGCGTTCCTTGCAAATTTCCTTCGTGTCTCTCTTTGAGGGCTGGTGCGTTTATTCTGTTGCAGGGAGGCGACCGTGTATGACACGTCCGTCCGCCGGTGCCTGCAGCTGTCTCCCGACCAGTTCCGTCTGCAGGGACCAGACTGGGCGGCCCAGCTTCAGCGCCTGGTCAACACCGAAATCAAGCGTGGCCTGGGGGTTCCGGAGAATCTGAAAGTCGTGCCCCAACTCTACAAGCTTCTTCTGTACGAGCCGGGGAGCTTCTTCACGCAGCATCGGGACTCGGAGAAGGAGGACGGCATGTTCGGGACTCTATCCGTGGTATTGCCGTCCGCGCACAAAGGAGGTGAGTCGCTAAAAACCGGAATACTGGGATCAAGTTGGTTATCGGGATTTCAATCCAGTCTGTAACAAGCCGAAAGTGCACTGTTCTAGATTTAGAGCGACATCAAGCTGAGAGTCCGCTTGGAATCTTGACACCGTTGGTGCAACCACTGCATCCTTTCTGGGCCTGGTCGACTCGAGACAACATCAATGTAATTTCCGCACCTGTAGAGACTTGCGTTTGCACTTGTGAGGTCCTTGGGCGCAACTGTAAACGGTAAACTTTCAAGAGAAATTGACATGCTGACAGCAAGAAGAATGCGTACCACCGTAATGCAGAGTACGTTGCCACGAAAAATATTTTAAGGAGATTTGCGGCACCTTGATTCGTCTCCCATCGGGAACCAGCCTTAACCCCGCCGAAAATACAATACGATCTGGATTGAATGGCTCCCTCTCGCGTTAATGAACGCCAACGGAACCCAATGGTTTGCATGGACTTGACAAAGTCGTGATCTTTCAACTCCTTCTCATTGCCTAGGCGAGTTGATAGTGCGCCACGCGGGCCGCGAGGACGTCCTCGACTTTGCGTCGCGGTGCATGTACCACGTCCACTGGGCCGCATTCTACGCCGACCGCGAGCACGAGATCCTGCCCGTCAAGTCCGGCCACCGCCTGGTGCTGGTCTACAACCTGGTCGCGCAGGGGCCCGTGGGAGAACTAGAGCCGGCGGACAACCGGCAGGCGGTGAAGGACGCGCTGGCGGCGCTGCGTGCGTGGAGTGCTGATGAGGACGGACCGTTTAAGCTGGTGATTCCGCTGGAGCACCAGTACAGCAGCAGGAGCCTCTCGTTCAACGGACTCAAGGGGCCGGACATTGCGACGGTGGACATCCTATGCCAGGCCGCCAAGGTGAGGACAATGTAAAATTACTCACAGATATTGCTTTGTTGACATGTTGCTGCGCTCAGAATCTTGGAGTGGTCCAAAGAGAGTTCCGGGCTGCAGAGGCGGCGGTAATAGCAAGAAAAGAAGTACCAGAGCCGATCATACTGATAAAAGTCTCGTAGTCACCATTCGCTGCTTTCCTCACTGGATTGGAGAAAGCCAACCCGGCTGTCGATGTCTGCTCAGTTCCTGAAAGGGTTTCAGGGTCGCTGTTTTTGGTTGTTAGGTTTTAACTGTTTGCTTTCGATCTCGCTTCATCTGGTATGTTTGCAGAGTTGGACGCAGCAGAGGACTTTATAAAGAGCAAGGTGATTGAAATCAATCTATCGGTCGGGCACGGCTGAGCGACTCAAGAAGCTCTCTTCAGCGGGGTTTTCCACGAGCCGAAGCTTAGTATTGTTGGTGCGACTCGTCGCATCATGAAAGCTTGCGGCTGGCCCAGTTTTTTGGGTATGTAAGTGGAAAATGATTTGAAAGGGGTTCTCAAACCGAGCCTTGCAGATTGCGGACCGGCCGCCGTTCCACTTCTTCCTGGGCATGCTCAAGATGTCGGAGTCTGGCCCGGAGGACTACGACGACGACGACTGGGACACCACGCTGGAGCTGACGGACATCATCGCGCCGTCCGGGGAAACCGTGCGCTACTCCAAGCTCGAGTGCGACGAGGACGGTAAGGGGCACAACGTCCGACGAACGTTGCGGCCCGGGTGCCAGGATCCTAAAATGGCCAAAACTAACTTCAGAAGTTTCTGACAAGAATCCTGTCATGCACACAGCCAATTTGTGAAGATGCATTCAGGAGCACGTAGGTATGAGGCGGAAAGCGGCCTTTGAAGCACTCTCACCTGCGGCCCCACCTATCAGTCAATTGCTGGTTTAGAGGGAGTTAAGAATGTCAATCGACAAGGCGGAGATGCCTCTCGAATTAAGAGAGGCTTCAGCTTTGCAAGAGAGGGTGTCGATAGGAGCGCTGTTTTTGATTGATGCAATCCTGCATTGCGGATTGGGGCAGGGAGCTTTGCACTCGTCGATTGAGTCGACCGTTGCTGCTGAGGACTCCTCAAGCACGCCGTCCCGTGCGTCAACGTTCAAAAGGATGAGTTATAGCACGTCTGCTTGTGGCAGGAGGGTGTTAGTAATTAGACGTTTCTAAACATGATTTAGAACTGCGAGATCCCATTTCTGACCCGCCTAGGCGACAAAGAGCAGTTGCCCCTTTTGCCGAAGTCTGGAGGTCCTGGCCGATCCTATGTAACGTGGGTTTTCTGATGAAGCATTTGCCAAATTTCCTAAGCTTATGGCCATACACCGTCAACACCGTGGCTGCAGAGCTGCTGCCGGAGGGCGCTCTGGACGACCATGACTGGGACCACGAGCGGAGTAACGACACCGGGAACGAGGGCGTCACCGTTGAGCGCTGGTACCGCCACGCGGCGCTCATCGTGTGGCCGCACTCCAAGCACTGGGAGGTGGCGTGCACCAGCAATATCGGGAAAGCAATCAAGGTAACGACATGCGGTAGTCGTCGGTAGACGCTCCCGGCCTAGGTTTCCACTTTGTTTGTCTCTGGTCTGCACGCTTTTGCGGAGGGTGAACAACGTGACAAATCGCCGGAACCTCATCAAAGACGCTCCGTGTGGAGCGATTTGCTATGGAAGTTTGCATTTCGATGCCCTTGCGCTAGAAGTGCAATACTGCTGGCTGCCAATTGTGACAATTGCGCTCTCTCAACCAGTCGGTCTGCGGAAATATCAGCCTTTTCGAGAGCCTGCGCAGCTTGAGGCGCAGTAGACGCTGCACCACAAAACACAATCGGCAGCGGTCTTCTGCCCAGATTGGTCCTGGCCCATAATGGCTTGAACGTTTTTTTTCTACGATTCGCAGGAAGCGTCCGAGCTGGCGGCAACCGCCAAGCAGGTACGGGAGACCCTGGAGGCGACGCTGGGCGACAACGGGCGGCTGTCGCGCGGCGAGGCCGGGCTGGTAACGGAGCTCGTGTTCGAGCACGGCCAGGTGCACGTGCTCGCGGAGCTGCGGCGCGCGCTGCAAACAATCTGCAAGTACGGGGGCAAGCTGACCCCAGCGCAGGCGCAGACGCTGACGAAGCTGCTGCTCAAGCACGGCGACGTGGACATGGCCAGGGTGAGGGGTGCGGCCGCAAACATAGCAAGGAACCACGTTTGTCCTCTGGTCGTGTGTTGGCGGCTTGTAGATTTGTCCGTAATTGGTTCTTGTCCGTCGTTAACGAGATTTCAAGCGCCAGTGTCCGATAAAGGTGATCGTAAGAGCTCTTCGTCCCTGCGTGTGTAAATCAGGGCGGTCGTTTAGCGAGTCTCGACAGAACATTGTCCTGGCTGCAGGACTCAATTATCGACGAAACGAGTCCCTAATTGCGCGTTTGTACCTCTGAATATAGGCGAGACACTCCATAGTCAGCCAAAGCAAACCGTTTGGTTCTGTGTGCCGCAGACCCTGGTCATTCACTGCCCGTCCCCGGCGGACGGCCTCGTGGTGCCGGCTCTGGCGTCCCGCTTCAGCTGGGCGGTCCTGCAGCCCGACATCCTGGCTCTGCTCACCCGCAAGTGCGACACCGCCAGCCTGACCGACTGCCTCAAGCTGCTGCTGCGCATCGCGCCCAAGCCACCCGAAAGCGACGCACCACCCCCCCAGGCTGGAGCCTCCGGTGAGGCGTCGGGGTATGAGCCGTCAGCGTCGGAAGGAGAGTCTACTGTCGAAGCAGGGGGCGTGAAAACGGAAGAGAGGAGAGAGCGGGCGGTCGAGGGCCGGGGCTCGAGACCAGCAGCGATCGTGCAGTTCGGTTTGGGGGTTGGCACGTCTGGCCGGGCCCTATTAGAACCTGCAGCCGGGGCAAGAGATGGAGTCAGCCAAGTGCTGGGGGGGACGGCGCAGGTCGAGGGCAACGGAAGGAGCGCGTCCACGGCGGAACCAAGTGGGAATGTGACCGGAACGGCCGAGCCGGCGGAATTCGTGCCGCCCCGGAAGCCGACCAAGGATGAGCAGGCTCGAGAGGAGTTGTGCCGGAGCGCGATAGCGATCGTGGTGGACAAAGTTGTCACCAAAGCGTCCGGCACCAACAACTTTTATCCAGGCTACTTCCCCAACTGCAGTCTCAACAGCCAAAGTATGCCCCCTTTTGTGCGCCTGATCGAACGTTTTGGCACGGAGCCGTTTGCCCCCGCGACGGACGCCCTCGTACGGAACAAGGTCGAGTCTTCGCTGCAGACGGCGGCCGAGCTGCTGTGGGACTTCGTCCGGGTGGGCCATGCAAAACGGCCAAAGGGATCCCCCCCGGATCTGTCTCCCCCGGCCCTGGCTTTCTGCCGTCAATTCGCCGCGGAATTGGCGAGCAAGCTCATCAAAGAAGCGGACCCACCGCCGGAGAATCGGCTGTACCAAGTGGCGTATGTCACCCCTCCTCGTAGCTCGGAGTTTGTCGCACTTTTCCTGAAGACGCTCCACTCTCTCCAAGTCGATCAGGAGGTTATGGATCCGGTCGTTGCTCACCTGCTTGCGACTCCCAATGCGCACCCCATCGACCGTTGTCTCCTTCACGCCCTCAAAGAGCTCGTTGCGTGGTTTGGGGAAGGGCCAATGAACGTTCAGTGGTTTGCGGAGCTGCTGGGGGGGTGTCTGGGAACGCTGGAGAGCGCCTGTGCTGAGCCGCCCCCCGAGCCGAGAAACTGGGCACTGCCAGCGACGTGGGGCTGCGTGTGCGAGTGTTGTCCTACACTGCTCGACTTCTGCCACGACCCAGAACGGACAAAATGGACGTATCCGAAGACCAGTGATCATACCCGGAACCACCTGAGGCAGATCATTGAAAGGTGAGCCGAGTCTTCGTACTGTGTGCCCTTTTAAGCTAACTGCTCGGTTCTTCAAAGAGTCTTTGGGGAAGCGCTTGGAGCAATTTTCATCCAAAAGAACAGCCCTCTTTCCGCTAAAGCATCAGCGACGTCCTTCGTCATCTTCCGTTGCTCGACATCCTCATACCCCTGTACAAAGCTTGAATCCTAAGCGGTAAGCTTTTCTCAGCGTTTCCCATCAGCATCTCCACATTTCAACCCTACCAAGGTGGTAGCTTGTCGTAGCAGGCCTTGGTCGAACTTCTTTAGCGAGTACCGAGGCTCAATCTGAAGCGCTATTTGACCTGCGCGAGCGCGGCCACTGAAACTCGTTTTGCGGTTGTCATTTGTGATAGATTGTCAGGATCTACGACGGAAGTCCCCAATTCTAATGTGCATGACTAAGATATGCCCTTAAACATTGCGCAGATGCCAGAAGAATTTGAGACTTTGTGAAGACAGTGACGTTTTTCTACAATCAAGGTTCAGGTTGATTGATTGAGCGCTCCCCCTGCAGGAATGGCTTGCCCGTGAAGGCAGTGGCTAAGGAGCCGGTTTCGGAGATGTCGCCCCTTCTTCTCATCAAGGAGGGATCTGAAGGAAAGAGCCACGAGGCAGAGCTGGCGGTGCTGGCCACGAGAATAGAGAAATACGAAAAGGACAAGAATGTCCTCGCTGAATTGTCAGCCCTTCGGTTACAAGTCCAAGGTGAAGCAAAGTCCAAAGACGATCAGACTATACACCGTGCCTAGCTTGAAATCAAAAGCTTGTGGCTACTAATCAGACAATACTGACATTGAGAGTCCCGCTGGATACAACCAGGGCGCGGTGACTTGAAAGGGATGCACAGACTGCACAGACAAACCTCAACGGTCCGCACATCAGCTAGGTTATGTAGCTTGACTGAGGCAATGCATAAGACGCGCAATGAACACTCCCGTTTCTCGCGGCAGCAAATCTGCTCTTTCGGATTGAATCCGGTGGTGCACCCCCCCGGGCCCTGTTTCGGATTGAATCCGATTGTGCACCCCCTCGCGGGCCTTGATTCAGTCAAGTATACACACCAACTGTTCCATAAACATGGCTTCGATGAGACTGTTTCGCACGTATGCAGCTGAAGCTTTGATTCGCAAGTTAGGGCTGCTTCCGACCGTCCCAGCTCAGTCAGAGCACGGTCCTGATATCGAAAGTCTGTCATTCTGTCTGAAGAAACGTATATGCACCGGCACACCCGGGCAACCCGGCGTGGAAATTTGTTGACAAAGTGCATTCGAGTATTGCGCATATGTGTGGCATTTCAACCTATACGTTGCTGGGGCCGAAATCGTACATGCATGATCGGTGCAGCGGGCCACGATCGATTCCGATCGACGTAGTGAACAATAACAGCCAGTGAACAGTAACGGAGACGGGTAGGGTTAGTTAGGGGGTTAGGGTGCGGAGCGGGTGTTTCTTTAGGTTAGGGTTTTTAGTAAACCCAAAATGCTTACTGTTCACTATATTGAGAAATACCCACGATCGAGGTCCTGACGCCAGCTCTAGCGGCAGATATTGCATCTAAAACTAAATGCACATGGTCGGGACTTGTTTGTCGTCGGGCCATGGTTGCATGCCCACATGATCAACAGTTACTATTGAGGATTGTGGATCGTTTGCGGGCCGGCCGGATTCGGATTGAAAAATAAGGAGACCCGGCCGCCGCGCGTACATCAACTAGGCATGCATAGCGCCTATAAACGTAGCGCTTTGACGACATATCCCGGCAACGCTTATGCATGAGGTAATTCCGACGCACTAATCAACCCTGCTGAGGCGGCTTCAACAATTGCGGACGAGTGAACGAACCGCCAGAGTCACTAAGATATGCCCGTGCAAAGCGATATGGATCCGTCGAAACGGGTTTACGGTGTGCGATCAAGTGCGGGGCTCCGCGAAGCAGAATTTGATAGGATGTTTTGGACCAGTCGGTGTACGTTAGCACAGACTAGCAGGCGCCTTTGTGGATTGCTCAGTTCCGTCTCTTTGAGCCCGTCGGCGCGGGGCAAGGGGAACCAACCAACAAGGGAACTTGGTTGAGTTGGAGAATCCATTCAGAAAGTGAGGCGCTCTGTCGTCGTGGACACGACCTTGAGCTTGTCCGTAAGGGCATTGGGGTCTGCAAAGTTGTGCGTTTCGGACCCTAGGCCCCTCTGTGCTAGCGCCTCAAACGACTCCTCCCGCTGCGTGTACTCCCGGATGACTGACACTGGGCATATGCTCTTCTCGCCCTCTTTCGGTTGGAAGGGGCAGTATATGCGAGCGTCTCGTAACCGGAACCGTGCTCCGTCAACTCTCATCTGCGGCCAGAACGGTTTGCATTTGGGCTGCAGGTTGCAAGGGACTAGGAGCAAACCTCTTCCTTGGACCGAAGGGAGCTCGAAGGAACTCGCGAAATCGGAGGACGGGCTTCCAAAAATGGCCAGCAATGTTGATGGAGACTCTAAGACGTTGAGAGTGACAAGGCTTTGTATGATCCAAAAGCAGAACGAGCCTGAGCCTTTTTAACAGATTCGAAGCAAGATAGTGTGCTTTCATATGAATCCCATAAGCTTTGGAGATACGGTGCTGTCAGTCGAACTTATCACTTGCGGAATAAGGTTTTGCAATGCCAGCAATCCCGTCGCTTCCAGAAGAACCTTGCAAGAAATTTCCTCCACTGCAGACGCAAGAATCAATGGGAAACGGGCTTACAAAGACGAGCGACCAGTCGGCTTACCCAGAACCGCAGCAGCACGAACCAGCAGCACGGCATCACGCGCACCTTGGCCGTGAGCAGCGTCACCCCGTTGTCGGCAAGCTCGTCCTCATACAGCACAACCTGGGGGGTGACGAAGCATCAAAGGCAAATCGCCAAACCTAGGACGCATTCTCAGAATAGCTGACACCCCTTTGTTCCATGACCTGGACAGGTATGAGAAGGTCGAACTTCTTTGCTTGTGAAGGGAGGGCCATGCACACACCCAGAACAATGTGCATAAGACGTTGACTCATGTCAACCAACCGAAGAGAGGCGGACTTAGTGCAATCCGTGCTACATGTCGTACTTGAACCCGAAGTGGGGAACAAGGAGGAGAGACGGAAGTCACGCCCACGTATTGGCCGCAGCTGACTCACCTCGTCGTAAAAGAGAATGGGGTCTCGGGCCATCAGGAGCTCAAGATCGATGCTGCCCTCAAAAGGCTCCCATCGAACGCTCAGCGCAGAAGAAGCCCCTTCGGAGGGCCTCGACCTTTCCCCGCCAGATGAACCCTCTTTGCTAACGGCAGGTCTTGCGCCTCCCTCGCTGGACGAAGCTGTGTTCCCTTCACGTGATCCGGCTTTTGTACCCCCCGCCTCTAAGCTCTGCTTGATATCCACTGCGCCACTACTTGGACTCTCCGGAGGAAGACTTTCGGTGCCATTCCTGTCCGTTTTGCTCCTTGGATTTTGTCCAATAGGGTCAGCGGGTCTGGTGGGCCCAGGGGGGTAACGCCTCAAGCTGCCGCAGTAGGGAGTGGTGAAGGTATAGTCATATTCCAGGAAAATCTTGGCCTCAGGGTTGCTGCACAACAACAGGCTTGGAGTGAGCCCTGCGAAACAGCCATTCTTCAGGTCAAAGCACGTCCTTGCTAAAAACATGATTGAAAGTCGAGTCAGAATCTGTCTATGTGATTGGAGTGAGCTCCAGCGCAGTCAAATAAGATGAGTTCGGAAGTCATTAAGGTTATACTTAGACTTTGGGTCAATCTTCAAGAAGGGCTCAACTTTTCACTATGACACATGTCTGGCACTCACCAAGCAGACTCTAAAATGGTCAAGATACTTTTTCCGATCACAACACCAAGCCCCAGGTTCAATTAAAGCAATGAATGAGTGGTCGTGCTCACCTCTTCTTACTCCAGTGCTTGGCTGCGGGGATGGGCACAGGCGGCAAAGCCTCTGCGCACCACCCATGGAGAGCATCAAGCGCATTGAAGTTGAGGCAGACACCTGTTTCTTCATGAACAAGTTCCAGCCAACTTCCCCCAAAGACCATCTCGGGAAGGTGCCGGGTGCCAAGAGTCTCCTCCCATCTGGACACAAAAGAGCAGAACGGGGACATCTGATTCTTGTACTCTCAGCTTAGGAGGAATGTAACTGAGAGATTCAAACAAAAGATTCTTCCGCTCCACATTGACCTCCCTGGAGGCCAATTGCGATTCGCCTTCCGCTTTTCTTCGTCAAGAAGCTTGCCAGAAATCCACTTAAAAAGTCTGAGCGATGGTTTTCACTGTCCCGCTCTACCCACGGTGGCCATCAAGGTGGTGAAGACTGCAAGCTGGTGGCACCAAGCCAAGATGATAATCAAAACAGGAACTGAAAAACTGGGAATATAACCTTGCAATGATACTCTTGTTGCGGCTGGAACACAATCTGATTTGGGCTTCCATTCTGCCCCTTAGTGTGGACATTCGGTTTTCCGAACCTTCCACAGCTCCCAAGCACCCCACCTTCTCAAGCTTTTCGTGATGAAAGTCTGACTCACATCTCGATCTCTCTTGCATTGAGAATTGGTCGCTTCTGTGTCTCTATTCTCCATCCGGCAATTCTCACGCCACAGCGGTCCTCTTCCAATTCCTCCCCCCCAGCATCAACCAGTGCTTTCAATGGCGAGGTATCTGCAGTGGCCCCGTATGAAGCCCCAGGGACTGCCGGCAACGCAGGCGCAGGCTTTGTGCTGTTCCTCTCGCTCCAAGGTGCAATTGCATCCTCGTGACGGGGCCTATGCGCCATGCTTTATGTCTCAATGCAGCTGCCAGAAAAATCAACCTGTGAACCAACTTATTAGTACAAACACAAGAAAATTGCGACCTCTTGCCAGGAGAGGGCAAGCGCAACAGGAAAGAAAGTGAAGGACGGAGTGGCACTGGCACTGCCAGCAGCTCCTTCCTTTCTGCCTTGAGAAGTTGGAGTCACACCTTGCTTTAATTGGCAGCCTGTTTTTGGCGGCTTGCAGGTTAGCAAGCGTAACCGACTAACGTAGGTATTATTATACGATTGTTTCTTCTCGAGCTGCTAGGTAATCGAAATTGAAAACCCTCACGGGTTAAGAAACGGGTTTGCAAAGGAAAAGGGATGCCAGTTGTCCGCGATGGAAAATTGGGGCCACAGATCAGCTCCAGATCGTTGCTAGAATCGTATCCAGGGCAGATTTCGTCTTGTCTCCTTCCTTCCCTTACAATCCTAATAGCATCTGGGTGAAGGCTAAGGCGCAGCCTGCATGCACACAGGCCAGAAAGCAAGGAGCGATTTCTGATATTGGAGACGGAATCTGGTGGCCGCAGGCAAAAAACAGAGGAAGCGAAACAAAGCACCACCGATGCAACTCAAGCAAGTGTCAGAGCACACATTCCGCCCTTTATAATGGTGCACTAGGAATGGGCGATCTGAGTTGGCGATTGCAAGCTGGGAGTGTAGGAATGGGACACAAATCGTGTTTTTCCGGCACATTCCAGCTACTGTGACACCTCAGCATTGCAGCCAGGCATTTTGGCATCTTGGCTGACCGCTGCATCACCACTCCCAGGATGCTTCTAATGCAGAGTCTGCTATAGAACTGGTTGGGCAATGCCGTTGGCTAATTGACGCTCCACCAGCAAATGGCACGATCAACTTGAAGCAAGTTCAATTTTGGGCCGTAAGTTCTCCTTTGTTTCTAGCAATGGAGTCAATTGCTCCCGCTGGTCACTTACTCGGTGGCCAAGTGTTGCGCCTGTGCAAGTTACAAGGGCTAGATCTGGAGAAAGACCGCCCTTGCCTTGTGAAGGAGGTTCCAAGCTCTTGGTTGTCTTTGCAAAAAAGCAGCAAACCGTGTAGAAAGTCTGGCGCCACTGCAGCCGCTGGCACACATGGGGCAGAAGTATGGACTATGAAGCCACTCGTGGTTGGTATTGGCATGAGCTCAAGTAGGAAGGATTTGGCGGGAAAGGGCTCACGGGCCTCTTCAATGAAAACTGATCGCATCAAATGCAGGTAAGACGCAGAATGAAAAAGAAGTTCTGATCTGCAAGTATGTGTTTCTTGATCCCGTATCACAAGACACATACTCATAAAAGTACGTTGGCTCAGAGATAAGATAGCTAATATCACTTCGCTGCTTTTCCAAACGAGTATGTGTTTACCGTGTGTTTGGGAAGGCTGTTCTTCTTTGCCACCAGCTCGGTGGTCGTTTTGAAAGTATCCTGAACCTGCACAGATCCGCACAGACCAAATCTCTTTGATTTCCTGTGTCATAGAACTAAGAGCATTCTCTATCCAGAGCTGCTATCCTGTAGTTCATTCTTTTCATTAGAAGAGGGGCTGTGAACGCGGTCGCTTCTGCTTCTTATTAAAAGCCTGCACAGATTCGAAATTGAGGGAGCAGTTTCAATCGAAAACAAGAAGAAAATCACGATCAGAGCACAACTGGTCACATTTCAGCCCAACATCACTGTTCAGACGGCTGATGAAGGAAACAGGATACTTTGGCACGCCGACCTTTCCTATTGCAGCTTCTCAATTCCCACCATGTAACGGGCCCTTCAATAATCGTCCCCCCCAATAAGCGTAGTTCTGCCTCTTGTGCAGCGCATCTGCTCAGCCAACCAGAGCTGTGGGCAACGACAATGAGGAGGCATATCGTCGAACCAAAAGCCTCCTCACATCACTGTCGCAGAGCATGGCGGACCTTGAAAATGAGATGTCTGTGCAGCAGAAGGTAGGAGAGCCGATGCTGTTTGCACCATCAACTGATAGAAGGCCAGCCGACACACACTGACTCCGGCGGCTAGTGAATCGTCTTTGAGGACTCATGTTTTCTCCTTGATTGCAACCTGAGTCCCGCTGCATTCATTTGTACATCCGACTTAACATCTGATTGTAAATCTAGACGAGATCGTTGGAAACCCACGTCATTGCAGGAACTGAGTGATACCTCCGCAAGGATCGACGAGATCATTATGGGCGAACCAGGCGCACTGCCTGAATACAATGGGTCGTTCTTTCCCCCATCTGAGGGTGGACAGCGGGACGTCGACATGGCACTGCGCCAGGAGCTGCAGCGTGAAAGTCAAGCTGTGGCCCAGTCAGAGGCGGAGATCAAGGACCTAAGGGCAAGGCTGCAGCATGCGCAGAAGCTGAGTGCGCAGGCGGCAGACTTGCAGAAAGCGGTGGACGAGAGGGACCTGCGGCTAGCAGCGCTCGCAAAGGACCTCTTGGAGCAGAACCTGACCAACGAAGAGAAGGCCCAGAAGCAGGAGGTAAGTGGCGCTCGCTAGGATGCGTCATCAGTGTGGTTCAATTGACTTTTGAGGAGGAAGAGTGGGCATCTTGGCTTCCGAAGGGAACTTTAATCACCTCCTTCAATCAGACAAGAGACCCGTCACCTCAGGCGGTGTGCAAGAGGCTTCAGGTGGCAATGCCGGCACCGTAGCGGATGCGGCAGTAAGTCGTCAGGAGAAGGTTGAGAAGAGGCAGACTTTACTAAGAGGGCTATGTTGAGATATGCTTGTATCACCCTCTTTCTCGCTAACACGTTTTTTTCTCCGACGTGCGCAGGCGCTGCATGCCGCGGAGCTGCGCATTGCCGAGCTGACCACGGAGACGCAGCGGCTGCAGGAGGAGATTCAAACTAGGGATGGCCTCATGGCACACATGCAGAAGGAGGCGGCGATGAGTACCAAGACACTGCAAACCGCCGCCAAGGTGAGCAGTATCTTCTGCTATCCCTTATACTGCAACAGACTCCCTGCAGCGGTCAGGGACCGATTGCGGTTTTCGTACGCAATCGGTCGAAAAATTGATGTAGGTTCTTAGCTTCGCAGAAGAAGCTCTGGAACGCTTCTGCACCTTCATGTGCCAGTACTGGAGTCATTACGACTGCGTCTATGAAACGCTTTATGAGGCTGGATCATATAGGTTGGAGATGTCGGTCAAGTTGCTCTCTTAACAATTTCGTGATGCACCACATCAACCACAAGGGCAGAACTTTCACGTTGTGTCTGCACGTCATCGTTTCGTCTCACTCACTGCCCAGGCTATTGCCAACGTGCGCGAACACAACGTGCTGCTGGAGACCGAGTTGGAGCAGCAGCGGCAGCAACTGAAAGAGAGTCGGGACGAGCTCGGCAAAGTGCAGCGCCAAATGGCGGAAAAAGAGCAGGTGTGTGTGGCTGCCGTTTTTGAAAGCCAGTCGCCGTCTTTGGCTCATGCATCTTCGTCATGCTGTATAGGCAAGCTCGTTTGCTAGTGAGGCATTATGAAGGCGACCTTCGCCTGGATTTGTTTGCTCTGAGAGTAGGGCTTAAACTATGCTTCAAACAAGTTTGACGTAGTTCGGAGCACCAATAGGACGGCGACCAGCTAATCAAGGCGAGTGCCATCTGATCTGGTGTCTGCTTGACCTCCCCGTCACCTGCTGTTGAAGGCGTCAACGTGGCACCGCAAGTGTTAAACTACCGAACATGCATTCGTCTCGTATCTCAAATCCTTTTCCCTGGCCTCGTGACATTCTGCATCCTGTCTTCAAACTGACTCCCGTTGCCCCCAGGCGCTGCAAACCGCGGAGCATCGCATTGGCCGGTTGGAGCAGGCCATGCACGAGCTGGACGCCAACCTGGAGCAGGAGAACCAGGACAAGCAGATTGCGCAAAAGCAAGTCGCGAAGTCCAAGGAGGTGAGAGCGAGGCAGAGAGCGACATAGCTTTTGACAGGGAGATCGCCAGAGATTACTTTTATACCTAGGCCTGAAGTGCCTGGGACAGCAGGCCGTCGATCAAAGAGTCAAAGCGATTGCGCCTTCCTCATCAAACCGTCATCGTGGAGTTCGTCCTCAAACTCATTCTATCTTCTGCGCCTGTTTGCTGTACACATTCGGATCTCGCAGAGCGTGTATCTAGGCCAGTGTTTCCGTAGTTTGGAGCCGAACGGTCGGTGCGGGTGCGTGCAGGAGGTGATCCAAGCACGGATGAGGATCAACGAGTTGACGGAGAAGATGGGCGGCCTGGAGAAGCAAGTGAGCCAAAAGAACGCCTCGGTGGCGCAGCTCAAGAACCAGCAGGCCAAGACGTCGCTCGCACTGGAGCAAGCCAACCAGGTGAGCCGCCGCGGCCGAGGAAACGAGCAGTTTGTCCAAAACAAAACTCCTCTGGTTGATACAAATAAGGTGCAAACCGCACAAAGACGTTTACTCCGCCTCCATTCGCTGTAAGATCTGGAAGGACAATGTGATGAATCTGTCGGTTTACTTTTTTGACGGACATATTTTGATCTGGAGTCCGGGTCAATCCTTGGATGATTGACAAACGCTTCGAGAGAAAGCCGTCAGTGCTTGCAACTTATCGAACCAACAAGTGGTGTTTCTTCCTGTGTGCTGAGCCCTCCCTCTGGCTACGTCTGCAGTCGCTCCAAGCGGCCCAGAGCCAGATCCAGTCGCTGGAACAGCAGATGGTGAGGGCGCAGGAGGCCCTCAAGGAGGAGGTGGAGGCCAGCACCAGCGCACTCAAGTCGGCCGCCTCCAGGGAACAGGCAAGTCTTGCTGCGCTTTTAGCCTTTTTGACTCGTGTCGTTCTTCCCGGCTGCAATCTGAGGTTTGGCGCAGCCACCAGAAGAGCAATGTTACTACGGAACGCATCTGTCTTGTGACCGTCAAGCGATGCATTGCGTCCATAACACGATGCTCCACATCTCCATAACTAGTAAGATCTTTCAAGCAGTAGAGCCCGCAGTAAAGCTTGTTGAAGAAGGAACGTGCTTTTCTCTCCCTGTCAGGCGCTTCGGTTGTCCGAGGGGCGTGTGCGCGAGCTGGCGACGGAGAACACGACGCTCAAGGCGCAGGTGGCGAGCAAGGAGAAGACGATGGAGGCAGTGCGCGAGGAGACGCTCAAGAACGCGGACATGCTCATGACCGCACAGAAAACACGGAAGGTCAGGCCTGATCTGCGCTCAGGAACTCGAAAGGCAGGGGACGAGCCCTTTGGACTACCAAAAGAAGAATGTGTTCAAACCTTCGATAAAGCAGAGGAAGAACCAGCGAACTGTCAGGCGATGGAAAACGCATTCTGGCCGGCAGCTTCATGCGTTTTTGGATTCTCCTGGAATTAAACGAGATGGGCTACTGGTAATAACATTTTTCAAAGATTCTCTCAACCGTTGATCAGGATGTATCAAGCAAGAAATCCGTGAAGTCGACTGTGACGTCAGCCGCACACACACCTCGACAGAGACTCAACTACAGCACACATCGTTTCTGTGCAGAGTTTAGTCGAAGCCGAGGGGAAGCTGACGCTGCTGTCGCAGCAAGTGGCGTCGCTGGAGGACGAGATCCGGTCGCGGGACAGTCTCCTGGACGACATCAAGGCCGAAACGTTCAAAAGTGCAGAGACGCTCAAGATGGCCGCCAAAGTGAACCTGGTGGGAACCGTTACAAGTAACCTGTGCATGCTTACCCTGGCGTGCTGGTCATGACAATAAGTGAAACACGCCCCCTCCTGCACGTAAGCATTCGGCTCTTGATTCGGACACCTGGCATCCCGCTTGTCTGGCATGGGTACTCTCGAAAGGCAGACATATTCTGGTCGCTTGTTACAAGTGTTCCGTATGGCGGTGCAGCTCCTGAACGAGACGCGGGAGCGGGAAGCCGAGTTGCAAGAAAATCTGGAGGAGAAGGATGACATCATCGGGGAGCTACAGCGGGAGCTCGCAGAGAACGCAAGAGCGGCCAGGGCGGAACAGGTGCGGCGCGTGGCGCTTCTGATGGCCCTCGGCGATCTCCCCTCTGCAATTGACATTCTTAAAAAGGCACAAAGAAATGAAAACTGTTGTGAGCGAGCATAGTTGAGGCTACTGAGTAGATTTGATCAAGCTTTCAGGTTTTTAACCGTGCAGCCCGATGAATCGACGATGTTCATCCATTTTGAGAGTAGTTCTTTGCCTTTCAATTCAGTTGTCGTCGCCAAATGCACAAGTCTTCAAGTTTACAAAAAGGTACCCTCTGGCGTGCTATGCTCGCATTCTTTCTTACTTCTGTACCCTCCTAAAATTTAACTCTGGCAATGACTCTATTCTCGACTCCTTTTCGCCGTCTCGAAGCCACCCTATGTTGTGGATTATACTCTTGGGAACGCCCAAAGTCAGCGAGTTACTCAGCCGCGATAACCGCAAGTCTTCTCACCGGTTTTCGGTGTCCCCTCGGCAGGCGTTGAGGGCAGCGGAGCAGCGGAGGCGGGAACTAGAGGAGGAGAACGAGGCGCTGCGGCAGGGGGTCAATGCGCGGGACCAGGCGCTGCGGAACATGGAGGAGGAGGTGGAGCGGAGCGCAGAAGTGCTGGACGCAGGGCAGCAAACCAGAGAGGTGACGGCCCACCCGGCTTGCAGGCGCTACTCTTGTGGTTGTTTGGAAAAATGGCCTCGACCTGGAGCATACGAGTTGGTCTTCGAAGCGCTGATTGTTGGTCAAAACACTTGGTGCAAACGCGGGACGTCGGATGCTAGAAAAACGGTTTCGAGTGACAATTACTTGAAGCACTTACATCCACCTACAATCGCTGGACCCGTATTCGGGACCTCGGTCCAGCGAGCCAGCGGGATGGAAGACCAGGCATCTGCGACTGTTTGATTCTCATGGACGTGACTGTGCTCAGCCGTCAAGCATCGAGTCTGGTTGCCCTTGCAGAAGCTGCGTCGGCTGCAGGCGCGGACGGGCGATCTGGAGGCGCAGCTCAAGAGCCGGGATGCCAGCGTGGCCGCCCTCCAGAGCGAACTGACGGCGCTCAAGCTGCGCGCCAGTCACGCGGAGCAGGGCCGGCCGCAGCAGCAAGCCAACGCGGCGACCAACAACAGCCGGCCACTGGTGAGCAATTTCACTTGCCTCGTAAATGAAAAAATAATCAAGTTTCGAAAGAGAGTCTTCAGGAGCAAGGTCGAAGTTTCGAAGCGATTGGCTTCATCGACATTGCTTCCTTAGAATCGTTCCCTTTGCAAGCAGACAGGGTTGCGTTATTGAACGCTTGCAGCTCCCACAGTCGTCGTCCAGACCCTATTTGTGGTTCTTCGACCCTTGGGAACTTCGGCATGCAACCGGCGCTGTCTCGGCCTTATATCTCTAACATGTCCAGCGGATCGCTGTTGCAGGGTGTGGCTCAAAGCATTTCGGACCTCGACCCCGCCCGTGAAGTAGAGCAACGCTGGCGACCCTAAGTGGTTGCGCATGCTCGGCAACCCAGATGAAAGACAGAAGCATGGCTCCTCGCGTTGAAGGTCTTGAGTCTAGATTGTTTACGCCTTGAGCCGCATCACGAGCTTGATATTTGGTTAGTGTAGCACGAGAGACGAAACGTCGGTAGGTATTGTCGGTTGAGCTATACTTGGATCCAAGGAGTCAAGAAGTTTTCTGGGCTGCACTGCGTGCTTCAAGGAGCAGTCGGTTCACACACAGGCCCCGCATTGATGGAGGTTGTACTGTCCCTCGCAAGAAGTACGTATACCCTTGAATACCAGGAGCTCCTTCTCCTCCCTTGCTTCATTATCTAGATCCTTAAATGTCAGGTGTTTTCTAGACTCTAGCTACTTATTGTACCTTGTAAACGATGGGACGAAGATTCTGGGCGCACGCCCTTGAGAAAGCGGATAATTGAAGCTTTACTAAGACCCTTTCCAAAGGTCATCAAAAGAAGAAATAGACCCTTTTGGAAGGCAGTCAACAGGATTGCTTCGATCCAAGATCGAAGTTAAAGCATCATCCCATCCCGTGTTCGGCGATGGTCATGCACATGTATGTTTTCGTGCGTTTGATATTATGCATATACGTTAAGTGGCTTAGGTAAATTCAAAACCTTAAAATTTCTGCAAAGATCACTATTAAATGCATGCAACGTCGCCGCGCAACTTCATCTTCTCATTGCATGCCCTCTCCGAGTGCATTGACCTCCGAATTCGTGTATCAGCTATCGAGTGCCGATTTTGTATGACATGGGTGCACATTTCCAGTCGCGCCCAAGGCATCACCATACCAGGTCGCGGAGGTCCATGCAATGCGGACGGAACTGCGTCTACGTGCATTTAACATGCACTAAGAATGCGGATTGAGCTATCTTACTTATCTAGTCAACATGTATCGCAATCAGCGGCGCCGCCCAGCCGAATCGAACATGGTGTCATCAGCTCGAAGTGATCTAGCCGATTGCATCCACGATCATAAGCAATCGTTCGGTCTAACAAGGGCCTGAAAAATGTTGAAAGTTCCACTTGGCAAAAGGCCATGACAGGCTGTACTTTCAGGTGCGCATCTGCTAGGTTGCTTGCAACATGGTACAGAAGTGGGCCACAAATGCACTGAACAACGTAGACGAGTTGACGCTTGAGAAGAAAAACGTCAAGTTTCTCCTCTTGTCTCGTCTCGTTTTCAAGCTAGGACCGAACATCGAGGACCCCCCGTTCTCTAAGAAGTTGCGCACCCTGACAACTTGGCACCGTGGGAGATACGGTCACCTTAGTAAGCCAGCCAATTGAGTTCGTCGCTAGGACCATCAAAGCTGTCTCGACAGCCTCGCAGTCTCTTAATGTCAAAACACTGATACTTCTCGACTCGGCCAAGGACACGTAAACACCTTCAGTAAGCCTTTTGCACCCATCGAGGTACAGCGTCCGTAACTTTCTACACTCAAGCACCAGCTCCTCTATCAGGTCGTCAGTTACCGCATTCTCGCATCGTTGTAAGCCGAGAATCTCCAGACTCCCTAACCAGGCCAGCGGAGTTAGATTAGTGATGTTGTGGCAACTCTCCAGGATGATCTCGGTCAATCCAGGTAGCGACTTGATCAGGGCAACCAGTCCCACGTCGCCAATGGCCGTGTAGCTCAGATTGAGGGTCTCCAGCTTGGAACAAGTTGCTAACGACGCAAAGCCAATGTCGCTCAGCGAAGTACACCTAGTAAGGTTCAAGCGCCGCAGCGACGGAGCCGCTTGGGCAATGGCTTGGACTCCCTCGTCCGACACTCCCCTCACTGGCTGGCTAGATGCGAGGGAGAGCTCCGTGATTCTGCGTGTCCTTGCAGCAAGGTACGCTATGCCCTTGCTCGTGATTGCCGTCGAAGCGATCTCGAGACTTGCCAAGTTTGGGCAATTGCTTAAAGCCTCCACAGCTGAGGGATCGACTTTATTGCACTGTACAGAGACTTTTTCCAAGTTTGGCGGGCACGCCCAACCAATCCGTTTCAGGACCTCAGCCCCTTCGCTGTCCGAAGGGGCTCCTTGCGAGTCGGACTGGATTTTAAACACACGGAGCGTTCGGCAATGACCCGCAAGTGCTCTGAGACTGCCGACGTTACTGGAGAGCAGCTCCAGATGCGCTTCCAAGACCTCGAGCGAAAACCAGATACTCGGCAGCCCTCGTGATCGGACAAACCTGCCTAGCCGCAGCCGCTTCAATCTTGGACACCCAACGAGCTTGTTTAGCGTCTGCGTGACATCGAATCGTGTGTTCACAAGGCGAGCCCGGCCCATGTTTGTCCCCGGCTCGGGCTTGGGTGGCCTCAGGTCCAGCGTGACCTCCTCGAGTGACAAACACTCGCCCACGCTAGCGAGACCCGGAAAAGAAAATTGGAAAGCGCCCACCAGAGAAAGTGTCCTCAAGTTCGTTGCTTTCTGCAGGGCGGACACTCCGCTGTCGCCAACCGCGCGACAGTCTTGAAGTTCGAGATGACGCAGCCTCTGCAAGGATTGTGAGATTGATCAATGATCAGGTATCATGCACAGATGTCCTGGGGAACCCGCAGATGCCTAGCAGATGCCGACCAACTGATGAGTACACGGCTTTGTTTGCATGAAATTGTGAATGTCTCTCAGACGAAGGGCAGACAAGGGGTCTTGTAATTGACGTTTTCCAAGACATTCCAGATTACAGATCTCTCGATCAAGAACCAAGTAAATTCAAATCAGAAGCGACAACGTACAGTCCGCAACGGTGATGATACCGAGGCAGATATTGAAACCATGACCATCTGGATTCCTGACCGAGCCACTAGCTGAAACCTTGCTTACCGGGCAATTTACGACCAAGTCTTCAATGTCGTTGTCCGTCAGCACTTGCCAAACGAGGCCAGACTGGTCGTCTCGGAAGCCCCGACCGTCTCTCTGAAACCAGGGGTTCGTGGGGAAGGCCTCGTAAGTTATGCAGACTTTCTCCAGCTGCTTGCAGGCCTGAAACACTGGCCCAAGATCCACAGGCTCCGCCACTATGACTTGGTGTAGCGAGAGTGTCACCAAATTTCTACACTGCGCTATAAGCCCCAGCTGACAGCTGGCGCCAGACGGAAGCGCACTCCACAGGGTCAACCTCTGCATATAAACGACAAGAACCGTCAGGAAACGCAATCTCGTTGAGTCATGGAAGACATGACGCAGACAAGGTGAATGCTTGTTGATGGGACCTGGAAGAGCTTTCCAGGCTATTGCGGCTTGGTCTGACAGCAACTGGATTGATCTTGAATGTCGGGCAGATTTTGCAATCGTGATGCAGGTGTGATGGCTGGAGGCTCTGACCTGCAAGGACTGTGGGAACTGCTGGCTTGCAAGCTTCAAGGCCTCCTCTGTGAGACTGTCTCTGCCAAGCATGATCGCCAGGGACACCACAATGCTGTCTCGCCAGCGGGGCTGCTGCGCATCTTCCACTCGCCTGGCCCCAAAAACATTAACGCTGGTGTTAGCCTCACACTTGCTTCAACGTTGCCCATCGTGACTCTCATTCATAGCAAAGTTAGGAAACAATCGCTACACTTTCAAAGCGATCACTGGCCCCCACCACTCTCTTTTAGCAATTTACAGATACAACGAAGTTCCTGATTCAAGGATCACACAACCAGTCAGCGGGCAGTCAGCATTGTCTTGAGTGATCCTGACACACAAGATGCACAAGCTGGACGTACCTGAAAGCGAGTCGCTGTGGGACACTCTGAAATGCATGCAGCCAGCTTTTGTTAACCCTGCACGCTGCGTCCTTATCCACCGGCTCGTCCAGAAAGTGCAGGATGTGCGCCAGCAGATCTGTGCTGCCAAACACATCCCTCACACTCTCAAACCCGTCCTCAATGTCCATTATAAGTTAAATGGAAACCCACTTCGCCTGGCCCAGCTCAAAGTCTGCTTGTCATGCCCTCTAGTAGGCGGCGTCCTCGTTCCAAAAGGGGCCATGTCCCCAGCAAGCGGCAGCAATCCCGTTCCTGCTCCGAGCTGATTCTGAGCCAGCTAGCGCCCCGGCCCAGACTCCCCCGGCTGGGTGCGCGCGGAGACCGCGTCGGGCAGTACGCGGCCAAGCGCGGCCGCCACATTGTCGCGGCCGGGCGGCCGGCCGTGCGGATCGCGCCCGCGCGGGCCTGCTGCAATACCGCGACGGGAATGCTTCGACCATTTTCGAAATCATCACGCCACTTTGACTAGGATGCGGGGCAGGCCCAAGGATCACTTGGTCAATGGTGGCTATCATGGTACCTGAGCCATTGATCAGGCGCAAGCGCTGGACTCGAGCCAAATGCAAGAGGGCGTCAGGAGCCGGGTCACGGGGCTGCCCCTTGCCGCAAAAAGTGGACAGCATGGAGCGGAGGCCAGCCTGCCGGCATGCAGGTTTGTACCTCATCCCCATCATCAATGCCGCTCTGAGCATGCGTGCAGCTTTGTTCTTTGATGCTTCATTGCTACGTGACAAATGCTAGTGTGTGTGAGTGGGTTTATGCAGAATGCCATTGAGGCAGCGTCACTGGGGAGTCTCTCAATGTTGTAGCACGTCGTGACGCCACCATTTTGAGGCAGTTTCTTATTCGCTCAAAGCTTGTCACTGGGTCCTGCAGCTATTGTTAGCTCTGGTTTTTCTCAATACCGCCTCAGTCAATTTTCGATCTATCTACAGGCGGATCAACTTGCACGTTTAGTTGCTTGATGGCAGGATAGAAGGTGGAGTAGGCTTCTTTGGGGCTGTAGCCCGGCAAACACTGCTCCACTTGATTGTACGAGAGTATTCAGCAGCTACACTGGTTTGGGATTAGGCAAGCTGGGGGCGCTCTTGTAAGGACAAGGCAGCTCCGACGTGCTGCCGCAGAAGGAGCGTTGGACGGGCCGATTTGATGGAAGAGGAGAAGCCGCTGGAATGGCGGAAGATAGTCGAGATTCTCAAGAGGAAGGGCAACGAATTGCTCGCTGCACAGGCGGCTCAGGCAGCTCAGCTGCCCCATGCAGCCTCCCCCCCCTCTCAGGAAGCTGCACATACCTCCACAGAGCCACACTCTGCAGCGAACCCCTCCACAGCTTCCCTAGCCGAACCCCCCCAGCCCACCGGTGGTTCGGCAGCGCCCCCCTCCAAAAAGAAGAAGAAGAAGAAGAAGAAGCAGGCGGCAGACTCGGAAGAGAAGCACGAAGAGCCAGAGAGCAGCGAACCTGGCAAGCCAGCCGGCGGGCCCGTCACACCTCCCTTTGTCTTTACAGCGGGGGCAAATGGAGCGGACGAAGGCTGGGTGCAAATGCCTCTTGGAGGGCGTGCGGTGATTGGTACAGCTCCACCCACAACCAATGAAGACAAGAGCGGCGGGGTGGAAAACGATGCACTCCCAGGCAATGCACGGGTCGATCCAGGAACAGCGGCTGAGGGTGAAGAAGCCACAAAAGCATCATTGCTAGAAGCGGCCACTGATAGAGTCACGCCCGGTGATGTCGAACACTCGGAAGAGGCCCCGGCTGAGCCGAAATCAAAGGTGAAGAAGAAAAAGAAGAAGGGCAAAGGGGGGAAGGGGGTTGGAACGGAGGGTTCTGCACCGGAAGCTGAGGCGGGCAGCTCTTTACAACCCCCCAGGTCAGATCCGGCGGGCAGCGCTGAGGAGAGCCCAGCACAGGACGAAGGGGCTGAGCGCAGCCATGCTTCAGCAGAGGCGGCTGGCAGTTTGAATCTTGCGGAAGATGAGCGAGGCAAACGCTCTGAAAAGGGCGCCCAGGAGTGGCCCCCTGAGCAGCCCACTGGGTGGTCTGACACCGAGGAGGTCCCCGACTTTGTGTCGGACTCTGGAGGGAGCGACGGCGAGGAAGGGGAAAGAGATAAGAGCGGGGCACCAGAACGACGGGAACAGGAGGAGATGAGCGGAGCACAGGGGAAAAGGGGGCCTGAGGACAGGAGCGATTGGGAGGAGCGGTCGGACCTGTGGGAGGGCGAGGAGGGGGAAGGGGAAACTCGGAGTGGAGACGAGCGGAAGAAAGACGGGGACGAAGAGTGGGGGGAGCTGGAAGAGGACGATGTGGAGCAGCTGCTGATGCTGGGCCAGCTTCGGGAGGTGAGAGCTGCCATTGGCTTCTTCATTGATGTTGGTCTCACCAAGCTAGGGCCATTGAGTGAGATACGGGAGTCCGTTCGTTGAGCATGGCGTACAGTGAAATGCTTTGGTCTCATGTGTCGCATGCGACACTTGGATTCGATTTGACCAGTGCTTGAAGTAACATGCAACCTGGAATACGTGGCCAACAAGTGCGCTTGCTCTATGGGTAGAAATGATGTACTGTGAATTGTAAGTACTCTTCATGGGCTTTGACAATGCCAGACGGGGCCACTCGGTGGCACCTCCTGGTTAAAATTGGCGAGTAACGAAGAATTGCAGACCCATTGTCTGAAGCAGCCTTCCTGGAACAAGTGCGTGCTTGATGGAAATGGAACGCGGGCTGTCCCTGTTGCACCAAGTCGGCATCATCCCTCATAGAGCAGTCGGAATACTTGTCGTGCAGTCCGCACGCTTGGCCACTTTTCTTGCTTCTACACAATTGAAAGGCCTCAGAAATTATCGTCAAGTGGTGTTGTAAATCGTTTCGAATTGTCCCTTGTCTGCTACCTCTAAATCGTAAACCACTTCCGCAGGCTACGAAGACCTCAAAGGTCGCCCCAGCCCGAAAAAAGCGCCCGGCTCCTCCGGCCCCCCAAAAACCCACCCAGACACCGAGCAAACCTCCAGACACCCAGCAGCACAGACCCGCTGCCCCCCCGACCCCGTTCCGGCCCCGGGGATCCCCCTCCGAGCGTGTCGAGCTGCACCTGCCGGCCGGCCGGCTGATTGTGAACCGGGCGGACTTTGACGCGCGGCCCGCGACGGCGCGATTCTTTGTGATCAAGAGCAACAGCGTGGACGACGTGCACAAGAGCATCAAGTACGGCGTGTGGGCCAGCACACCCTACGGCAACAAGCGCCTGCACGCGGGGTTCAAGGAGGCGTGCGCAGCGGATTCTCCCGCTCAGGTGTTCCTGCTCTTCAGCGTGAACGCGAGCGGGAAGTTCTGCGGAGTGGCCGAAATGGTGAGGATCCCTGAGTAGCCGCTCCGATCGTCTTTGCTGAGAAACGGAGACGGCCATAATCTGCGACTTGCTGGCTCTTGGCCGCGCTTCTTCGCCCATGCTGGAAGGACGAACGTGTAGGAACGTTAGTTTCGCGAAGTCTGAAAAGCTCTGGAAATGTTAGATCTGAATTGTGCAGAGTCCTCTCCAGTGAGCTCGCAGTAGATTTTCCTCTCACTTTGTCCACGAACAAAGGTGATAGTACCTCCTTATATGTAACGCCTGCAAGCAAAAGCGTCTGGCTAACAGTGCAGGAAGCCCCAGCAAACAGCAGTATTTGCGTCTCTTCCAGATGAGCGACGTCGACTTCGACACCTCCGTGGACGTGTGGCAGGAGGACAACTTGTGGACGGGCCGCTTCAAGGTGCACTGGCACATCATCAAGGTGCGCCGCTCATCCTCCCTGCTACAGACATGCGAAGCGACCCTCTTATCGGCCATGGTGTTGCAAAGTAATCCCCATAAGTGTGCACAAAACTCGCACAACCTGGGTCTACTCTAAAGGGTCAAAGAGCAGAGTCAGAGCACGTGCGTCCAATCTGACACCTCGCGAGGATCGAAGATTCAACTCTCGCCAAAGGTTTATTGAGTCTCTTCTCGGATGTGTCAAAGTGATCTGTCGCGTTCAATAACCCGGTGCTAAAACTGCCTCCAGCAAAGCGCCGCCAGGTCTGACCCCGCATGGTTTCAGCAGCACGTGATCTCAGTAGGAGTCAGTCGAACAGGGACTTTCTGCTTGAAGGACCATGGCCCTTCTTTACCTGCGTGGCTGACTCCTCGTTACTTTATCCTGTTCCAGGACGTTCCTAGCCGCGAGTTCTACCACATCCGGGTGCCCAGCAACGAGAACAAGCCGGTGACCAACAGCAGAGACACGCAGGATGTGAGTCGCAAACACCGCCTCTCACGCATTACTCCATTGCATGCGAGCTTTTACAACCCTCCTGTCTGTCGACGGATTGCCTTCATAACGCAGTAAATTCCGACGTAAAGCCGTTCTCCACTCTTGTGTCAACGTCCGTGCTGCTGCTTCCACATGATCGCATCGGCCCTGTCACTTGAATCAAGGCCTCCAGTGTCGTGTCTGAGCTGCCAGCGCCTTCGCTGTCCCGACCTCCAAACAGGCATTTAGCTTGGCTGTCTATGTTCTTTTTGATCAGCCTCCCTGACGAACGATCTTCTTCCCGCCGCCATGGCAGTCCCTATCGAGACGCCTTCCATCTGCTTCAAAACTGATGTCGGGCCAATCAGAAACTGAGACAACCTCAGCCCTTTGAAACTGATTGCTGGCCTACCAGAGCGAGGTCTGTCTCAGCACGTTTCCCGCGCAGCGCCGCGGCTGACCTGCGCGTCTCCGGTGCGCAGGTGCCGTACGCGCAGGGGCTGGAGATGCTGGCCATCTTCGCGGCGTCGCCGTCCGTGAGCAGCATCCTGGACTACTTTGCGCTGTACGACACGCAGCAACAGCTGCTGCAAGAAGACCGCGACAAGGCCAAACTGCGCCCGCCGCCGCCAGGCAAGCCCCGCACTCCACGTAGCATGTGAAAATGCATCTGATACATAAGGGTTGACAATATGCAAAGCTAACGAGACTGCCGCATACCCTGCAGTCTTGCTTGCTTGAAACAAGTGATTGCGCCCTGATGGCAAGGTCTGGTAGCCAAGAAAGTCGTTCTTTGTGACGCTCGTCAGGAGCTGCTTTCTAGTCGTGTCTAGGGCACCATGGAAGCGCACTCTATTGTTAGGACACTGTCCCTTTCCTTTCCGGGGCCTCTTCAGGATCCCACGTTTGATTTGAAAGGATGTTCAAATGCAATGATGTAAGTTTGGCAGCATTTCTCAAACCTTGCTTGCAGTCCTGGGGACGAGCTTTCAATGTTTGTGCACCCGAGGTGACACGTGGAGTGTCCGTTTGCAGTTGCGCCCCTTGATCCGTGGGACGACAGACCGCAACCCCCAGGGCCGGGGTTCAGACCGAGGGGACCCGACTTCTTGTGAGCAAAACATGCGTCGTGTGCCACCCTCTTTCCTTGTTGAGAGCTGGAAAAAGCCAAGCAAGTCGGTGGTTGACTTCTGTCGCAGACTGCTTGATGTTGTTACTTTTTCACCCTGTTTGCAACCCCGTTGAAACGCCTACGTCAACCGTGCGCTTCAGTGGCTCTGATGCTCCGGGCCAGTTGGCTGCCAGCATGGTATGCTGACCTACGTCTTCTTTGCCCCTCTCTCTTTCAGCCGGCCGCCGTTCCCTCGGCCCCCGCTGGTGCCCCACAACATCAAGACCCGGCTGTGCCAGCGCTTCAGCTCGCCGGGGGGGTGCAACTACGGCGACCGCTGCCTGTTTGCACACGGGGTGCACGAGCTGCGGCCATTCCGTCCCCCTCCACCCGCGGGCCGCCCTCCCTTCTTCCCTGACGGCCGCCCCGCCTTCTTCCCTGACGGCCGTCCCGCCTTCTTCCCGCCCCCACCTTTTGGTCCCGGCGGCCCCCATCACCGGCCGCCGTTCTGGCGACCGGACGGAAACGGAAACGGAATGGGTCCCGGCTTCGAAGGCCCCCGGCCCTGGTTGGGTCCACCGCCTGAGTTTGCCGGCCACGGGCACGGGCATCACTACCAGCAACAACACCCTGCGTCCCGCCTGCTAGATGCCCTGGAGAATGGGAATGAAGGGTTGCGTCACGGCGCGGCTGGGCCGGGCGGGGATGACGTCAGCGGGGATGAGAAGGACGCGCAGGACGAGTACCTGCTGCAGCTGCTGACGGAGGGCGGCGCGGACAAAGGGCAGTCGGTGCCGGAGCCGGGGCAGGCTCCCGGGCTGGGCGACGGGAGCGAGTGGGCGGGGGGCCGGGAACACGAGGACGAGGAGGTGTGCTGCATCTGCTTCGAGCGGCCGATGGACGCGGCGCTTGAGCCGTGCCGGCATGAGCTGTGCCGACAGTGCGCGGAGCTGATGCGCAGCGAGCGGAACAGCTGCCCCGTGTGCAACGCGGAAATCGAGTCAATCTTGCCGAGAACTTGAGTACATTTCAGTGTGAGGGGTGCGTGTCGGAAAAGCTACAGTTTTGGAAACGCGTGGCTTTTGCAGTTGCGGATTGCTTGGTCACCAACGGGAGAGCTCGGTTAATAAAGGTGTGTATCATCGACGTGTTCGTTGCATTACATGCTCCAAGCAAGAAGGTTGTGGAATTCCTAAACAGCCTTCCAACATGTATGTTCCCAGCTATGCCTCATGCGGGCTGCGTTCTTTCCTGTTCCTTCAAATTTCGTACGAGTGCCCTAAGTCGCTGGTTCTCAAAGTTCAGTAAGTTGATAACTGTTGAAACTCATGAAATTATCATGTTTGAAAGAGCCATGTATGCAGTCTATGCTGCGGCACGGCATGATGAGTCAAACGCACGACACATGCACGACCAGATAATGTACATCTACTGCGATACACGAATCGTGGGCGGTTCACGGTTGGGGTGCCAACCGAACTTGTATAGCCGGTCTTGCCGTCTTATTAATTCATGCACGTTTCTCCGGATCGGATTGTCAGTGCCCACATGTGGGGATATACCAAATGCGAATCCTTCGTGACGTCCGACGGTGTCGTCAAGTCTAAATTTCTGCGCATTGCCGCCTAGCGTGTGCTCTTTCGCTCTCATTCAAGTCGTCCAAATTTCCATATAGTCGTTTTTGAGAACGTCAAAATCAATCTTGTATGAGGAATTTTGAAATAATTGTAACCTTCCACTGTTTGTGAGGAGCTAGAAAGAAAAAATCCAATATCATCGTCGCTTTGCATGTACCATGTGCAGCTATTCGCTTACACGACATATGTCATGGTACCCTTCGAGTCAAGATCCACATGCAACTCGCGAGCGTTTTGCTATAGCGTATATTCAGGAGCAAAGTAGCTAGCTTGTTCAGCTTTGGCGCGATTGGTCAAAGCAAGGTTCAGAGGTCCCTGGCTCGGTGCACAGCAAGACCTCGTGTAAAGGACCTCGGCCACCATAGTGACTGAAGTTCGACTATGATAAGCTTCCCAAATCGAGGTGCACCTCAAAACAGCTTTTCTCTAAAGTTCCAAATTCGGTTTGTAACCTGCTTCTGGTTAGGTGTTGCGTTGACTGAAGAGCTCGCGTTGCCAAAGCTTTTTGAACTGAGGTGCTTTCGGCCCGACAGACTTACAATTGCGCCGGCCGAGCTCTCGCTGTCATTGATTGACCGATCAGGCTACGAATGTGCCTACTGTGCTTGCAAAAGCCAATGACCTCACGACTTGATGTTCAACTTGTAATACTCATATACAGGCGTGCTCTTCATTATTTTGATGCAACGTCTCGCGACGATGTAAGTTCTGGCACCATTCCTTGTGCGCGCCCTTCCAGGCAGCTTTCTGGCACTCTGCAGGGACAGAAAGAGGGAAAGCGTTACACTAAGATGTTCTCAGAATGCACAGAAGGCCAGACATGAGAAAAGGGAGAACTTCGAAAAGCTACTTCTTACAGCAATGTTTAGTGGGCCGTTGAATATCTCCAAGCAACGAAGCATTCGGCTATCCATTTTGCAGTTTGTGTAATCAATGTCGTCAGTGTCCTCAGTGATGGTGTTTCCTTGCCGTTCACGTTGAGGCGGCGGATCTCTTTTCTGCTATTAACAAGCCGTCAGGCATGAATGAAAATCGAAGTATGTACAAAGATGATATTACACATGAAAGACGCGGAAAAGATGTCGATTAAGAAAGACAGGAACCCCTCAATTGAATTGAGCAAGCACTTGCCTCGGCTGCAGTAGACGCTCAGCTTGCACTGGCGGCACACCTTGAACTCCCCTGGCTTCTTCTCCTTCTTGCTGCAGCCGGTCGCCGAGCACGACCGCTTCGCGCGCGCGTCCAGCCACCCCAGCCTGGGGGCCACCGTGGCGTCCTTCACTGGATATTTCTCCCCGTGCCTCTTGACTATCGGCAGAACCCTGTTGAAGTGCGGCTCTGACACGATCGCGGCCAGCTGCTGCGCGCGCTGCACCCGCGCGCCGTCTTTGCGCGCCTCCTTCTCGAAGTGGCGCCTTCGCTCCACGGCGTTCCGGCCCGCCGCCTTTGCACCGCTAGTGTCCTGGATCGCCACCCCCAGCGTCGTCCCCAACATTTTCAGGCTCCGGGTGGGGTTTCCGGCCGGATTCGGGCTGGCCGGAACCGCCGCCAAGATGTGGCAAAGGGGCAGCAGGTAGGTGCCCGCGGAGGGCCCGGCCAGCCGCTGCCGCCGGTCGTCTCCCTGAGTGAGGAGACACAGAAGATAGCACGCGCTCTCGATGAGCGCGCACTCTGCGGCGGAGTGGATGATGTTGCTGATCCAGTACAACACCCAGCCGTCCAGGTCGGGGTCCTCCCACAACGGGTACACGTGGCACAGCAGCAGGAAGGCGTCGTGGAGGAATTCGACGTCGGACACGTCCTGCGACGTGTGAACTAGGATGGCGTTCAGCAGCTCCGTGTGTCGCGCGCACCGCAGCCTGAGCTTGTGAGACCAGAGGGATAGGTGCGCGAGGCACGACAGGATGTTGGCGCGCGCCCATTGCTTGACTTCAAGGATCGCCTCTTCCGTCAATCTGCTCCTGCATTCCTCTGACACGGGGCACTCCACTCCTCTGAGGTACACCTCTGTTAGGAGATCTAGCAAGTCTGGGACTGACGCTCTGATTGCTCGGAAGGTGCGCTTGTCTTCGGTGAGGCAGTACAGCACCTTGGCGCAATCCGAGGCCCAGCTGCGCACCAGGGGGTCCGCATCTTCCGCAGTGTACACCAGCCATTGGCCCGCGGCCGCAGTTCTCAGGCCCACGGCTAAAGGAGCCAGGATGCCCGCCTCCAGCAGGAAAGCTGCGCAGTTGACCGTCGTCTGGCGCGGGTCCTGAGGGGACTGCTCGAAGCGGTCCTTGTTTGCGTCGAGCGTGTCCAGTGCTCTCAGCATCGCCGTGGACTGCGCCTCTAAGCTGGTGGAGCGCAGATCCGCCGCAATCTCCTGGAGCGCCCGGGAAGACTCGGGCCTTAGGATTTCTTTTGCGGTAAGGCTGAGAGCAGGACTGTCTGGCGAGGTGGCCGCCATGAGGCACCTCCAAGTGAATCACAAGGAGTGTTCTGTCACCGCCATAGCGTCGGGGCTACATTGATGCTTCAGTACAACCTACAAGCTTGAGATCAGCACTGATAAGCGTGCATGGCCGCCTCGATCAGGCCCAGCTTCTCGTCATGCTTGTGCTGCGGCTGCGCGCTCCTTCATTCGCCATGAACTTCTGCTATGACCTTCGATTCCTCTGCCCCACGTCACGTCAATGACTTTCTTCTAGAGGAAGAACGGAGGACTTGACTTTCTGCGAAGACATGTCACATCTGCGTTTCGAGGTGCGAAGACATGTCACATCTGCGTTTCGAGGTGCTTGAGTTGGTCCGCTTGCAGCGCCTGGGTCTTGTCATCGTCGCTGTCAAATTGATGGACAAATGATTACGGTACTTTTTGCTGATCGAGGCTTTCGGACTTTACCGAGACGAGATCGATGCGAAATCAAGAATACTAGCTCATTGAGACATTCTTGATACACCCCATCGATGCTGCCGCGCTCTGCCTGCCAGCTTCCAAGTCGGTCAGTTCGATGTAAACTGCCACGGAGCAATTTCCCTGCCCTCCCTCTAATTAGCGCTGCATGTCCCGGTCGCGGTACTAACGAAGATGGACACCTGTCACCTTTGCCATCTGCGTTGCTGATGCGTGGTTCGTCGATCAGCAATTCAGGCGTTCGTATGGACATGTAATGCTGAAAGCCTTCTAAACTCTGGAGCTTCCTTTTGACTGCTCACAGGGCGGATTCCCGTTTCCCCGGTGGTCGGGCAAAGCCCGGGCAGTACCCCGGGGAGCGTGTTCCCCGGCCATTTGCCCGGGCTTGGGCCATGTCCGGAAAAGTTGTCAGATCTCCGGGGTTTGCCCGGCGATCGGGCAACAAGCCCGGGCAACGAACCCCGGGCAACCAGGTCGGGCAACAGCAAACGCATGTCCGGGCAAGACGTTTCAGTCAGTCCCCGGGCAAACATCGGGGAATGTCCGGAGAAATGAGAACGGCAGTAATCTTGTAAGAAGCACAGCAGCAGCACGTAATCAACGATGTAACACATTCAGGGATCATAAGTTGCGTTTGATTGTTTCTAAACCAACGAACGACGGGCTTTGGACGGACTGACACTGCTATCATTAAGAAGTACTGGCGAGACAACGAGTTCACAGAACGGCAGTTCTACCTAGGCTTAAACCTAAACTTTGAGCTGAACTACAAAAGTGTTCCCGGTTGTCTGTAAGCCGTCCAACTCTTCTTCAGGTGGCTTCTCGACCTGCCGCGCGCGTACTACGAGACATCCGTTCAGTTGCGCGAAGTAGCATGCGTGCATCGTTATCTGCACCAAGGGAAAACATATCGTAGTCAGAGAGTTACGTTCTGCAGACATGGCAACCTTGTACGCTGCAGCTCGGAGGGTCGCCCTTCAGAATCTACTCGAAATCAGCAGTCTGTCGAACCAGGATTCGAAGTCGACACAAAGTGGAAATGCTGGCGCGACTTCGTTTAGGTCCGAGCGTAATCAGATGGACACAACCTGCATGAGAAGCTTGCAAAGCGAAAATATTAATTTCATATCACAGCCTACAGCCAATTGATCTCTCGGTTCGCAAGCGCGTAGGCAATACAGCTTACCTTAGAGATGCTGCAGTTCTATTGCCAGTGCAAGATCGCTCGTGTCACTGCAGAAAAGGGGTTCGACGATTGGGAAATGCTCAAACAACTCGGAACGACTGATTCGATTACGCAGTAGATTGCCTTCCCAGCAAATTGAGAACTGAACGAGACCAGAACTGAATGATCTTTCAGACGCCAACCTTGATTGGAGAACGATACAAAAGAAGCTTTGACTAGCTTGAAAAACGAGAAAGGAGAAGGCAGAGGCTTCCCACCTTATTGGTTGCCAATTCGTGTTGAACTTGCGGATGTTCTGCAAAAGCAAAATATGAAGTCAAAAAACCGTGCATTCGCGTTTCGGCACACTACCGCTTCACCTCCTGCTTGAATGATGTTTGCGTGCCTCTTGTGCGCAGAAGAAGCACTCGCAGATCTGAACGCGCGTGCCCCAATCCGACTCTCCGATTTTGCCAACACGAAACCCGCTTGCTGTGCAATGATTGCAGCAACACGAAAACACAGTGCACTGCATATGATTCACGAGAGGTACACAAGTAGCACACGTAAAACACACGAGAAGCCACACGCGGTCTTCTTGGGACGCATTGCTGTTGCCGCCTCTAAGCGACAATAGCACAGGGACCTTGAAAGGTCCCCAATTTGAATGGACAACCAAATCCAGCAGGCTCTTTTGCGCCATCCCCTTAGGACAAGAAGGTGCCAACGACAGCTCACCTCTTAAGATACGAAGACTTCGTTGGGAGTCAACTTCACCCCGTCCTCGCGCCACTTCTTGTTCGCGATGTAAACGCGCTCGTCATCAATGGCCCCTTCACTCAGCAATTTCAGCAGGTACGGCGTGTCAAACGTCTCCAATTCCGGCGACTTCGAAATGTTTTCGAGCTTGAGGCCGTTGATCGCCTTGATGGCCTCCTTGCGAGTCACCTGCGACAAAGGTATACCGGTAAATGCCTGTACACGAGGTCCCCAAAATGAAAGGGCAGTGAACTTGAAGATCGTCAGACGGGAGCCCTAAGAGAGTATGCACCATGCGCATATCAGCTTGCTTTATGTACGGGAAACGGCGGAAACTTTGGCAGTTAAGCAAACCCTGTAACCGGTCTGGGAAGCCCGTAAGGCTGGTTATTAATAACCAGTCCCGGGCGGGTTGTATTAGCGTGTTAACCAGGCCTGGGTCTTTCCGGCGAGCAGGATATATGAGACTTATTCCTGGCTAACTAGAGTCCGCCTGTCGGACAAGCACTTAATGGGCCTCGGCAGAACCTGGTTAGTTGAAGGAGTCTTCGCTTATGTCAGTCGTTGGTCAGGCGATTGACCAGTGACTGGCTCAGCAAGTCTATTAACATCTGGAAGTAACGGCGGCTCAAATGCCGAGCCAGTCACAGTCGGGTTAGCTCCTCGTCTACGTGCTGACCCACTGCTGGTTAGGAGTCGCACTCGTAATATGCCAATCCCAGCCCTTGTCGAGTAACTTAGGTTATAATGGTCCGCAAAAGAACTCCGATCATAGGGACGGTTTCCAACTTTCAACCGACCGAAACCGAACAGAACCGAACGGAATTTGGAGCTTTAATGACCAGAGCAAAACCTCCTTAACGAGAGCAGCATCTGTTCAACGATCAAGACCTCGATGAAACCTGGTTGCGTCGGCGCCAGGGCACTGCAGCCGGCACTAAAAAACATGACGCCTAGGTGAAGAGCTCTTCCTCAGCCTCTTCCTTACCTGATACGCAAACTTGACGCGGAGAAATTTCATGGCGATGACCTCGTACTTGGCCTGCATGTGCTTGTCGATCTTCTCGTGCTTGTCCTCAAACGCGCCCCCGATTGGCAGGTCGGAGATGGGTTCCTCGTCCGAACCGGGGTCTGAAGACTCGATGACGTCACCATCCAGGTCCATCTCCTCTTCGCTCTCCTCCTCGTTCTCGCCCCCCTTCCGCTTCCGCTTCTTCTTTTCCGCCTTTGCTATATTATTCCTCTTTCCGCTGGCTTTTGCCGCACTCTTGCCTTTCGCCGTTTCGCACGCTGCCTCCCCTGCTTTTCCCGCCTGACCAAACTCGCACTCGCATCCCACTGCCTTGCAAAGACCCGGTTCGTGGAACTTGCGCTGCCTTACTGCGTTCCGTTTTGGCCGCGCGGAGACTTCGTCACCGGCCGTTTCGGTCCGGCCGGTCCCTGTCTCTTCCGTTGGTTCGGTTCCGTTCCGCTCCTGGTCCTTCCCCTCAATTTGCTGTGGGTCAATTGTTTGCGGAACGCTGCCCGCGCCCCGTTCTTCTTCCCCAGCTCCAGGGCCTTGAGTTGCATCCTCGCCGCTTTCCTCTTTCCGGGGCTCGATTCGCTTCTTGCCCTTCTGAAGATTTGACCCAGTGCTTTTTGCCTTCTTTGGTGGCTCCTCGCCACTGCCGGTTCCTTTTCCGTTTCCGCTTCCGCTCCCTTCCGCCCGTGCGTCTCGCTTCCGTTTTTCGTTGGTTACATTTCCCCCGGTTTGGTTATCTCCCCGTGCTTGCTGATCGGTCTTGCCGTCCTGCTCGCCCTTCTCTTTCCCATCCACTGCTGCCCCTTGCTGTTGGACGGTGTTTTGAGGGACGCTGGAGGACGAGGGTTTGTCCTGGCCGGTCGAAGTTGCTGCCGGGAGTACTTCCCAAACCGGTTCCGGGCTGCTCGACTTGGGAGGCGTAACTATAAAAGAAGTTCCTCCGCTCCTTTCCACCTGAAACAGAACACAAAGTCAGTGAGTTCTAAGAGTGATGAAATTGCACGAAGCCTTCAGTCAGTAGAATTACTCGTGAGCAAGCAGCAGGCTCTGCCTCGATTCTACCAGATCTGCTGCATCTGCTGTGCAGAGAGGCAGACCGCGCGCGCGCGCACGCGCGCCCCACGTTGAACCTGCCTCACATAGATTCGGTGATAAGAAGAAAAGCAATACTGAAGAGCAAGATGGATTTCAGCTCATCAAGGCAGGCTAAATCCTTGTTGTTAAACGAAGCAGAAGCTAGCAAGTTGGTTCGTATATGTCGTTGCTTTGGCCTTTGAAGACTGTGTGACCAGAGAGCTGGATCCGTGTGCATAAGCTTGCTGAATCGATGTCCAGGTTATGCAAGAACGGAGGTCAGTTGTTAGGGGACACTTTTAAGTAGACTTTCCCCGAGATGAATGACACTGACGAGAGGACAGTACACGAGTCCAGAGAGCCACGACGTTTCGTGCACGGGTCATCGATAGCGGGCGCAATTACACCGTGCTCACGAATCTGCTTGCCAATGGCGACGTTGAGGCGCCTCGCCCAGCCTAAAGGGTCGCCGTTCAAAGTTAAGGTGGAACAAGCCGTCTCAGAAACGACTCCGGGGCCCTTCTCCGCTTGGCAGCCCCGACCAAGATGTGCTCATTCCATTGATTCCGTTTGCGTAGTGGATGTTCGGACAGAAACGTACCTGCTTGAAGCCAGACTTCTCGGCGGCATGCGTCTCGCAAAGAAAGTCTGCCCCGTCGTAGTTCTCCACGCCGAAGCGGTCAAGCATCATCTTTTGCATGCAGAGGTTGTGCACCGGCTTCTCGCACACGTGGCACATGTGCGCAGGCCGCCCGGTGGTCACGGTGCATGAGCTGATGACGCAACGGCTTCGAGCCGGCTGTTCTTCGGCGGCTTCACTAGTTCCCTGCAAAGGATGCGGAGGGTGAAATGAGCTCATTCAGGCCGAAGGACTTGCTGTTATCAGATTTGAAGCCAAGGATCGCTGAGGAGGACCACTTAGCACCTCAAATACTGAATATTATCTGCCCTGTTCATGATCCGTGTTCTCAGTGTTGGGTGGCTCAATCGCAAAAGGCGTAGCATTAGGCCAGGCAACGTTGAGACTATGCGAAGCTCAGTTTCTGCGAAGACTTGGAGTCGAGTAGGCTGAACAGGGAAAGATTAGTGATTTCTTAATTTAAACGGAGATCAAACATAGGGCGAGCCAAAATCCTATGGAAGTCCCAAGCGCACATCATTGTCAACTTCTTCTGGTTCATGCTCACCTGCAGTCCTTGACGATTTGCTTCATTACCAGGTGTGGGTACTGTTTCGCATCTCTTGTTTGGCTGGGGTCGATCCCCTCCCTTACGCCTGACCTCCTGCATGAATAAAGCTCGAGTGTGTGAGGAGCAGCCGGTGACAGTCACAAGAATGGACGGCTGTTGCGAACATGATGACCTGTAACTTCCAAATGCAGAACCGAAAAGGTTGGCCGTGCTTCCAAGCAGAACTTTAGTAGCTCGTAAGCATTAGTGCCAGCTAAAGTCTCCTATGACGTCTACCTTCGTGCGGCTCGCACCTTTCCAAAATCTCTCCTGGTTGGTGGAACATAGCTAGCAAGATCTCTCTAGGAGTGTGAAAAGGCACCTGGTTCTCTCCCTCAGCCCCGGTTGTCTCGAGCGTTGATCCTTTGGGTGCTCGATCGTTAGATGTGGACAATGCTCTTATCTCGCTTGCCTTCGGTTGGTCGCTTTCTTTTTGACTCACCTCCTGCAGTAAAGTCCTTTGGTCAGAAATTGAAATGAGTACGAGGTTCCGTGCAAGAATAATCTTCAGTGGAACTTAATGCTTGCACAGATCAGTACCTTTGCAAATTTCAGAATGGCTCCGGTTGTGCTGCCAAAGTAGATTACAGTTGCGCGTGAACTCGGCGCCTGCTACATGTAGTGCATAGTCAGACTGAAGTTGCTTTCACCTGTGCTTTGGCGTGCTGCGCCCCGTTCCCGCTTTCTCCTGGTGCCTGAGCCTGGCCTCCCGCATAGCTTGGACTTACGCCTTCAGCAGCTTTGCCGCCTTGTGCCTGCATAGAAGGACCTCCACTTGTTTGAGACGGCAGTTGATCCTACCAGACAAGTATGTGCAGACCAAATGAGGTTGTCTAATCGCAATCAGCATCAAACAGGCCAGACTATATTTGTGCGGCAAGCTCAGTAATATGCAATTCAGATTCCATCATGAACCATCTCGTGTCTAGAAAAGGTCGACATTGTCCGAGCACTTACCTGGATTCTGGTAGCTTTGTATTTTGTCGCCTTCTTTGATTGTTGTTCAGCGTAGCGTTCAGGATGCAGTCGGAGCTCCTTGAAATGCTCCACAATCTGTGAGAAGGATTTATTGAAGGACTCTGCGATCAAGAGACAGAGAAAAGCAATCAGTGATCTGTATTCAAGGTCGCTGGTCAGACACGGGCCCTTCTTGATCACTAAGATCCAGGTGACTACTCAGCTTTGGCTCAGGCTCAACCTCCTGCTTGACCTTTTACATAGCATTCCGAGCATTGAGCTCACAGCACAAGAAAAGCTGGAAGGACCAAGAGGTCGAGTCAGCTTGCGATCCCTTCACCGCACTGGAACCCACAGGCTGATGACGTGAATACTGACATTACTCTTCATTCATTCCTTGATTCATTCCTTGATGCTGACTTCTAAAGCACTCAATACTTCCAACCACATTGATCAGGCATGAGTATCTTTCCCAACATGGCTGCATTAGAGTGCCATAGGAAAATGTCACCACAACCTCTTAGCCTTATCTCCAGAAAGAATAGTCACGCTGATTCAAATTGGAAAGCTTGGGAGCGTGCGCAAAGATTCAACTCACCGGTCGGCCACGTGTATGATTTGCCATTTTTGACCTCTAGCTCTCCACCGTCGGTGTCTTCCATAGTTTCTTTGAAGATTGCTTCCCTCCATAGGATGTCTTCTTTTCTGGTTTTGAAATTCATCATCCTCACACGGTCGACTGTTAGCTTCTCGAAGGCCGTCTCTATCCTGTCTTTCAGATCTTTGTACCACCTTCGAAGTGTCCGCACGGCAGGCTTTCCGATTCTGCTTTCATAAGAACCACTGTGAACCATATGAGAGAATAGATGTTCAAGATCCACAGCATCGTCGGCAGACTCAATTCGAGCACTTCCTTCTTTCTCTCTAGGGTCTTGAACTCCTTGTGGCTGAGAAAATTTAGCTCCAGGCTCTGCATTGAGCTCATCAATCCTAGAACTCTCCTCGAAGGGGTTTCTAGGACCACCAGCTGATGATTTCTCTCTGAGTGAAATCTCGACACACTCGCCAGCAGATTGTTGCCAGCCTTGCTTCAACTTCTTCAGAAGCGCTGAATGGCCAACTTTGATTTTCACACCACTCTCCATCTCGACAAAGAAGTCAATTGCTCCATCTTGAAGCGCTAGAAAGGCTTCTCCAGTCAAGCACTCGTCAATTACGTACGTGCTATATCTTGCTGTGGGCACCAAGCTGTTCAGCAATCACTTTAGCTAGTTCTTCCGCTGTAAAGCTGGTCACTTCTTCAAGGCTAAACCTGGCAGCCATTGCAACGCGATCAAGCGGGGATCAGGCGCTCACGGTTCCTGCATTTGAGCAACCATAAAGCTAATCTGCCAGATCTGCGACTTCAACAAGCTTTCTTGCTACTACAAAGAGAGTCTCTATTATCTACTTCTGCAGTGGATTGCAAAGTGGCGGGAAGTGTTGTCAATTTTAGCTGGCATTGCTCCCGCATTGCTGCAATTGACGTTCAACTTCACAGCTTCCAGAGTGTTCAACAGCACAAGCTGTCAGTGTCCATACATCGACGGTTAGTTTGGAGATGCATGGTTCAATCGACGGCACCCGGTACGACTACTCCAGTGCGCGAGCTCTAGAGGGATCGCAGCTAGCCCGGACATTGAGCCCGCAGAACCCTAATCTGGATTCGATTTTTAACCAATTTATTTCAAATATTTGTGTAATTTGGCTTGTGCCAAAAGCGGAATGACTGGCATGAATTTTCAATGTTTGACACTCTTCTCCAACCAGCATGTTTTCATGTTGCTGTGCCACTGAACCAACAACTATATATCCCTGCACCGATCTTCACTTCTTCAAACTGCCAATGATCAAGAGGCTCTTGGCCAGCTTTCGGAACTTACAGCGGTCACTTCGTGGATTCAAAGGAGGACCATGTCTAGGATAAGGCTTGATATTATGTGCTGGAGAATGAAGTAGAAGTGGCTTTTTAGCCCTTGGTGCACCAAAGTAGAAACAAATCTAACAGATTGAAGGAAAAACAATGTCAATATTGGTCACGCAAGGCTTAACTTCTTGGCAAAGAAGCTGACCCTCAGTGAATAGACACAAAAAAGATGGACAAGAGCCAGTCCAGACCTTCAGCCAGCAAGTTGAGCTGCTTCTAAGCAAAAAATGATGAGACGCAGGTATGTGAAAACATCATTTGTCTGTGAGTGAGCTTTTTGGAAGATAATGTGTGCCCCATTGCTGAGCACTGGCTGAATACTTGAGCTGAATACTTGGACAACTGGACAATCTGCTGTCTTGCATAGCCTTGGCATGTCCTTTGTAGAGACATTGTGCGGAGCACCCTGCATCAGTGCTTGTTATGGCTGCAGGTCAGTTGCATGGCATTGGCTTGACTTTTGTGTTTTCTCATGCGGTTGCCCTCACAGCCTGATTGCTTACATTTCTCCTCCAGATCAAGACAGCCTCCAGTTAACGAGGACGGCCTTGAGCTCTGCACTTGCGTATTTCAGGGCTGCGGCAAGAAAGAAAGCCGATATATCCCAAGGACGACACGCTTGTATCACGAAGCTAGAGATAGAGAAGTACTAGAGGCAGCAGAAGTAGTCCGCATCCCTGAAGGCAATGCCGGCTCAGCTTGCGGCACTGAGAATGAGGAGCAGGATCACGGGGGTCTCGTTGAGGGCGCTGATCAAGCTCAGGCAACCGGGGGAACTGATACTGATGGAAATGCTGCCTGGCAAGGGCTTGCGAACCGGATGGAGATCGACGTTGAGGCGCCCGACTTTGATCCAACAGAAGCAGAGCCAGCGGAGGATCCGCTGCTCTTAGAAACAGGAGTAGAAATCCTAGATAGAGTGCTTGATCTGGTGAAGAAGGGCGACGCGGCAGGGTTCAGCAACAGTGATATTAATTGGATCCTGAAGTGGGGACTAGGGCAAAAAGAGTCAATCGCCGCCGCACTGGACCCTGACTGGCGCGCAAGAGCTAAAGACCTCAACATCATGGACTCGCACGACCAGGTTGGCAAACATCTATGCATGGTCTCAGCCCGTTGCTTAGGCCTGGTCCTTGCTCTTGTTGATACCACAGCGTAGACCTGCCATCATGGGTAAAAGGCGTGCAATCCTCATTGTTTGGTCAAAGCTTGAGTGCCCCTTGCTCCAATGTTTCATCTGGCGGCAGCTTGTGCTTGTCTCCAAATTCTCTAGTCAGAATCCGCAAGCAGACTTTGCATTGGTGATTGTAAGGTGACATAGATTGAATTATGATGGTTTGGCACTGAGCGCACACGTTTCCGCACAAGTTTCCGGTTAGGTTGAGATCAGCTCATGAGCAATTGACAGTACCTGCACGTGTTTGGAACGAAGGGGAGCCAGAGTTCTTCTAGTACATGAGGTATCGCGGAGGGCTTATTTGCAACCTTAAACTGTGATCAGATTCGAACCCTCACAGACTGATGCAGTCGCTGGATATACAATCTGGAAGCCCTTGGCTTACCTCTGACCTCTATCCACCACAGGTCTTTAACTTCCTGATGCGCACGTCGCGCCTGCTCGGCGAGCCGCAGCTGTGGCGGTTCCACGAGGGTGACGCTGGAAGCTGGCACCTGTTTAGACCGAGCGCAGAAGATGGCGACCTGCCCTGTCCGCACTGTCTGGAGGGGCCCAACCGGCCAAAGTGGCGCGACTGCCCTGCGCATCAAGAGCGGTGCGAGTGTGGGTTCCTCCGGCGGGATGCGCTGGAGCTGCCCTACATCGGGCTGGAGCCGTATGTGCGAGCGAAGCTGACCACCGAGGCTGGCTGTGAGGATATGCTGGGGGCTTGGCGAGAGCGAGAGCGGTGGCTCAATCAACCTCTTGAGCGTGTGCCGGAACCCCAGCTCGAGTACTGGGACGGAAAGCGCTTCCGGGAGCGGTCCAATTTCTTCGATCCGAACGCCACGTGGCTCCTCCCCCTCGCTTGCCCAAGCTGCTGTCGCGAGCGCCCCGTCTACTGCTCAAAAAACCTGGAGCTCCCCTTCTACGTTCGGCCGACTCCAGAGATGTGGAATGCAAGCAGCGGCTGCTTTGAAACCGAGTGCCCATCCTGTCGGCAGCCCTTTAGCGCCAGAAGATGGGAACTGGAGTGTTCCGGAGACCCAAGGAACGTGATCTTTGGGTGCCATGTGGATGGCTTTCCCTCCTCGCGGACGACCAACAAGAGCAGTTGCATCCTAGACGCCACCCCCTTGGTCGTTTCGAAGCGCCTACGCTACCGCGCCTGCGAGGGGTGGCTCTGGCCCCTTTGCTTTCCCCCGGAAGAAAAACTGAAGAGCGGCCCGGAAGCATACGACCCGTTCATGTTGCTCCTAGTCCTAGATTCTATCCGGCTCTTTACGGATGGAATTCTGGTGAAGTACGCACTCGATCCCGCCAAAGTCAGCCCGGACGTCCCCCCTCGAGACGGACGGCCTGTTCGCGTCCGGATGGTCATGTCCTGCTTCTTCGCCGACCTTCCCGCCCTTGCTGACGTGGCAAAATTCAAGAGGGGGGGGTGGCACGTGTCGCGACGGTGTCCGCAGAGGGCAGTAAAAGTTGGGGACCAGCTAGTCTATGCGAACGGGCGGCGCCTTGTGCGCGACGGCTGCGGAAGCAAGGAGATGCAAGACGTGGTGGCTGCAATGTTGGAGCATCTCGGGGCGAAGACGAAAGCGGAGCGGGACGAAATTGGCCGAAGAACGGGGGTCGTGGGGTTTAGTATGCTGGCCATCTTGGGGGGGGTGTACGAAATGGACCTGGTGCTTGACCTGTGCGGTGACTGGCTGCACAAGGGCTCGGAATATCAAGTGAAGCACCACGCACGGGACACGTTGCTCCCGGTCACCAAAAAGGTGGGTGACGTTCTGGTGCAAGTAGCACCCCCCCGCGTCAATCTCAAGGAATTCGGAAAGCGGCTGCAAGCGATCAGCCCCACGCGTAAGCTTGCGGACGGCCGGTGGGTGAAGGATCCGGAAGAGCGCTCCCTCGGATTCTGGAAAGCCGAGGAGCACGAGAAGGCGGCGCTCTATTGCTTCGAGACTGCTTTTGCGGGAATCATAGACGAGGAGGGGTACGCCGTCACCCAGCTCGTCGCGCGCATCCAGCAAGCGGTGTTCGTCATCGGCTCCCGGCAAGGCTGGACCCCGCAGCTGCGAGCAGTGTTTGACCGGCTCTGCAAAGCCAAGTTCGCGCGCGCCGAGGAGTACTTCGGCCCCAAGCTCCGCCCTCTCGAGCACGACACCTGCCTCCACACCCTGTCGGACATCCTCAATCACGGTCCCCCCGACAGCCTCTGGTGCTACCTCTGCGAGAGGCACATTCGCAAGCTCATCAACACCCCCAACAACGGGAAAGAGTATGAAAAGACGTTGTTCAAGCGGGCGCTGAGCGGGCTGGTTGTCGATTGGCTGCAGCAGCGAAGAAAGGAGGCGGCGCTGTGGCGGGCGCGGCAGTCGGCTGGGGACGAGCTGTGGGGTGAGGCGAGGGAGGGGTTAGAGGGCGGCATCGTGTTTGCCTCCTCGCAAAAACGGGCGGTCGCGTACGTGGAGGGCCTTGAAAGGTGGCTCCCGAGCAACCGGCAGCCGTCCGACGACAAGCTGCTTGGGAGCGTCCGCGCAAACGGGGTCGCCGTCGGAAGCCTACCACGAACGTGGGGGCCCCGTGCATACAAGACCCTTACAGCCCCGCAGCGGATCGGCGTGGAGGGAATTCTCGCCAGGTTGGGAGCCGGAAATGCAAGGGGCCTCCAGCTTGACTCCAAAACCGTAGTGTTTTTGAAAAGCCTGCAAAAGGGGGAGCATAATTTCGCCCCAAAAGACTTCGTGGTATTGCGGGGGGCCGCGGCGGGCGCGGAAGGGGAGGAGCAGTTTGGACGGTTGGAAAGCATCTTTTCCGCGGCAAACAGGCGCGGCGCCAGGCACCTGTTCTTGGACGTCCGGTGCTTTCCGGTCCAAACGGAAGGGGGGGAGCCTGCGGGGGGTCAGTGGCACAATTGCCTCTTGCTGGGAGCCTTGAAGCCGTTTTCTGGAGACCGCGTGCGTCCGGCGAGCGCCCTAGTGCGTCACTTTATACCGTACGCGGAGCCGGGCGAGACCGTATTTACGAGTGCGTCGAACCACGTCATCGAGGTCTTCCCCTCCAGCTTCGGCTTTGACGCGGACGACGTTTGGGTTCCTGTTTTTCCCCGGGTTAGCGATTGTTGTCGTGTCTCTGGCTTTCTTTGTCTTCGGCTGTTCTGATTGCTATTCAAGGTGCCGAGGTTGCACTGACCACTTTCGTCTCAGTTTACGATTCAATGCAACTCTCTATTTGACTTCATAACGAATGGGATGGGACGCTCGCTTTCCGAACGTCCGGCAGGTTCGCAGTCTGTTGGGAGGACCTTTCCTGTTGTCTGCAAGTTGCCTGTGGTGACAACTACCTTGCTGCCACGCTTTTTGGCGCACGACACGCAACAGAGGTGCCGGCCGGATCAAGTCAGCTGTGGATCCTTTCAATGGCAAAGACCTTTTACTTAACGGACTCCTCGTAATACCTTGACAGGTCGGTGACGTCGTCCGGCTGCCGGTGGTGGAACCGCCTGACGTCATTCCGGAAGGGGTAGCTGGGAAGTGGGGCTACGGAGTGCCCTTGTCCGTGCTGAAGTCGGTGCGGCCCGGGCAGTCGGTGGCGTACGCTCTCGTCAGGCGAGTGAACGAGGAGAACAAGATGGTGGACGTGCAGTGGCTGAAGCGGACTCCTGGCGAGAGGACGCTGCCGGACGGCAGCAAAGCGGGCATCTGGGGTTTGTGGCCGGTTAGCATGCGGACAAAGAACGGCGCCCTGGTCGAGGAAGTGGAGGGGGAAGCTGAAAGCGACTCAGATGCGGAGGCGGAAAGCGATCGGGTTCAAAGCGGGCGGGCAGCAGGGTCGGAAGGGCGGTTCGCTTTAAAGCGCGCGCACTGGAACGCAATCCTCGATCGTGTTGAGGGCGTCCAGAGAGCCGAACGGGATGCAGACGGGCGTGCTTTGGCAGGGGGGCCACTTTTCAGCTTCAAAGAGCTGCCCCCAGTACGACGACGATGACCGGTGTTGGGGGAACGAGAGAAGGCCGTTGGACGGGGTTCGGTTAAGGCTCAGAAGCTAGACAGCATAGTTCTCGGGGGCCGGGCGGGTTGCGGGATACGAAAGGAGCTCTAAGGAGATTGAGCGGAATGAGGTACGCAGCGGAAGTCAAAACGAGCAGAAACCGAACGGAAGTAGAGGGTTCCAGCGGAACGGAGAGGGGCCTGCTGGCGGAACGTCTGGCCCGGCCAGAAAACGAAGCGGAAGCGAAATGCAGTCGGCAACGCGAGCGGATCCAAGCGCATTGTCTCAACAACCGGGAAGAGTGTATGGAGAGTGCGGGGATGGAGCGGAAGCGGAACCATTCTGGAAACGGATCGGAATGCAGATTGCCGTGCAACATTCAAGCGGAAGGAGAAACAAGCGCAGTCTGGATTGAAGCGGGAGAAGGTCGGCGCGTATAAACTGATAGCTACGAGTGGTTGTTCAGGCGGAGAAGCGAGCCGGTGGAACGAGATGCTGACCGCCGGTCCTCGCGATTCCCTCTTCCGAACGGCCGGAACGTCCCAGCGCCCTCGGTCGCCTTGGCCGGTGGAGCGAGCGGACGCGCGGTCAAGCGCGGACGCGTCCGCGCACTGCCTGCCGAAGCAGGTCCGGGGACCCCTGATGGCGGAGAGGACGCACTGAAGCCTTGGTAAGCACGTTGGCAGGAAGCTAGTGTAAATGTGTACCAGATTCTGACGTCACCTGCCTTCGCACACAGGCTGAGTGAAGACCGACGCGCGCACAAGGTGCCGCACTTCGATCGTTGCGTCACAGGCCACAAAAGGCCATAATCACTGAATAAACCTAAAGCTGACGTGAGCAATTGCTGAATTCTGACGTCAGAGTGCACCCGCGCAGGCTGAAGAGGGGGTGGCGCGCCCCGGCGAGGTGCTCTAGGTTGATCGCTGCAGCAAGGGGTTGACAAGTACGGATGTGCGGAGTGGTCCAAAAGCCGACGTGAAAGATCCCTTTTGCTGACGTCACGCGTGTGCTCGCGCAGGCTAAACCAGGATACGGCGCGCGCGAGCTGCCGGAGATTGACATGCCGGAGCTAGCGGCATCGCTGGGGTAACTGTTCTGGAGCGGCACTGCCTGCGGACGTCGTCAAGGTGAGATTGCTCGAGTGTCATCTATGACGTGAAAGCCCTCCTTTCTTCAGTTAGTATGCCATTTTCGCTCCTTCCTCGGGTCGAGTGTTCAAAGGAGTGACTTGATCGTTAGCCTTCGTCCATGTTTACCTGGGCAGTCGCGGTGTAGATGAGCTTCTTTCTTGGGGGCATCAATGCGCTCAAAAGTTACCGTTGACATCTTGATTTTCGGGGGTGATTGAGCTCGTCTTTGTAATCACGAGTGGTTTCCACCTTTGGCCGCCTCCAAGCGCGCAATCTCACATCGGCGGCTCTCAGTCTCATCTAAAGTCTCCGCTAGACACTGCCTCCGAACCCTTATGCCGGTCGGCGGACGCGATCATCGACAGTCTGCTTCAGAGAGAAGAGGGTAATGTTTTTGAAGGCCGGTTGGTTCATTCGCCAGTAAACCTCCAAGAGCTATATCGTTCCCCTCGGTCTGTGGGAAGATCTCGGTGCTCTTGTTTTCCTAGGTTTTTCCTGTATCTTCTAGGGACTTGCTTAGGACTGACCTTCTCCGATCGCACCTCATGTAGTAGGGCTGTAAAACGTGCTGATGACGAGAAGGATCTAAGACTGAACCAACAATTATCGAAAGTTGACCTTTCTGAATTCGCCTCTTTTTTCCGCAGTACGGTCCGATCACGGACATGGTTCACAGCAGCACCGAGCAGGCTGGCACCACCTTGGACCGCACAGACTTCGCCCCGCCCAACATACAACCGTGCCTGCCACGTCAGCAGTCTAGGAACGCCACCGGTAGGTCTCCACGGCCATTTATGAAGCTATATTTTCTTCGACTCTATTTCAGAAGATATTGTTATCCCTTCAATGCCGAGTTTCTAGTCCGTGCGTGGCAGCCAGTGGCATGTCGAGTGTTCATACGATAAACAGCAGCGCGGCCGCGTCGGGCGCCAACGGCACACGTTCTAAACGAGGAGGTGAGGCGGCCGGAAGCGGAAAACAACCGGAGACGGAACGCCACTGGGCCCAACAGTTCCAAGACAAGTCCAAATCTGATCGATCCAAACGGAACGTATCAGGGTTCCTCCATGGATTCAAATGGATTCGAACAATTGCAAGCTTTGACCACTCTCTTATCCAGGTTTAGACAGGTGTCAACGTCGTCCACTTTCCTTTGAAGGCGTTTGAATTGACGCAATGAGCAGGACGGAAGATGTGTGGGGTATTCATCTCGGACGCGCGCCTTCAACTTCTTTTGCCTCCAGTGCAGCTCGCACGCCTCGGGCGGATGTTCCAGAGCAACCTCAGCCCTCAACGGTCTCGGTCGTTATTGCAATTCGCCGCCGCCAGCGCCAGCTGCGCGCTCACGTGGTTGCACCTGCGCGCCACCCAGGTGAGACTGGCGACCTCAGCAAGGCTTTCCCTTAGCGCCGCGCCTACGCACGCGCCAAAAAAGCCGGCGTACGCACTCGTTGCCGCCCGGGCGGAGCGCACGCCCGGGCATCGGAAATGCTCCCAAGTCCGTCGTGTGCTTGGTCATACTCTTGTACGTACTGGAATGTCGTGTGCCTTTGTCTCGCTTTCCTCATTGCACTGCTTTGATTCTGCCTGTTTGAACTGTTTCTATCGACAAACAACGGACGACACCGCTTACTTTCTCTCGTCAACTTGAAGATCCGAACGCTCCGTTCCCGTTTGGTGCAGGGGCCCTTCTCCTAAGAGGTGCCTAATTCACGCGCACGCGCAACGCGGCCGCGATCGAGCCCGATAAATTCGTGTTGAAAGTGAGACGTCTGACCACTGCTAACATGTCCTTTTTGAAGACGCAAGTTATAGTATGATTGCCTATCGCCGCTTTGTGCATTTGAAAATGTGTTGTGCGGCGACGAAATTCACGTGGATCCCGGCTACGAAAGTCCTGACTTCCAGCGAACTGTGTATGGGTGGCAATCATGGTCCCCTAAACTATGCAACGTACTGCTCGAGGGTTCACTTTGGGGACTTGCGGCAAACGTCTGGTGGAGAGCGCTCTTATCCTTTCGCAGACACACTAGTCCTGATGTCAGTCGGGCTTTCGAGATTGTCTTTGAAGGAGTTCCAGATCAATTGGCATGTGGACACCGTACTACAGGAGAAAGGAGATTCGTTCTATGTTCTGTCGGCCTCCTATTGAAGCAAAGCTTTCAAGCATGCAGCCAAAAAAGGAGGAGGGTTTTGTAATTTCCTCCCTTGAACTCATCAGTTTTCGTACCCGTGTGCTTTTCCTGTGGGTTTCTTCCAGCAGACGTTCAAATTCTTTGTTGCAGTGGGCCTTCATGCTTCTCTGGCCGCACCAAGCGGCATGTGACGCTTTTTTTTGAGAAGAGAAGAAGCCGCTGCGAGCCCCACGGCGGCCATACGCAAACGGAGCCCTTTCCAGTGCTATACAGCATCTTCGCAGGTGAGGCTCCTCAGTTTATGTTGGCTGGAAGACTTTCTGAAATCACGTAGCGACAGATCGTCTTTAGAATGCTCGAAGCAGGCAAGCCCTCAGCAGCATCCTCTTACTCACTGTCCGGAATCCATTATCCGCATTAAGTGTACCCTTCACATGTGGTTGTCATCAAGGCAGCCATCCGACAGGAACCCGACATCCAAGCTTTTTGTGATAGACGCTTTGGGTTATTGTCGTGATATCGGGACGTCCCCTTTGTCTCGAACAGGAATAAGATCTTACTTTGACGCATTGTCCGGTATCGGGACTACAAACGAAACTCAATGCAAGGACAACAGACCAGTCAAACAGCGTTCGTTGGAACGATTCTTTGTTTGCACTGTATATGCACATCATGATGATGCTTGCACAAACATAAGTAGACCGGTTCTGTGACGCGTCGTGAAGCACAAGTGGCCAACATGTATACTGAAGTCGACAAAAAATGTGTTTTGTCTCTTGTAGAATTGGCTGAGACCACGCGAGTGCGAAGTCCGAGGTCACAACGAGATCGACCCAAAGAAAGGGCTAGATCAGCCGCTCAAGGTCCCGCCAGCTTTACTTTAATGTCAAAGACCGGGCGTCTGTTCAGCGTGTTTTTCAGGATAGATCCAAGTCTACTCAAAAACGATCAGTGAGGTAAACTGCCAATAGAACATATTTGAAGCAGACGGTAAGTGACTTGGTAACTATTGTCTATCAGACGGGAGAAGGCTTGCTCTATGTAAAGTACTGAAGCTAGAAAACTTGGCGGCTAAGTCAAATCTTGCCCGGGTATTCTTTCGTTGCCCGGACTACGTTGCCCGGGCTTCTCCCCGATTTCCCCGGTCATGTGTGTTGCCCGGTCTTTGTTGCCCGGGGTCTGCCCTCGTGGTCCCCGGACATGCGAGTTGCCCGGCCTTTCGTAACCCCGAGCGGCACCTCGGGGAGTCTTTTCCCCGGCCTTATCTCCGGGCAAATTTGCCCGGGGGTGCAAAATCCCCGGGCAATTCTTCCTCCAGCTCGTTGCCCGGCCTCAGGCCGGGGAACCCCCGGGCAATAAGCCCGGGCAAACGGGAATCCGCCCTGTGGCTGGCTCCAAGTGGCCCCAAGTGACCTCGGAAAGAGAATCTTCAGTCAGGGTTGGACCTCTACCGAAGCTCTAGCCCTCTTCCTGATTGTAATGTTAAAGTCTGCCTGACTGACTCGGAGGCTCGTCCCTTTGGCGTTGGCGTGGTCAAGTGGGCAGAGTAACCCGTATCATTACTCACACTAGATATTGACAGATCTAGAGGCCAACGTGAGCAGTGGAAGCTATCAATATGGAACTTCTTGTGATGAATTGATTGCGTCACGATATCATAATCTCGGCCTATCTAGGTCTTGAAGGAGCTCCTAAAGCGTGCCTGCTTTCAAAGAGTCATCGTTCGCACGAAACGCTGGCTCTTCTACCACCCCGGTGACCGTACGTGCATTCCAAACCTTTCCGTCGAATATCATCCGTATGATACGCCCACGAAACGACCACATTGCGCTCGACTGTTCGAGCGTGGCCCATGAAGCAAGTCTTCCTATTGAACTCTCATACTTATCTTTTTGACCAAGACAGCTATCCTACTGCGTCTCTACTCGTGGTGCAAAGATCGTAACGCGTGATATAGTGAGATGCTCCGGAAGCACAGGCGTCGTGTAACGATT